ATAATCATGCTGCTGCTGCCCAGTGGAAGTCATAAAAGCCCCTTACATAGTCCTGCTATAAAGAATAAGAAAGCAATTATAATCTATTGTAAAAATTATAGAGATTTTTAATTAAAAATGTCAAAGTATAAATTTATACTTACGTTGTTCGCTCGTGGTCCACCGCCCGATACCCCCCGGGTACTGCTGCTGGATACCAAGATCAGGTTCAGAGACTGTAAGAAAACTGTAAGAAAACAGTTAGAATCTATTGTTAAAACTACAGAGATTTTTAATTAAAAATTTTCAAAGTATAAATTTGTACTTACATTGTTTGCTCGTGGAGCATCGGCCAATAGTCCTCTTCGGTGATGCACTGACTCTAATTCCGGTAACGGGGAGTTTAAATTTCAAATTGAAAAAATAATTAATTTGATTGAAAAGTATTAAATTAGATTACCGCGACCGAAGATTGAAATCGGCGAATAAATGATTCTATTATCGCGATTCAGAAAACAGAAAGAGCCACGATGCTCTGGAAGTAATTTAATATTGCGTAGAAAACACTGCTTCTATTCTCGCGTTTGCCTAACACCGTAAACGACAACGTGCTTGGGGTCACTTTGCCCCGCGAAACAAACTTGTTGCTACGCACAAACACTGAATCTACCGGCCGCATTGCGCGCGGCCAACAAATTTCCTGGAAAGAAAATAGCTGAAAAGAAAAGGACAGGAGACAAAAAACACAACAAGCACGCCTGTGCTTAGCCTACTGGTTTTCTTTTTTCATCTTCTTACAAGAGTTCGTCAACAGAAATACTGCTTTACTTAGTTCTATGGCATACATAGTTTGCCACGTAAAAGTTCAATGCGACAAAGGCGAAATATTCTCGATCAATGAGAATTTCAACGATAAAATATTATCTACAATTTATAAATATTATATCACCAAGTTTCATAGTTAGAGTTGTAAGCATGATCATGTTTACTTTATCGGATGTTAGAATATGCCGTAATTTTTATAAATATTCCGAAATTTGCAAGAATTAAAATTCGTTGGTTATTTATGCTTCAATATTCCAACTCCGCAGTTACTACGTTTACTGAAACTTGTATCGAAATATATATGGAAATTGCAATTACAACAATTCATAAAGAAAGAAATATAAACAATCAATTAAATAAATAACGCTCGGAAATATTCAATCGCGATCAGAATACAGTTGAATATAAATTATTCCAATTTATCGTTTATATCTACCGACGCCATTTCTGTATACTTCGATATACATCGAAGTGGAGAACAAGTGTAACGATTTTCATATTTTATCTTAACGATGGCCGATTAGAAAATTATAATCATGCTGGCAACGAATGATTTAATAAAGAAATAAAAATATATAAATATCAATATGCCTGTTAATTTTTGTTATAGTTGTTTAAACGTTACCAATATTCCCACCAAAATTTGTCGAGTTGCCTGCCATCTGTTATGGTGTCGTTTACGCGCCAATAAAAGTTTCCATGGCGTCGAATTTAAATCAGAGACTGCAACAGAACTAAAATACAAATTAAATCATAATTAAACAATAATTGATAACAATGAGGAAATATCAAAAGGTTAGAAATACGTACTTCGTTGGTCGCGATACACCGACACGTCTTGACATGTTTCAACACGTCTCGTATATTCGAAAAGGAATTTCTTGACTTCGAATTCCAATAAGAGACTGCAACAGAAACGAAATAAAGATCCATTAAAGTACATGCACGATTATTGTAATTAAGTAATGATTAAATCGAAACCGTATTGCAAGAGATCGTAATTAAAACGCGAGTTGTAATTAGTGACGAAGTATGAATAGGTTAGAATTACGCACCTCGGTCGCGAAACACCGACACGTCTTGACGCGTCTTACTAGGTCAATCGTCAGAGTACAAATGGCGACACCTCGGCAACGCTCGCGAATTAAGCGGCGGGGTGGGGGAAGGGCCGATGTCCCGCGAAACTTGTTATTACGAATCCGAGAGATGCCTCAGGTAGAACCGCAGATACAAAACAAATGAACGAAGACGAGAATAGAATTCACAACTTTGTAGGAAAAAGGACAAAATTTCTAGGTTACTTACTAGAACAACGTATGATACCTTGATTTTAGAATTATATTGATGGATGGCGATATAATGTACAAATTAAATATAACTCACACTTTTGTCGATTTACAATAGCAGATGACAAGATTCTTGAATTTGTTACCATTATTCGAGAAAATTTCCTAGTAACCGCTGTAATTCGATTAACGGGATAATATTTATCGGGGACGAGAAGTTTGAATCGACGAAGAAAATGTTCAAAGAATCGAAGGGGAAATCGACGACTAAGATCGTCGGGGATCGTCGAAAAAAATCCATAGTGTCGAATAACCTGTACGCGTCGCCTTCTGTCGTCGAAAAATTTCACAAGTGAGTTGTATTATATGAGTAAGTATTTTATGGGTAAGTTATTCGATAGAAATGTACGAGAGAAGGTCCAAGAAAATTATTAATATACTAATAACTGAGGCCTAACCTACATCGATCAGGGATAATATACAGGGTGAGGCATTTTAAACAGGTCACCTGAATAACTCGCTTGTTTTTGAAGATAGGAGAAAATGCATTAGACCAAACTTATTTGGTATCGGGGGGCTCATAATCTGGTATTACCAATTTTTTTGTAGGTGGAGGCGTCAAGGAGATATGAAGGTCAACTTTGTTTTTTTAAATGGAACAGTATATTTTATTACTTACATTCTGATAGAGTGTTTCAAGGCGAATACAATGACCTATTATTAAGGTCATTCAAGGTCACCCAAAGTCAACTGCAATAGAAAATAAATTGTGTCAGAGTACATTTCGAATACTTGTGTATCACGTGTGTGTATTGCGTGACACGGGTCACAAAAGATAAACAAACATTCAATCACATTGTACGCTTATCCGTATCCTCAAACATTATTGGTAATTTTACTACCGACTAGAGCACAGCTTCGTAACATTTATTCAGTCTAAGTGTTTAGTTTTCTAAAATGCGTTACACGATAGCAGAGAAAGTAGAAATGGTTCTTATTTATGGTGAATGTCATAGAATTATGAGGGAAGCGGTACGTGTGTATAGTGAAAGATTTCCCGATCGTAATAATAGACCTTCACTTTCTGTCTTTACAAACATTATAAAAAAGTTCCAAGAAACTGGAACTGTGGATAACAAAACACGTAATCTTGCCAAACGAGCAACTGATGATGGAAACTCGATAAATATTGTAGCAGCTGTAATACAAGATCCACATGTTAGTACAAGACAACTGGAACGCGAAAGTGGCATCAGTCAACGAAGTATTTTACGAATATTACACATTAACAAATTTCATCCGTTCCACATATCACTTCATCAACAATTAACTGAAAATGATTATACAAAACGTTTACAATTTTGTGAATGGGGCTTACAAAAACTACAAGACGATGAAATGTTCTTGAGTAAATTGTTATTTACCGATGAGGCCACATTTACAAACCATGGAGCAATTAACCGTCACAACATGCACTACTGGTCGGTAGATAATCCACGATGGTTGAGAGAAGTCGACAAACAGAGACCTTGGTCTGTAAACGTCTGGTGCGGTCTTCTTCATAATAAAATAATTGGTCCATATTTTATTGATGGCACGCTAAATAGTAGTAAGTACCTGAGAATCTTAGAAGACGTTTTGCCAGAATTGTTAGAAGACACTTCACTGGACATACGACAATCCATGTGGTTCCAGCAAGACGGATGCCCTGCTCATTCAGCACGCAATGTTACAGAATTTCTAAATAGAAAATTTGGAGATTCTTGGGTAGGTCGATCAGGAAGTAACAAATGGCCGGCACGATCCCCAGACCTGACACCTCTCGATTTTTATTTGTGGGGGAAAATTAAAGGCAGAAGTGTACCGCGAAAAACCAACTACCAAACTTGACATGCAAGAACGTATAAGAAGAGCTTGCTCTGTAATAGATACAAATGAAATTTGCCAGGCAGTGTCATCAGTATTGCAACGATTTAGACTATGTATCCATGTTCAAGGTCGCCATTTTGAACACTTGTAATAGCAGTATCAAAGTATCCAAGTGTTCGAAGAGTGCTTTGACACAATTTATTTTCTATTGCAGTTGACTTTGGGTGACCTTGAATGACCTTAATAATAGGTCATTGTATTCGCCTTGAAACACTCTATCAGAATGTAAGTAATAAAATATACTGTTCCATTTAAAAAAACAAAGTTGACCTTCATATCTCCTTGACGCCTCCACCTACAAAAAAATTGGTAATACCAGATTATGAGCCCCCCGATACCAAATAAGTTTGGTCTAATGCATTTTCTCCTATCTTCAAAAACAAGCGAGTTATTCAGGTGACCTGTTTAAAATGCCTCACCCTGTAGAAGCCACCGGAAGTAGAGGAAATTCAAGATGGAGGAGTACGGTTAACGAATGTGGAATTGTCTCCAATGTATAATAAGTGGTTTGTTATAAATATAAACGTTTATTGTCACGCATGGATCTCGCTGTAAAGATGAATCGATCGATAAGACACCCATAGTCTTATTGCTAATAGGTTTCAGGGTTTCTTTAACCAAACAAAATATAAATATGCACCCCTTACAACTAGAACTACCGAATGTGGTCGAAATGATTCGTAATTTTTTATAAGAGAACAAATAGACATTTATTTATTTAAAAATTATTTTTTTTTAAACAAATACACCACAATCGTCGGTAGCTCCAGCGTTGAAATCATTTTACTTTCGAAGAATTTTTAATACCGTCGACGATTTAAAAAATATTCGACTAGATTTAAATCGGTCCAGATTAAAATTCGATCGAATCTAAGGTATCGAGATACTCGTGTATCCAGCCATCGTTACTTTTGATATACGGTTATCGTCGTTTCAAGGTCCGCGGCGAGGAAACAGAAGTCTCACTTTTCGAGAAGCACGATGAACGCGACGGAGAACGATACCGGAACGTGCAAACTTCCCAGAGGCTTTGAACTGGCCTCGAACGTTCCGAAAGACGCGGCCGTCCACTTTGGAAATTTCTACGGCGTCCAAAAAGGATCGATACCGCAAACCGGTAAAACGAAAAATTCTTTCGAATCTGCTTTTTCGTCGCTGAGAACCGCGCCGAGGCTCGAGTTCACCAGACAGATGGTTCACAAGTAAATACAATAGTACTCCAGGATGTCACAGAGTTATTTTCACAAGTATACTTTACTTAAACATAAATGTAAATATTAATTTCAATTATACATGAAATAATCTATAAAGGTATACAGGGTGTTCAGCCATCCCTGGGAAACATTTTAATGACAGACTCTAGAGGCCAAAATAAGACGAAAATCAAGAATACTAATTTGTAGATGGAGGATTCGTTAAAAAATTATTAACAATTAAAGTTTCGCCCGTGCTGAATTTTTTTCTAGAAAGTGGGTAGAATTTCGGGGGTAGGTCTATTCACCAAAAATGATTGCAATTGACCCCTGCAAACAAAAATAATTTTTTTAGAACTATTTGAAATTTGTTAATTTCGTCGAAAAATTTCAGTATCTACACAAATTTTTTTCTCGAAAGTGAGTAGGATTTCGAGGGTATATCAAATGACTAAAAATTATTGCAACTGACCCCTGCAACAGAAAATAATTTTTCCAGAACGATCTGAAATTTTTTAATTTTGTCGAAAAATTTCACACCTCGAATTTTTTTCTCGAAAGTGGGTAGGATTTCGAGGGTATGTCTAATGACTAAAAATGATGGTAATTGATCCCTGCAAATAAAAATAATTTTCTCAGAACTATTTGAAATTTGTTAATTTCGTCGGAAAATTTCAGTATCTACACAAATTTTTTTCTCGAAAGTGAGTAGGATTTCGAGGGTATATCAAATGACTAAAAATTATTGCAACTGACCCCTGCAACAGAAAATAATTTTTCCAGAACGATCTGAAATTTTTTAATTTTATTTTTTAATAACTTTTTAACGAAGCCAAAGTCAAGAAATTGATATTCTTGATATTCTAGAATCTTCCATTAAAATTTTTCCCATGGGTGACCGAGCACCCTGTATAAAGCTCGAGTGCATTTGTACTACTTTGGTTAAATTTCATTTATACTTATTTCCTTTACCTTTGCCTACAGTTTTGTTCGTAACTGTGTGCGTATAACGGACAACGGTGGAAATAAGCTGGTCGAACGAGACGTTTGAACGTCGTTCTCCAATGTTTCAGATTAGAACGAACAGCCGGCACCGAGGAATACGCGCGACAAGTGTCGGCTTTGTTGGAGGAGACGGTGGAACCGCCGCATTTCAAGCTGCATTCGGTACCGGCCGAGAATTCAATTCCCGATGGGAGACAGAACCCATCGGGGTATCCGTTGTGGTACAAGGAGCCTTTTAAGACGCCGTTAGTATTCCCCGGTTAATTGCGTAATTCGATTCGTTGTCGATGGGATTGTTCGCGTTACCAGAAAATGAGATAGACCGGGCCCGGGGACCCGGTGTAATGGGTCCCTCCCCTGCTGTTCGCGTAGAATAACTCAAGGGCACCCCTGTCGACGGCGTGATAACGAATAACAGGATTTAAAAGGAGCTCCCCTGCAGGGATCGACCACTTCCGGTGTTCTGACGGAACGACCAACTTTCAGGTACGCGTCCGACGAGATTTACAAACTTCTGATGGAGCACGATAATACTTCGGGAAACGAGAAAGACATTTTCGGGGAGGAATCTTCGGGGAAAGAATCTTCCGAGGAATTCAGCGACGACGAGGAAATTAGTAAGAAAGTTCACGGGATCTACGCTCCATAAGTCACCCTGGACACTCGACGAACGTAGAGTAAAAAAAAACGAATTAACGCGATGTAAATTATAAAATGGAACTAATATTTATCCGTCATATTGGAAAAGATTTTTACCAAAATAACAGCGAAAAATTCGAGATTTTCTAGCAAGTGAACTCTAGCGACAATTGTTTCTTTTTAGTATTTTTTTCATCGATATCATGCCAAATTTTCCACGAGACCTACCTCGATTTTACTTATCTTACGCACTTATACACTTATCTTCATTTGCTTCCTCTTATAGAGGGTTAACAAATTTATAGTAAAGTCGCAACTCGAAATGACCAAATGTAAGAAATCGAGGTGAATTATGGACGGGTAGTGTAAATGCTAATGGTACAGCCAGGAAAGAAGAATCTACGTTGAACGCATTGATCAGTGGATAAACTTTTGTTACAGAGGCAGACGATAGGGATTCGAAGGAAAACGACGATATTTCGAACGAAAGTGTAAAGACTACGTCTCCTGAACAATAAATGACTCTTTAACGCGTTCGCTGTCACACCAGCTTCCCCTGTTTAGAGATATCCTCGAAATTTTGTCAAATTATACCATAAATAGAAATATTTAATAGTTGCAAGTTAACTGTTTAAAACATCAAGGCTCATTTATTAGAAGTATTTTAAAGATACGTTTATACGTCAACAAATTTAAAGGGTGATTCTAGAAGCCAAAATAAGACGAAAATCAAGAATTTGTTAATCGAGTTAAAGATACGCCTGTAAGACGGCAACCTGCGAACAGCTGCGTGCGGCAGAAACCCTACTTATCGACGTTTACACGTGTACACGTATCTACGAAACACCATTCGAAAGTGCACTCGCTATTATTTATAACGTCAACGATCATACTAGACTGAAAACACCGGTTCTCGTCCTTTTAAGTATATCGTACCTGATAGAAATTAGGATACCGCAATCTGTATACTCTTAACAGGATATTATATTATACAATATAATACACCATAGAGAATAAAACTAGACATAATAGTAGGTAAGCTTCTAGTAAGTAGGCACTACTGAAGACTGCAGGCAAAAGTATTAAATGTTTTCATATTAGTATGTTTATATTTTTGTATATAATTGTTATGTAAATAGAAATGTTTAGAAAGAAGGTTCTCGTCCGATCACCGAAGTTAAGAAGCGTTGGGCACGGTTAGAGTACTTGGATGGGTGACCGTTTGGGAACACCGCGTATTGTTGACAATTTATTTTCTCTTTTTTACTGTTTTTTTCATTTGGTAATAAAAGGTGAAATTTGTTGTCCCAAAAGATTGCTTTTCGCGTCAAAGGAAAGTCAAGATGTGTACATATATTATACAACATCTCCAAAACAATTTAAAGAACGAAAACGGTTATTTTTTATGAAACTGCTATCTTTGAAATTCCAACTTTAAAAAAGCAACGTGTCAACGATGGAAAATCTGTAAAGACAAACACGTGGCCTGGAACATAAATTAAATTTATATGAATGTTCTGGGTATTAATGATCGTAATTACGAAACACAAAGCGAGATTCCTAGTTCAGTGGAGAATCGCAAGTCCTCTCCTTGGGAATCTAGCAATTAGCATCGCGCTACTAATGGATCGGCCATTATCAGAAGGTCCGTACCACGATGCAAAATTCAACGTAAGGTTCTTTTCGAGCGTTAATTAAGAGCGTTGATGATTACTTCGTTGCGTATCCTCCTAATTAAGCGCTGAGATTGCTTCGAATCTAATATTGCATCTGAATTAATTAATTAATGTACCGTACTTCCGGCACATTTTTACTCCATCGATTTCAACATTTGCGTATCGTAAAAATGCTAGCTCCAAATTTTCGCAACTAGATTTTTATATAAATTCGTCACACTATAAAATAAACAAAGATACGTCAAAATAAGTCTACAAAATTATGAAAAACTACGGAGGTTCATTTTAAATATTTTACAAAACTCAAAGGTACCTAGCAGAAATAGTAAAAAATTAATTGTTAAGTGAACAACTTTCGTTCGAAACAATTTTTTATACAATATGTAATGTACGAAAAAAAAAAAATTAAAATGAGAAAGTTAAATAACTCGCCCAGTATGTGATGCACGACGCGCCAAAGATTTAATGCGGTTTTCCGTTTGCTAAAAGGGGGTAGCATCATCCAAACTGGAATGTTCGCATTGTTTTCGGTTCCGTGGAAATGCAAGAGGGCGCAGGATGGGGTCGGCTCTTATCGATTACTCTGTCCGCCACCCCAAAGACGCTTTTCGTGTATCTTCGATGTAATCGAAAATTAGATTCTTGTATCAAAGAGCACTTTGAGGTGGACAGAGGTAGGTAGCGAGCCAATAAATTGAGTCGAATATGTTAAAAGGGAAAAGCGCACCAAGCTCTTTCGCGAATGATTTCTACAGTTTTCGTGGCGAATAATTATATACATTGATTTATTTCTTCGTGAAACTATACAGAATGGTCCACAGCGAATCGGAGCTTATTCAAATAAGTTAGTTCAACCATCGAGGCCATCAGTTCGTGAAAACATATACGTGCGTATATGTATTTCACGAACGCACCGGATTAAATTACGCCTGTCAAATGAGGGCATAGTTTGATATACATGCGAGTGAATCACTGTTCGTCAATACATTTCCCCGAATGGATACCATCGATCCATTCATAATGCAATGTCTGGTGAATGGCAGTTTAACTTGTATTCGAGACTAAACTCTGTTCCTTTGGAATCAATTGCTCTACGAAGCTTTAATTAAAAATCTATCCGCTTCTATTGTTTTTTCCCGAGCGAGGAAATTCCAGCAACCTGTCGCGAGGATAAAAAAAAAAAAGAAATTGCACCGCCGTCGATAAGTACGAGGAATTCCTTCCGCGTACATCTCCCCGACCTTGAAACTAATATCAAGGCTATTGAAGTACAATAAAATATATCGATCGTTTCTGATATAAAGAGTGCAATCGTTGCTCTGTACTCCACGTAGTACGAATTGTTTATAAATTTCGGAGCCCCGTGCGACTAGCTCCCGTCGGATTGATACTTCCTAGGCCTTCCCTAGGTCTTCTTCCATGAATAATACATTTCCAATGGTCGATTGACGCGCCAGAATTTATCGTTGACCTGTCTCAACGTTTGAGATCCGCTGAGCACCACCAACTGACCCGGCGAAGGTGCTATATAGATACAGAAATTTAATAGCCTATCCGATTCCGACAATTCTGTATCCAGATCCAACGTTAACCTCATAGCCAAGTATTTACTTAAATGGTCCACTAGAAAAATAATCACGAGCATCATTATTTGGGAACTTTTTGTTACTTAAATTCACGAAATTTGATCGAATGGCTACCTGTCGCGTTTGCCGTGGTTTTAATATATCTAATGCTATTTTCTTTCAACGCCTTTATCAACGAATTGTCACCAGCCATTTCCGTGGGATGTGGTTTGAAAACAAGTTCGATTTCGTTGAGCATTAACGGCTCGCTAGGACCCTCGCCTTCCGTATCTACCATGGAATCACCACCGCCGGTCTCGGCTTCAGCACTGGACGAGTCATTCTCTGAATTCTGTAAACTTTTCTGCCGTTTAGGTGGTTTAGGGATCTGATTTGCTGGATTTGGCGATGGCGTAGTAGAGTTTCTGGATGTTGTGCCTGAAGCATACAAACGATCAATTTCACTCACGTTGGATATAGTTGCTGAACTACTCTCTTGTTTAATGATGTTACCAGAAACGGCTGGGCTACTGGAAGGTTGGGAGACATTATTGGAATTTTGGGAATTACCCCCATTACTATTATTTAGAGGTCCGGTCGCGCTCTGTGAAGAGTCACTTTGATTCGCTGAATTAGCAGCATTTGGTGTAGCTGGCGCACTAGCGTTCTGAGAATTGGTGTAAGGCGTCGCGTTGCTCGCATTTTCGGACTCGTTAGCAGTTTTCCTAGACCGTTGAGGACGATTCTGGCTTTGTAACTTAATTCCCTCTGTAATAGAATTTACTAGCGCAGCCTGGGAATGCGATTTATTCAATTTTGCCAGAACCCTCTCTTGATGCGCCTCGTACTCATCACGACTTGGATATATCTTAGATATCAATAAGTCAAAATTGGGATCCGGTCTGAGGGATCTCTTAGATACCAATTTCTTTCTACACGTTGGGCATTCCTACAAACAGCATTAAAATTTTTTCGGAACCATTCTAACCTATAACGATACCAAAAACTTATCGAATACAATCGTTTATCGTCGATAAACTTTACTGCATTGTCAGGATATGCTCACATGGAATACAAATTAAAACATCTGAACGATTAGACTAACTAAACGCAACAATGGAAACGCAAAAAACAATATATCGTACTACGTGTAATTCGGTTCAAAAAGGGCGCTAAAATCGCAGTGTCTGACAGAGACATGTATCCAGTACGGTTTCGTTTTTATATACTCGTTCGCAAAATCTAAAAGTTTCCTATTTCAATAATTGTTGATTCGTTCTACAAACTTTTGTATCCGTATTTTTTAGACAGTGCAATATATGTACATTTCAAACACGAAAAAAAGAACTAGTGGGTCAAAGTACTCGACACGTACACTGTTTACCTCTGGCGAAATAGAAAGGCTTTCAAAAGTATCACACGACAAACACCAGCACGGAATTAGAAATCACTGTGCCGTACGACAGTTTCGTTATAGTCACGTACCTTATTACCGCTTCGAAGTGCCGTAATGATACAATCGGAACAGAAGCGATGCAGACACTCCTTCGTAGTCATGGTCTTTTTAAGCATGTCCAAGCAAATGGGACACATGAGCTCACTGTGCAAACTCCGCGGACTAACCGCGATTTCGGTATTGTCGGTAATTGCATCTTGAGGAGTCCGGTGAAGCTCGTATAACGATAATTCCCATGATTTGTTCAGACCGACCTGTTCCGCGGAAGCCATCTTGACTACATACAAGCCGTCAGCTGAACACTGTACACAGACAACCTTCTGTAGGGAATATAGCACCAGGATCGCCATTTCCCCTAGGGCGATCGGACACCATGCAGTTGGCAGCGCTGCCGCTAACGGTGGCGCCAGGGGGAAGTGCGCGAATCGCTGGTCTTGGCTTCGCCGCTCTCATTGGAGACGGACTCGTGTACATTTTGTAAAATAAATTGTTCTTTCTTTAACGTTCGTATTGGACAATAAACGCAGTGTTCTTTTTAATTGAGCCATACTCTCCGCTCGACTCCCTACAATTGGTGACCCCGACGTGATCCTGTTGTTGCTGTTTACCGCCGGCACGTGGTTTTCACCATCCCCGTGCAGGCGTGCATCCTGACCGACTCAAGTCTCAATTGTAGGGACGTAACCTACTGTGTTGTCGAGTGGAGAGTATGACTCAATTAAAAAGAACACTGCGTTTATTGTCCAATACGGACATTAAACAAAGAACACTTTATTTTACAAAATGTACACGAGAGCGGCGAAGGCGAAGCCAAGACCAGCGATTCGCGCACTTCCCCGGCGCCACCGTTAGCGGCAGCGCTGCCAACTTCATGGTGTCCGATCACCCTAGGCGCGACTAGAGCACGGCTAGAGTCATCTTGCGGCAAATACGACAATTCCTGTACATACCGCGGCCAACAACAATAAACAAGATGAGTCAAAAAATAGACTATTAAAACATTTTAAAACCGTGTAAGGGACATATGTAAGTAACATTGTGCAATCATAAGAATAACAGAGAAACAGCACTTTTAAATTGCGTGTTTTACATACGGTACTGAACTTTCGACTTATACTTTAAGAATGAGAATTCGATTACGTCTGCACATATAATATATTATTTACATGATCATTATTTACATTGTCATTACAAAATCCTTTGTCACTTAATGATATTTCTACATCTGAGCTCCATCGAAAGAAACGCTCTCATGTTGGGATCTTGTATTTTTTCCATAATCAGTTTTTGCAGGTCCACGTCGCTTTTTTCTAAGGTAGAGCTTAATTTTTCCGCGTATTGAATCCACACGCAATTCGCGCAACCGGACATGCAACAATTCGTAGGTTCTGACATATCATCTATCGAAAGCAAACCCTCTGTTTCATTTTTTTCAATATCGTTTTCCTCGGACGATAACATTTGTTGCGTGCCATGAACACATTGTTTAAACGTAGAATATATGTGTCGACAATTACACGGTTGTTTTTTTGTAATTAAGGACAATCGCGCTAGATTCATCACAGTTCCCTCGGTAGATACACCTGATTGTAAATAAACGATGATTAACCCGTGATCATGGTGCTGAGTTATTTGTACGATTAGTATTCGTGATATGCAGTAAGGTATATCAAAACAATGAATAATCGAACGAATGCACAACTTGTTGACACAAATGTTTCACAAAATGAATGACATTGTCCTCTAACCTCTTTGACCACTACAAATCTGTTGCAAATATGTCTCGATACGTCATGAACAAAACAAATTTTAGATGCATCTACATTGATACGATGTGCATAATATGTATAGCAATCTTTATTTTGAGATTCTGCGTATGCATTTCAGTTAGAGCGAGTCAAAAATGGACAAAATTTTTATCTAGATAAAATTGTTGAAAACTGATAAAAAATAAATTGTTTATAATATTCTTTGACTTTTATTTGATTCTTATTTCGTTTTGACCATGCGACACCTAATATGCATTTCAGCAGATAACATTATCGACCACGTGTATGTCATTGTTTATTGAAGTAAAATGGGTCGGAAAATTCCTGGAAAAAAGCATCGAGGTGTGAAAGATCCTTTTAAACAGCAAGCGAAACGACAAATAGAGTGAGTTCGATGTTAAATAAGTTTTAACCTCGAGTTATTTAAATAAATTAGAAACCTCCGTTTTATAGGTTAGAAACAAAAATAAATGCACCGCCGAAAGACGCGGACGAACAAACAATACCAAAAAGTTTGGAACGTGTAATAAAACTAAAAGAGGCAGTAAAGTTGGGAAAAATAAAAAAAATAAAAAAACGAAAAAAGAAAAAGGACAAACTTATATCCGTCGGCGGTCAGTATTCCAAATCCTTGCATCCAAACGCAAAACCAGACAAGGTTGTTCCGTTGTTTCAACAGAGGCCCGGTGAAACCACAGAACGATTCTTGCATCGAGTCCAAAGAGAGACGCATGCTTTTCTTAACGAAACTGCGTTCGAGAAAAAGTACGACGTTCAGGTGACTCGAAATCCGGAAACTGGAAGAATAGAGGGGCTCACAAAATGCAATTTGACCGAATTGGATATAATTGAGAGATTAAGAGCGAAACATAAAAATATTAAAAAGAAGAAAAAAAAAGATAACGATGAGATTAAGTTGACAAAAAGTCAGAAAAAGAAAGAGAAGTTGCAATTAAAGAAAGAGAGAAAAAAGGCGGAAGGTACAGATGAGTTTGAGAATTTCAAAGATCAAGTAAAATTCGGCGAAGTTAATCATGAACCGCCTCGATTAAAAGTTAAACCAAAGGCAGCTGACTCTACAAGTGGCTTGAAGGTGTATATTCATAAATATATGTATTTTCTTGCCCTTTCGTATGTATAAATAAAAGAATATTCATTTTTTTTTTATAGCCTGGCAAGAAGGATCTTCTGCTACATTCGTTGTTAAGGAAAACCGCGACACCAAAAACAGATTTTAAAAAGGCAGTTTCCATAAATAGATCGGGCAAGCGTAAAAATTTGCCAGTCGGGGAAAGAAGGCAGCTGGAAAAAGATCAAAATGATGTTGTAGTAGCATACAGGAAAATGAAAGTACAACGTTCTACCGGCTTTAACAACTAGGGTATGTACATACCCTGTCCTTCGACGCGGATGTTAAAAATTATTGTCTTGTAATTGTGAAGTTGAATATTTTTATTTAATAAAATGTACAAGATTTTCGTCATAGGAAATTGTATGCATTTTTGAAACTAAACATCACTTTTTTTTTTACCGTATAATTATAGAGTTAACACGAAAATAAATATATAGTACAGAATTTTCTGTGCAATATAAATATGTACTACTAGATGTCTTTGGATAGAGATTAATAGTAGAAACTTGGTACAAACAATAAAAGGAAAGAAAAATTTTAACAGTTTTTGTATCAAGTTCATTCAAATTTTTAGCACAAGTGCAATATACTTTAGACATAATTTAGTTTTTAAAGCTATTCGTTTGATACCTTTGATGTTAAATTCTATCCTGTAGTCCATACAAACGGTTCCAACCTCTCTTCTATAGGTAAAAGATTATTTAGTGTTTCTAGACTCTCCAAAGTTTTATTAAGAAGTGAATGACATTTAGTCAGCTGTTTACTAAGCTCGTGTACTTTGTTCAGTTGTTCTGCAAATCTGGCAAATTTCTTTTGCCTTTCCAACGCCAAATTAAGGATCTTTGTAACTTCTGGTTCAATATTGATACAGAGTGCAGCTTGTTCCCCAGCAATCATTTGAGCATTGGTATTGAGGTGATGCTGATAGCGCGCGCATAAATTGAACAAACCGATTGGATCTAATCTTTCCAGGACTTCCGGATCCCTCACCCCTGGTGGTAAATTGAGAGTACCACGCATGATAGGTAAAAACATTGGAATGCTTTGAAGTTTAACCAAATCAGGATCTTTATCGGTCGTCGGATCAGCAGCAGCCGGTTTTACTACCACTATATTGTGAATTTTATCAGAGGTAGTTTTTCTGTGATTAATAATTGCATATCGATTATATAAAGAAAATAAATTATTGGTAAAGATAAACAGACATGTGTATATATTACCTATGACTGCTAGTATTTAAGCTATTTTTACGTCTAGATATATCTTGTGCACCCAAACTTTTGCCTCTGTATAATTGTGATTGTTTATTAGTCATTTTCGGTGAATCGCCGATTGGTCTATTTACCGTATACGATATATAAGGTAGATCAGAGTCCGAACAAATGCTAGCACCAGGACTCGTGCATCTTGGCGGCGTATCCTCTGGTACTCTTTCCCGATTTGGTACACTTTTGCCACGCCGTAATGGCATCATTCTTGTCCTACTGGCATTTGCATTTTGCGTACCACCCTGTGAACTTTGTTCCGAACCCATTTTGTTAATTTTTTTTTTTTCGAAAATTCTGGTACCTTCTCCGCAAGAATTACATAAAATATATACACAAATTTAACTCTATCGGAAATACAGACAATCCAATTTGTGTTACAACGAGAAATATTAACACCATCGAAAAATTTCGTACAATTCTATGATTAATTCTACGACTGTTTTACAATAAATATAGTCGTGACAATAACCGTCATGTTAGATTCAAGGCAAACTGATGTTGCCTCTTTGTGCAGAACGTCTTAACTGACGGTTCCTTCATTTCTATTCATTCTGCAATTAAAGGAATTTAGGATAATCGATAACATTAAAGCAAGCTGGTTTTATGTGTTATGGTACTTGCTTTCTTGCTCGATCACGTCACAACAATGCCGCTCAAAGACTAATTACATCAGCGTGCCAATCATCCAATAATGGGCTTTTTACGAAATCGGTGTCTCGTTTCTGTTGTCAAGAATTCATTTTTTTCTTTTCGTCTTTGATTGTTCACGGTGTCAGATCGTATTCATGCGTCGCAGCTGTTCCCACGATGGAAACACCATCTATCGAACGCAATTTCGAACTTTGACATACACGTTTTCGCTCGATAACGTGAAAAATATAAGGTATACTGTGCACGCCCCCAAAGGGGAGTTCCCTGTTTGAGTCTACCTCGATCTAATCCACAGAAGACTCCCCCACCTTTGACAAAATCGAAACGCAGGTACAGAAATCTTGTACCGCGCAACAGTTCCTTTTTTGAAAAACGATAGCACTCAACGTTACGCGTTTGTAACTCCAACAATTTTCAAAATTTTTGAAAATCAATCGAGATATGTTTAACACTAGATTTACGGGCATTGATCGCACGTATATTTATCGATACCTTTCACGTTGACGATTACCTTAAAATACGATTTTTCTTTTTATTATATTGCACCAACAAATTCAATATAAGTCGTTAAAAAATAATATTTTAAATATGGAATCTGACATCCGTCAAATTGACGGCTCCCGTAAATCTAGTGTTAAATATCATTAAAGACTATAACATATAAAAAATTAAAAAGTAATACGATACTATACGATTAATAAAAGAAACAATGAAAAAATATTTATATATGTGTGAAATATAAGTATAGGGTCGTCGGTATTATAATGATCACAAAAAGTATAAAGAAACAAACTATAATTTATCGAAAATTAAACACGTATGCGTTATAGATAATATGGTATATTTTTCCAAGTTTTATTGGTATCATTACATACAGATTTCCTATACGTTTTGCCCAATTATGTAACTTTCATCGCCTTATATACTCTTCGTTAATATAAAACACGTATATAAACATAGATTGAGTGTATTGGTGTTTACAATAATGTATAGTTAAAAAAAGTCACACACCACGTCGTTATTTTAATATACCTACGCTTACGCGAAGACATCGTTTCTTAAAATGAAGTGATACACAATTCTTTTATTTAGTGTGCTCTACTACGTACAAGTTTTGCAGTGTTATATACCTTTGTATTTAAACGTTTGTAAATCATACCTTAGTATTTAACAATAACTCGAAGTAAAGTACAATATCGTTATTAGACAAACTGAAAGCTCGATTCAAATTCGATCGGATCGAAGAAGTAAAAATTGGAATCGAAGTTAAAAATTTTACACTCGTTGATTAATTATACCAATTGTTTGTATCAATAGCAAGGGTGGGCGGATATCCGAAATCTCGAAATTTTATACATATGAATTATGGATTCGTAGCAAATTGCAAAATTATTTTAACTTATGCACTTTGACATTTTCACAAACTTCATACACGTTTGTTATAAACTCACAAAGACTTATAAATTTACACATTTCCACAACTTCCTCGTCGTACATTTGTTAAATATTTATAAAATTTGTGAATTTATAAACTCTTATAACATGTTCGTACGTTTGTTATAAAAGTATAAAGTTTCTCGATTCGAAAACTAAATTTATGCAAATTTATAAATTGTATATATTTATAAGAAACATGTACACTTCTGTGAATATTTGAATTTCATAATGTAAAATGAATTCGTAGTTTGCTACGAATCGAAAACTTTCACGTGAAATATAAAGGTACGGGTGCAGATATAAATGGCGTTTAAAAATGTAGATGAGTAGCTTTTCAAACGGGAACAAGATAAAGAAGTTTTGAATAAAATTACTTCTTAAAGTTTTGCAAGATTTCCAATTTCTTGCAGCCCGAATCCGTGACTTCGATTATTCGCGTGCCCTTAATTATCAGTAATTGAAATTAAATAACATGGCGGTAACAAGTTGATGCAAAAATCGTTCGTAAAAAAAATTTGATTTCAATTTACAAAAACTGTGATTCGATGAGTCCTTGCAAAATTACGAAGGCTATGGCGTTTGCTCGTAAGCAAAGTAAATGTAATTAGAATAGTTTTATGAAATCATAAGGTCACTGTAAAATTTCACGTATATTTAATAGCGAAAATTGAAAAACCTTTGTACAAAAGTTAAGTAGACATTTAATATAAACAAGAGAACACCTATATGCAGAAAATAGAAAAGTTAGACACTGCAGTTTTATAGGGAATGTACAAACGTTCTATCCAAGTTGAACCGATGGAAACTGAAGAAATTGGCACACCTTACGGTACATATTCGTTCTACGTATCGTACGTGCAAGTACACGCACGAATATGCACGCGTAATATATTAAATTATCCATCATGTTTATGTGCGTAACTTTTCTCTTTTTTTTTTGGAAAATTCATTTTCGCCTTTGGAAGAAGACTGTATAAATCCGCTACGCGAAACGAGAATGTACGTTTTTCCGACTTATACGATTATCCCGTTCGCGTGCAAAACGTTTTCGCGAGATTTTCTTTGTACGATAAGATTATAAAATTTATGGTGTTTTTCTTTCGACGCAAGAAAAAATTCTCAATCAGTTTTTTTTTTTTGTTAATTGTAAAGAGGAATATCTTCGTTTTTAAAGAAACTGTACGCCTCGATAATCAATAAATGTAATCAATTTGTATGAAATTTTAATATACGATTCTATTTACAGAGAAAAATTTTTAAAGAACATCTTACGATCAGACTTTTCTGTACATAAAATTGTACGCAATTCGTTTGCGCGGTAATTTTTCTCTGCAAGAATCCTGCGTTTCGACGGGCAACAATTGCCCACATTTACATACATGTACAAGTGTCTTATATAGGACAACTCTTCAGCAGTCGTGACAATGAACGTATCACGATTAGTATGTCACATATGTATTTATAAATATATATTGAGCATGTTACATAAGTATTTATAAATATACACATTAGAAATAATGGTTGAAAACAAAGAAAGTGAACTTAAAAAGTTCTACGAAATAGTTGAATTCATTATGACTTTAGAATAACGTTATTCTTCTTCGAGAATCTAGATAATTAATGCGTTCTTTACAACAACGCGACTGCTGGGAAGTTGATCGTATGCTTTAATAATAAGTGTGTACTTTCAAAAGTTTTGTCACTTAAATGATCATGTTCATATACATCGACGTAGTAACTTAAAAATTTGGTAAACTTCGGTGTTACTTTTGTAAAAAAGGATTTACGTAGAATCGACACCGAGTGTATTATTTATAAATGAAGCATAAAGGTATATCGAATGAACGAGAGGTTTTTTTTTTTTTGCCAATTTTTCTGTAATTCGAGATCGTTTTTATTAATTTTAGATGGTGTATAAGTGTATGAAATTACTGAGACGGTATTGTTTAATGACATTTTTTTAGCACATTCCGTGCAATTTAATGATAAACAGTTTCCAATATTTAATATACACGCATTATAGTTACGAATAGTAATTTCATTTCCATTCAATTCCTTTCGACGAAACATCCACCTTACGATTTTGTGCTTAACAGTTTGTGGAATTATTGTCAGCTAGAAAATAAGTACAGTTACAAAAATTGTAAAAAAATTATGCAATATAAATTAAAGTATCTTCCAGCACATTAAGAATGCTGTTACGATGCTGTTGAAATCAAAATTTGAATATAAGTGAAATTATTTCATTGAAATATTTGATATCACGGAACCAGTTTCAAGTATTTAGCGGTAAAACTATCTATAGTCTTATTAAAATTATGCTGTTAATAAACATGACCGTGCAAACATATTTGCGAAGTACGCGTTTCTTGGCTACTAGCTTTTAATTATCAAAATTTCATGTAGCCGTTCGATCGTGTACAAAATAATTACCTAAACGATGATTTAGGTAAATTTATATTTAATATTAATCACTTTGTTAATTATTGAGCAATTAATTATAACGTACTATTCTCTAGATACATACAAACGTATGTAGTGTTTGGAAAAGATAATAAATTAAACGTAACAGTAACATTATTACTATTTATATGTTTTATAATCAATAACTTATTGTTCCCTTGATGCGACGATGGCAGGGTTAAAACTGTTTGAATAAAAGTAATGACTAGTCGTAGATGACTATACATTTTTGTAGAATATAAAACTAATGGTTGAGAATTTCATTTTACATGCAGAGTGTTTCGTAATTCATGATAAAAATTGGGTCATCGTTATCCTTGATTTTTGTTTTATTTCGAGCCGTAGAATCTGGTTCAATTTACACCATGAATTATGGAACAGTTTGTTGTATCAGCGATTCTTAATTTGTGATAAATATCTGGGGGTTCCCGAAATTCCACAGAAAAATTTTAAATATTATAAAGTTACGTATTATTTCAGCGAAGAATGCAATAGAAAATAAAATAGAGAGATCCAAAACAACGAGCGTATTAACGACAATTGAACTTAATTTCAGAATGCAATGTTTTATTAATGGATTTGGTAATGTTTCTAAAAATTTTGATTTCCTTTCATTCTTAGAACTTTTTCTGACATTCGAAATACAAATGATCATTTCTTTGTATTAAATTCAATGTAAAACAGTCAAAGATTCTATAATACACTTTTGTAATTTAAAAAGGAAACCTACTAAATTCCGTGTTATTTTAAAACCCTGCTTATATATTGGCAGGCACTTTAATCGATTTAATACAATGCAGCAAGTAAACGTTTGAAAGGACACATTTATTAAATTAACTCCTTAAATTCATCGATACCTTAAAGCTTCATTTGGCACGTGTGATTACAATGTTACTTAATACGAAAAAATTGATGTGGCGCTTGTCACTCAGTTTGTTGCCTTTATACTGCGACATCTTCTATTTGTAATAGCGCTTGTTTGGTTCGCCATGTCTAATAACACTTAAAACACTCATTTACAATCTGGGCTACTATTTAAAATGTACATCGAGTGCGTTATATCTTTTTTTTTTTCTTTTCTTTTTAATAAAACGCACAAAAAATGCTTGTCATTACTTTTCTTTAGACTTCGAATAGATTTCTTTTTGTGCGGTGTAGCTTTATAGACTGTTCACGGGACCGAGTCAGTTTTTTTTATTTTCCATAGACAACAAGGAATTGTTATCAGTTTTATTCACGAAAGTAAACGATAACGATATCAAACTCCTGAAAAAAATCGAATTACTCTATTTTCTAATTTTTTTTATCAGAAGGTTCGAATAAATCGAATAAATTCACAGAGTATCGCAGTAGCAAATAATTTGAAAATGGTAAATTTATATTTGTTATATTAACTTCTTGCAATTTGCCTAATTCGTCTGATATTTGATTATGAGTACACGTAATTGTTTATCCAATCGATTCGTGAATTATTCAATGATTTCAGCTGACTTTATCCCGCGAACCGTGGAAAGACGTTCATTTCACGGTAAAACGACGCGATCTCATACTGTCGCACAATCACCGTCGCAGTCGAACCATAATAATTCAGTACGGTTGAGAACGTTTTGAATATCTTTCCCTTTTTTTTTTTTTTTTTTTTTTTAATCTTTCCTTTGTACGGTTCAGAAGTATATTTATAAAGGTTATTTTCATGGCAGTATTCGTGTTGCATTGCCTCAAATATGAAAATCCGAGCTGTCGTAATTGCAAATGTTTTTTTTTTTTTCAGAACTTCCATCGATCCCTCCGGCGATTTAGAATAAAAATTCCTTTTGCTTTTAAGTTGCTCTCGTCAGTCGTTATTAAGTTTCATCTCAGCGACGTAAAAATAAATATCTATTATTATTCAAGGAATATTCTTCGTCGAACACAATCATATACACACGTATTCGTGTAGTCGCGTTCACTTAAAAAAAAAATAAAATTAATTTCAAATCGAAAGAATGATGTTCTTCTAATGATTTAATAATATATAGTATGTAACACGATATATGGGATTCGGATTCGTAGATTTAATTTTGTTACGTTGAAATAGTAAAATCGCTTCGTATAAACGTGTGTCCGATTTCGTCTTGTGTCCAATGAGAGCTTTGTATTCTGTTAATACGTTTACACGGATGAAATCATTAAACTTATTGTTAGTAATGCTTTTTGATTGCAAATTCACACATTTGCAAATTAAATTCATTCCTTTGTTTCGGAGTACGTGGTCTTGTTGATCAGATAACGGATAGTTTATTTTTTCTACCACCGTTTCTCAAAAATCAAATTGTGCAGCGATTACGATAAAGTTTGCTCTCTTTTTTGGTACAAAATGGAGGCAGCTCCAGTCTTATAATAAAATAAACAGGATACAGATTTCAAGCTCGGTGTAAAAGTTTCTCCAAAGGGTTTCTTAAAGAGGTATTTGATTAAATAAAATTAAACAGTGATTTTACACGGCCCCCTCTTCGTTGTTTTACTGGAACAAATTCACATCTCCTTATTACAGCAGACCCTTCAATTTAAATTTCGAGCTGACATAAACAGTAGAACTATTATATTCCTGAAACGCGAAGTTACAATTTGAAAACAGCGCGAAACCAGGCACTCGTTCATAGGAACTTATTGTACCGTATCAATCAGATGTCCATGTCTGAATCGGTTCCCACATATTATGTTACACCCTGTACAAAGTGCACGTATCGTGCGTAAAATGTGTTTTATCAAGTTTCTCTTTTTTCCCCTTTTTCTCTTTTTAAATTGAATTGTTTTTTAAATTGTGTTGCTTGAACACTCCAGTCCTGTTCCTGTTATGCCACTTACACTTCAGGATTCTCACGTAGGTTCTTCGGAAAGCCGCGTTACAGAGAGCGTAACACATCGGGTTCACAGTACTGTTAATGTAACAAAGGTAATAGAAAAAGTCCCAGAGTTCCTGCGGAATGTACCACGAGCATTGCGTGATCGATTTTATCAGGACAAGAATGTTGTACGGCGCCCAAGTGATGATGAACGCCAACAAGATGGCTGACAAAGTCTTTGCGGCTTTTCGTTCACTTTTCTTCTCCTGGATCTTGTTTTTCTTGTTGTCGTCGGTCTTGCTGGCCGTTTCCTTACTCGCTACTGGTTTCGGTATGTACTTCGTGTTCAATGGTATTTTTATGTCGGGCATTTGCGACGGCCTCCTGATTATCGAGGGCGGGCTCGACAGCGTGCTCTCGAGCCGAAATATTTTACCGTTCTTCTCGTCTACGTCCTCTATCATGCTGTGAAGCTGGCTGGGCACGATGTCGTCGTGATACATCTTTATGCTCAGCCCCTCCGTGTACTTCCCTATACCGCTGCTGTCCCTTTTCGGAAGCTGAATCAGAATTGTGTAGACCTACGACGAGATTCTTATTACACCAACAAACTACGAAACAAACGCGACGGTTACATTTAATTTCTTTCGAGCAACTTCGAGGGAAGTCCCTGAACGCGCGGGAAAACGCCACTGGGCAGTTAATTTCATTTTCTCAAATGAGAATAATAATGCTAAGGTTTGATATATGAATAAAACGTGATGGCTAGGCACAGGCTACCGGGTTACTGGGCTACCGGGCCGCCATTTGCAAAGTTCTGATGCAGATAATTCAGGCTGAATGGAAGCGAACAAACGATTCTTAAAAAGCATAGAATAATAACGAAAAATATTTTCACAATAACGAAACACACAACAGATTCAATAGCATGCAAACAGCCTCAGAAATTCTTTTAAAATACGAACGTACAGTATCGCTGGAGATACTTGTTGTTGACAATTCACCGATTTTCTCAGACTTTCTGTATTCGTGGTTGTCGGCGATACTGATGCTTTTGTCAGTAGTTAGTGTTGTGGATTGAATTCCGCTTATGGAAGCAGATCGAGACACCGTACCAGTTAGAGGAGTTTCTGCTGATAATGGTGTTATAGTTTCGTCGTAGCCTTGTCCCGTACGACTGCTCTCTGCGCCTTCGATATCGTCCTCGTCGTCGTCGTCATCGTCGTCGTCGTCGTCGTCGTCGTCACGGCCGCTCAGCCACCATGCAATGCACCACATTTTAAGCCACATCCACGAGAAGGGTCTGTATTTCTGTGAACAATTTTAAAGAGGAATTTGCAAGGCCAAGATGTGTGCCCATAAATATCGTTTCGAATACATACTGTTTTATATTGAGGATAATGTTTCTCAAGGTACGAGGCTGCGATATGTGTCGAATTCATGTCATCGGCTGTGCTGGACTCGCTTCTGGGCCTTTTATAGTCGTCCATATTTAATGCGCTGTTAGTAAAGGAGCAAACGTACAATCGATAATAATTTAAATTCTCATTTTGTGTTAAAAATATTTGGAAAACCACCTAGATGGGTTATGTTTGATGGCGTCCTGTTTTCCTGCCTGCAAATACGGTAAAATCTTCTGGCGGTTCGTGGTCTTTTTCCATATCCTCCAGTATAGAATACACATCACGGAAACGGGGACATAAAATGCGGCAATTGCTGTACCAAACGTGATGTAATGATTTGTCTCGATGAATTGTATGTAGCAGGCATTATCGGGTACTGTTCTTTGTCCCTCGATATATGGCCAAGCATAAATCCATGGTGGCCACAGCAGTAACGATATTCCCCATGCAGAAGCTAGAATAAAAATTATCTATTCACTCTTCCCTCCGTTACAACGTTTTTCTATATTATTATTATTTGGTACAGTAAAGTTCCGATTATCCGGAATGTCCGACTATTCTTAAATAAATGTTACGAATTTTATTTTTTATTAACAAATTGTATTACTACATTACCCATGGTTGTGTTTATTAAAAATAAAAAATGAATTTTTAAGAAAAATCGACAGTAGGTAAGCGCGGACATTTTTCGACGTAATTAAAAAATTTCAAATCGTTCTAAAAAAATTATTTTTAGTTCCGGGGGTCAATTACAATCATTTTTGGTGAGTAGACATACCCCCGAATTCCTAGCCAGTTTCGAGAAAAAAATTCAATAAGTGGATAAATTTTTCGACAAAACTAAAACATTTCAAATCGTTCTAAAAAAATTATTTTTACTTCCGGGGTTCAGTTACAATCACTTTTGGTGAATAGACATACCCAAAAATTCCTACGCACTTTCAAGAAAAAAATTCGTTACCCAAAATATATAATGAGTGGCCAGAAATGGTTCCCCGCATGCGTATGTTTAAAAAGTCATAACTCCTGAACGGATTGGAGGATTTTAATGTTTCAAAATGCAAACAACGCGTATTCTGGTGAAGAATATTTAGAAATTCCAAGAATGTTCGAAAAGTTATTCTTTGACCCTGTACAGAGAGAAAGCCTCCATAAAAATGGCGCAATTCCTCGTCTTTATCACTTCGTATGTTGGTGTAGTCCAACTATTCGGCATATTAGATTTTCTGGCATTGCCCCATTCTCGAGTATGCCGGATAATCGGAACTTTACTGTACGAAGAACCAGTTTACCGATCATAATGGCTGCCTTGGAAGTTGTTCTCTTGGCACGATAGGTAAGAGGCCACATTATAGAGAAATATCTGTCGAAACTGATGATCAGTAGATTTAAAACCGATGCGTTGCTTGCCAAATAATCTAACGCTAACCATGTGTCGCAGACATGCGACCCCAATGGCCAATAACCAAGCACAGTGTACACCGTGAAAAGGGGCATTGAAATTAGACCGATTGCAAAATCTGCAATTGCTAAACTGAACAGGAAATAATTGGAGGTAGTTTGCAACTGTTTGTCGATTTTGAACGAAATCATCACCATGACGTTTCCAACGACAGTCATCACGCTGAGAATAACTGCAACGATCACAATAAGCACGCGCTCCCATAGTCCGTAAGAATGTGGTTCGCCACCACAGTCAAGACCATTGGTCGCATTGTAACTCTCGTTTCCGGAAATATCCACAATTGAAGTTACATTCATGTCTGAAGAGTTCACCTTCTCGAAACAATGTTTTTATTCGTCCTGAATTTTGTTCCCTTCCAAAAAACTCAAATGAACCTTCCCGTTTCTTCGTTCCTGTTCTCCTTTAATACTCTCGATTAAAAACTTCGTCTTTGGTTTTCAATGGTTTTCTTTTAACCCATTTTCATTTCAACTATAGATTCTTCCATTACGTTGACATTTATCATTCCTATTTTTTCTCTTCGAACCACTTCGAGTTTTAGTAAAATCCGTCCGTTTGTTGAGATTGTATAATTCTCCTGTTACTTAAAACAATCTGTTTTACATACAAAAGTTTCTTATTTATCTTTCATTTTTTTTTTTTTATCGTTTAGAATTCATTTGTTTCGCTTCCAACTAATTTCCGTAAAAATTTTTCCTTCCATCTCTCGCTATTCAAAACGTTTCGCATTCGTCGTTGTAATAGAAATATTTTGCAACTATATCCACGTTTTTATTTCATTATTCGGGTATGTCTATTTTGTTGCTCGAAAGTATTTACTTGCGATTCGATGAGAATACTCTTAATGAAAGTTCTCCCCTTTGTGATTCCCCTCTTCTGTCGCGTTCGTTCTCTCTCTCCCTCCCTCTTCCTTCTCCCTCTCTCTCTCTCCCTCTCTCTCTTTCTCTCTCTCTCTCTCTCTCTCTCTCCCTTTCCCTCCAACTACTATTTCTTTTTCGCATATATTTAGAAATATTGTTATTCTTGTATGTATTTTTTTTTTTTTATGTGTCACGTATTGAGCCAAAGCATCCTCCTCTGAGTTTCAATCTCTTCGTAAACTGTTCTTCTTGTCCTTCATGTGCAACCAACGTAGATACATGCGGCACGGACGTACGCACACGCGATTATAAACTTGCTTTCCTGCGCAGAAACTGCCACGGAAATTTATGTACGAACTTCTCATTTACGGAATTAAGGGATGCGTCAACTGTAAAGCTTCCTCGATGTTTGTGTCGATGTTGCGCAATCTATAAAGAAAAAAACACATTTAATTCTTGATCTTAGCTCAAAACGTTCGTGTATTGAATTATGGTACACGAATTAAGGGGGGAGTCCCAATGTGAATGATAGAAAATCGAACCATTTTTCTTAATTTTTTTTAAGGAAACGTTATATCTGACGTTATGATTCTTTTTTGCAGTTTACTTAGCTATCCTTTGGGAATACGAGATAATTTTTTTATTAATTTTTATTAACTTTTAATGTTGTCACCTGGCGTAGGTGATTGCAGCTCTCAAGGTTGGCTAAATCAAAAAAATCAAAAAGATTTTTATTTGGTAGGTTTACAGTTATCGCCCGTACAAAAATAATTAATTTATGTTGCGAATTGACAAAATGGTGAAAGCTTGAAGTAAAAATTGCAAAATTTCGTCGTTTCTTTTGCAACTTTTTAATAAAAAAGGTATGATAAACTCGTTATAACAGTTTGATTTTGGTACGGGCGAGAAGTGTTAGTATGTGGAACAACGTGTAAAAATTTCAAAGCAATCGAACGTATAGTTTTTGAGATTTTATCTACGCCAGTTAAGAAACTAACGTTTCGAGAGAAAAAATGTTCTACAATCCATAATACTTGACATTCGTCTCTCAAAATTTAACAGTACATTCTTAAATATATATACTTTCAAAAAATGAGGGAAAAAAACAATTGATATTTTTAGGGTCTCGCGTGAGACTCCCCCCTTAAAAAACTATAGGCTGACAAAGTAAAATCAAATATAAATCAATCGAAGAGCGAAGATAAACGAGCTTGATTCATATTCATTACCAACTAAGTAATCCATACTAGTATCCAGGTTAACGTTGCCACCATCAATGCGAATATGTCCTGGAATGTGCAAGCTACCATTCTCAAATACGCCGCAATGTACTGGTGAATGGAGGGAAGTCATTTTGTACATTTATGGTGACCCTGTAAATTGATGTTCGAAAATAAATAATAAATGTTTTGAAATCCCAACGCCAGGATGTAAACGTAATAAACATCGCGTGACTGTTCTTTCACGTTCGAATGCATCAGGTAGCCGCAAATTGCAGATTTTATAAATTGGTGAACGCAAAAAACCTCGAAGTATTGCGAATAATATTTTTGAATGGTCGAAAACGTGTATCGAGTATTAAATAGAGGCAATTAGAAAATGGGGAAAGACAAAATGTCCTTCCATTGATGCAACCAATAGGTATCAATGTCTACGTTTTAGAAACAAAGTCAAGGAAGCCAAACATTCGTGTGGACGTTCCTCATTGTTTTTCGTGCGCCGAATTCATTCTTGATGTTACGTTCGCGTGCTTTGATGCCTCGTATAACGCGGTTTATTATTAAGTGGCACGGTTGTACGTCAATAGCTTTGCATTAGTTCTCCTTATTCAAGCTATAAATAATTTTCCAATATTGTTTCATCCTCGCACGCATAAGCACCCGTAAACCGTGTCAAGCGATAGTTCTATTAAAATACATCTTTGCATATATTAAAAATATCATCCTAGGAAAGGATTAGTCTGCCGAAAGGAAAACTGCCGCATAATACTTTCGTCGGTGGCTTCGTCGAAATCGGCTCTAACTCAAACGAGTATTAAAAGATAACGTTACGTGTTTCGCGTTCTGCTTGCAATGTTTGCAAACTAATTATAAACTAATTATAGTATCGTTGGAACGATTATCGTGCGGTCAAAAATAAACTTTACAAGCAGTTTTCTCAAAAAGGAAGACCAAGAGAGCCCCGCTATTGGCAAAATCGAAACGCAGACAATGGCACAGAAATGTTTCCAATAACCAGTGCCATCGACAAAGGTTGAGTCCTCGGCATCTATTGCATTAACCGTATTGAAGCAGTGATCGCATACTCTCTAGAACAATGGCAGATATAGACGCCTCGTCGACGGAAGCCCTTTTGAAAACGATGCAGCGCTCGACGTTACACGGGTGTTAATTTAATTTTACTTACTTCTTGCAGACGTGCACTCTCTGCCATTTATAGCTGTTTATTGATAACATGTCGCTTTCTCTTTTATATCCGTGAATTTTGTTTCAGGATCGCGTAGCGTCGAGGTTTAATGAGCGCGGCGCCATTTGCCACTGACATGTTGAAATTAGTGATCATAACAGCAATTCCAGTCCCATTATTCACCATTTCACACAACACGGTATCACGATATCTTTTCCATCGAATCTCAGACCGGCAGATATAATTACTGCGCATTGAAAACATGTGTAAAGCGTATAAATAACAATACATAGTATACGAATGTGCATATATACATAGGATCTTACGTAAGATTAAGTTTACAATTTTTTTTTAAATTAATAACAAAATGTAGAATCAAATTTGTTCGTGTGAAGCTTATCGAAACGATTGAATTGGAAGATTTGTCGTCTGTCCAATACGCACTATTTCTACTAGTATCATACTTGCATCGTATATTAACACTTTAATGGCCGCACGTATCACGCGAAGACCGTTGTTCGTCACTACTGATATTGTAGACCAAAGTGAGATACATGAAGATGTTAAGAATATTATTATAAGGAATTATAAATGTAACTTCAACAAACGTAATAAGTTGAATGTATGCAAAGTCACGTATACGTGACAGCGGCCGTCAAAGTGTCAAAAATAGACAAATTTCTAACAGTTAAAATTGTCAATCACGATCACAGCCTGAGAAATTAAAGACGACACGCGTATCTTTTTATTTAGGAAAGTAGCATAAGAGCGTTATGGTCAACCAGTTGTAGCGGCCGGGCGCGTGGGTCGTTTACCTGAAACGGACCGCACTGTGGCTTTTAACAGTTCATTATGATCCAATTATAAAACGACCATCCTAGAAGTGACCTTATTTTATAACGGGCGCTTTAAATAATGCGCTAATATTTATCTTGTTTTATTTTTAATTAGTTAATTAGGCTCGAGATTTGTAAAACAGCACGCTTATAATTTTCGTAGCGCAAACACGAGTTTGTCGGAGTGAAAGAAAATGTCTGAAACGCCTTAATAAACGAAGAAATAGCAGCTTTATGCAGTTGATAGTTTCGGAGACAAAAATTGATTTGCACAACATGTTTCCTCTCAGCCTCTCAACGAGCACACTCGAATTAACTCGAGCGAACGATACTGTCAGAAATGTGCACCCTTAAGTTAACTCGAGCAGCGTTACATTTTATGTTACTATAATGTGCATGCTCGAATAAATACGGGCTATGAAAAATAATCCCAAGAAAGTCGTAATTGTTTTTAATTCTCCTGTGATACCTCGTGATTGTCCAATATCGTACATTTTTTTAAAAAATTATGTCCTATCTTCGAGACCAAAAAAGCGTGGACGTCGAAACGTAGAGAAAACGTTTTCATTTTTTGGACAACGGTATTGTAAGCGAGTAAAAAAATTAAATACAATTAAGAATCAGCGCACTGTACGCGCAATTAAAATTTAGTCGATTAATTATCGTCCACTAATTATATAATTTATTAAATAATACTGGCGGTTAATCAAAATGAATTGCAATTAAGGTTTTATCTATTGCGGAAATGAAGGGTTCACGACGATTGACAGTTAAATTAATCGTTAATCACTCTGAACAAGTAGATAACGGTTAAATTAATCGTTACTCGCTTGCGATCGTTGATTAATTAAATTACTGATCGACCCACGGTGAAGTCGTGACGAAAATATCGAACATTTTTTTTTTTCTGCATATTTAACCGTTTAACAATCACTTTTTTGCGGTTGACGGATACAAATATTTACATGTACAATAACAATGTATAGTAGCGTATAATAGTAAGTTGATAATTTGTCGAATACACATGCGATTGAATATGATTTGGCTGATGCGTCTGACCATTAATTACTTCTTCCACTTGCACTTAAATCTAACAATAAGTAGCACTCTAATCAACGCATATCTGTAGGAATACTGTTTTTAAATAAAATTGACGGCACGAACAATAGAGAAATAGTTGAAATTATTACTATATTACATAGAACACCAGGATGTAGTAACTGTGCTGATAATGATATCATAAAGTAGTTTCATGCAGCAAAGATAATGATAGTATCGTCAAATTAATATGTATGCAAATAAATTATCATTTTCCAAAATAGTACTGTTATCGGTTTAATGTTGAATATGAAAATTATAATTAGAGAGTGCATATAAATATCATACATAACATTCGATTAACAAGCTATAAAATATTTAGAAGTAATTGATCACATTACCGTAACAATAATTAAAATTTACTTACTTCGGGGTAAAATATATTTACAAAGTCTAGAATAAAATTAAGATTAGAGAATAAAGGCATGCAAAATAACTCGTACGTATAATGAATTAGATATAATGCAGAGTAAATTAAAAGTGTTCTTTATACGAATCAAGGCACATAAAATCTCTCATAAAAAAAGTGTTCTTAGAATGTTTGAAAGAGCACAACATGCAGAATGAAACGTCTAAAAGGGCAAATTAGAACATTAATCGCAAAATTAAACTGTAAACGAATTTGTAAGTTTGTAATGTCGGTCACCCGTGACCACCATGGCAGTCAACGTGCTACAATCGAACTCAAATCCGTTTTATTGGCACAACAACACTTTGATGTGTTAAACAGTCCATAACAATGAAAGTTATTATAATTAAAGCGTGGAAACAGAAACAAAAATGACGAGGGATTTATATCATACATTTGTATTAATACTAACAGTGATAATAATTGTTGCTATCGCTGCTAGTATTGTAATTATAACAATTATATTACACAGCTCTCCTGTAAATCGATCGATTCTTCTAACATATTAAACAAATTATACCATGAACGAAGTATTAACTATAATGTATAAATATAATAATAACGATCGCTATAAAGTGCAATCTTTTGAAGCTATTTACCTTTTTCCATGTGTTCACGCATACCACATAACCACTTGGATAAAATTCATCGATTCCTTAATCGTACAACACATATTACATCTTGTTCCTTTCTCATGCTTTTCCCTGCATCGAGGCATTTACTACAAAACGCAGGAAACAAAAACACTGAATTAAAGACACTAAAATACAACGTGGAATGTTTACTTATTTTAATATTAGAACTAGAACGGCGAACTATTAGGCGTGGTAGGAAACTAACTTATGGTAGGAAACTAATGATCAGGGTTGGGGTGAAACGCAAAAATAATTTCAATACTTTTCGAATAAGAAACAAGGATTAACGAACGTTTCTCGTGGTACTTGACGAGCTTGGATTGTACCAAAGTCTCGGGCGTTTAAAGGCGAAATAGAAAATCTTCGAAATTGTCATCGAGCAATTTGGACGAAAACACAGCGTACCGATCGAACGATAATATTTACGATAAACCGGGTCAAAGTGGACAACGAAAATCCATAGAAAAATCGTCCGTGGCTTCTACGGTGTTGTTGATGTTAAAAACATCACTGGCAATAAACTCAAAATACGCAGCTCGGTGTACACAAAAGATCCGTATAATGTTTTCAGTTGTTTCACCAAATTCAAGTCACTCGAAGACCAACGTTAAAAGCCGTGGGGATACGTAGAATAAACTGGATTCCAAATATCGCGTGCATCGGGCGCACAAAAATATTCTGAACCAATTATTGACCACCAAAGATTCCGAAGTTGAATAAGTACCGCCCTTTTCTCATCAATCATCAACGACACATTCTCGTCATTTTGATTCACTCGAATTCGAATCCAAACCCAAGGGGGATAGACAACACAACAAGTAGACACACGGATCAAGGGAGGACGAACCGCGTGTATGTTATATAATGTACCCCGCGTACGTGTAGATGTGTGACAGAGTAAGTGAGCGAATAAGTGAGAAAGAGAGAAATCGAGAGAAACACAAAATGAGAGAGAAATAGAGAGAGAGAGAGTGTGTGTGTGTTATGTGTACATGAGAGAGAGAGAGAGAGAGAGAAAAGCAGAGTGAGGGAGAGAGGAGAACGCAAAGCAACGATGATTGCACGAAGGATGCGTTCGCGACGGAAGTACGAGGCACACTAAGGGCGTGGGCAACCAGAGCAAGGCCGGTGTGGAGTTCCGAGGGGAGGACCACATTGATTTTGATTTTCGAAGCGCGCGCATGAGTCTTCGCGTTCAGCTCTGCCCATTCATACGTATGGGACGTTGGTCCTTAGCTAGTGGATACTACATATTCTCTTGATCATTCACACTTAACATCAGAATTTGTTTACAGACTGATTTGCGCTCGGTTCCCTTGAGAAAAATATATTGCACGACGTCGGAACGGATCCCAGCCGCAAAGAGAACGGATTAACGCGGCACAGTTGCTTATTGTTTTTCACAATCGATACGCGGTATCGGGGTACAATTTCCATCCTAAATCATAACGTATAACAAGAAATGGTTCCTGGGACTACATACGCGAAATTAGAAAATAATTTAACAATACGTACCATCGTTATGATAGATTTATTGTAAATATCAGAAGTGACTTACGAAACATTTGATGGTTATTGAAATTAAATAATTGTACATTTTAATAGAAAATGGGCCCATCGTTTGCTTTTACAACGGCACTAGGTCTGTGATTATTTAGTAAATTCAATTCTGATACACTGTCTTTTACGTTTTTAAGTAAAATATTGGACTTACAAACTTTTCGGGGAAAACAGTTAAGCTTTCATCGAGTTGAAACTCTCGTGAAAATCACCGGTGGTAGACACAGGAGTCCTTACGCGAAACGTGCGGCCATCAAAGTCGCTGCAAAAATATACCGAAACAGAATCACAAAAGTATTCGAGCGCCCAGAGATTAAGCGAATAAACAATTATTTGCAAAAGAAAATGAAAATAAAAATAATGCTTTCTGGAAAAATACAGGGTGTCCGGCCAACCATGGGAAAAATTTTAATGGGGGATTCTAGAGACCAAAATAAGACGAAAATCAAGAATACCAATTTGTTGATCGAGGCTTCGTTAAAAAGTTATTAACGTTCAAAGTTTCGCCCGAACTGAATTTTTTTCTCGAAAACGCAGAGGATTTCGGGGGTATGTCTATTCACCAAAAGTGATTGTAATTGATCCCCGCAACCGAAAATAATTTTTCCATAACGATTTGAAATTTTTTTTCCCGTCGAAAAATTTCACACCTTCTCGAATTTTTTTCTAGAAAGTGGGTAGGTATTCGGGGGTATGTCTAATGACCAAAAATTATTGTAATTGACCCTCGCAATCGAAAATAATTTTTTCAGAACGATTTGAAATTTTTGAATATAATTGTTAATAACTTTTTAACGAAGCCTCCATCAACAAATTGGTATTCTTGATTTTCGTCTTATTTTGGCCCCTAGAATCCCTCATTAAAATTTTTCCCAGGGGTGGCCGAACACCCTGTATATTTTGGTCGGACGGATATCGTTGTATCTCCGAACGCCTAATTTAGAAACGAATTCTAGACGCCCTACTGTAAAGCACGGCGGTGGTTTCGTGATATTATGAAGTTGTATAATTGTGAATAATAAAGGAATTTTTCATAATTTTTATTTAGAAAATGAATTATTTAGTTTCTAAAATAATAAACCAATGAAACAGAACAACAATATTATTATTTGTTCAAATTGTTCAATATAAATTGAAAAATCCTTTACCATTTTGCAATCTGGAGCTTTGTTTGCGAGATGTCAGCAGTCAAAATTTATAAATCCGACTTTCGGGCGCACTGTTTATATTTAAATCGGCTGAGCACGTGGTCACACATCACACACGTTCACATACGTATACTGTTAATACTAATGCTCTGAACGTATCTCTGTGAAATTTAACATACTGCTACACAGGTTTAAACAATTGTTCACGCATCAAAACCTGATGCTATAATAATAGCAGTTTCTGCTGCATCTAAAAAAATGAACATTTGCATACTTTTATTTTTATCACGTCATTACTCTATTGTTATAACACGGAACATAATATGTATACTAGCGATTACTTTGTAAAAAAAATAATAAAAATTATGAATTATTCATATGAATAGCAATAGTATTGTCATTAAAGAATTATACCAGCCTTATGTTGCTACCACAAAAGTAGCCATTAAATTCTTATTTATACCGCCATGTGTTTATTATCTATCCTTTTCTGTACTCCTTTACTATTGTATTCAATAGTAAGATACTGTTATTTAATTATTGACTATGAACATTACTGCCATATGTTAATTTATATATTTCACAGATGTAATTGAATGTAATGATTACATTTCGGCAGTGGTTTTAATAGAAATGATGAATAAAAGTATGAAAAGACAACTTTCCACCCACCGTCCCAACAGTCTATTTAGTTCCGAGGCTTCTCGCCTGTAGCGCTGTATTGAGACCAATAAAACCTTGAAAGTTGCTTATCTTTAGCTTGGACCCCCTGGTTTCAAGCATTTCAAGTAAAGAAGCATGTGTTTATTGTTTAACTAATACTTATTATTATTAACGTAATGATAGTCGTTTAAATTACAATTTTATAAGAGATATTTTACGTAAAAACATACGTATTATTATATTAAAACGTAACAAAAATGATCTTCATTAATATCATGCAAAGTACTCTTCGTCCGCTTCGAAGTTTAAAAAATCTTCAAACAATTAACACACAGTCAAATGTAACGAGGACATACGCAAAGTGGATGAGTCGAAGACCAACTAAAATTGTTAACGAAGATGAACTGTTCGAAGCCCAGGATACTACCGAGGTTAGTACCAAAAAAAAATTCGTTCGAAACAGAGCGATTTCTAATAGAAAATCGAACAGAAGGAAGACAACAGAAGAAACACCGGTAGAGTCTAAAAAAACTTCTACAACCAAGGAAACAAAAAGCTCACCGCTCACAGTTCTTAAATTAAACGAGAAAGTTGTATCGTAAGTCCTTTAATTATATTACCAATGCATTGCAAATAAAATCATCCATAAATGTCACAGGTATACATTTATCATTTTGGTTTAGATCTTTAATGACTAACATTAAGTCTCGAAAGAAAAGGGAAAAGAATAACGAGATAGTTTTGGAAGGACGTAGATTAATTGAAGAGGGGCTCAGAGCCGGTGGAAAACCAATTGCAATATTATATAATAATCCAGCAGATATAGATTCATTCAAATTTCCTGGAGATGTAAAATTGTATAAAGTTCCATATAACACGATTCAACTCTGGTCTAGTTTAACTTCTTCTCCTGGACTAATAGGTATTACTGCACTATTGTAATATATAATATGATTTTCTTTTTATCATTATTTGTATTTTCGGTGCAGGAATTTTTCAAACTCCAGATACAAATAAAGATCCTGCGAACAACGCATTGCCGCTTACTATTATATGTGACAATGTGAGAGAACCAGGAAATTTAGGATCTATTATGAGAGCTGCAGCAGGTGTAGGTTGCGAGAGATTAATATTAATGAAAGGTACAGTATTACAGAATTGTATTGACTAGGGATGCGCGGGATCTCGCGAGAACTCGTCTCGTCTCGAACATCGAGATTTCGCAACATTCCTAATATTTACCTTAACAAATTGCTCGTATAAATGATTAATTGCATATTACATATTAGTTCTATTATCTGTCTGCCTAGGTTGTGTAGATCTGTGGGATCCAAAAGTTCTTAGAAGCGCAGCTGGAGCTCATTTTCGATTGCCTATTAATGCGTTTCCGATGTGGGACGAGATTCCATCGTTGATCGGCGAAGGCTCGAATATTATTTTGGCAGATAGTAACTTTGGTGACGAATTTATATCAAAATATAGCGAGGATGTACTTGAAATGAGTCTAGGGGTATTCGGAACTGATCCAGAAGAACTCAGAGCAAGTGTTATCATCGACGATAATATCACGGATAAAAGCACAAACTCACCACCAACAATTCCAACTAATAAGCAAATGATGAAAAATTTTTTGTTGAAACTACCTATCGTACCATACTATGCTCTGGATTATACAAGAAACGAAACTGTACTTGTCTTGAGCGGAGAAACCGAGGGTTTTAGTTTAGATTCATATAAATTATTAAAGGAACGAAAGGGCATTCGTATTAACATACCTTTAGTAAACGGAGTTGATAGTTTAAATACAGGAGTGGCTCTTGGTATTGTCACCTTCGAAATAAAAAGACAATTTGTAAAAAAAAGAAGTGAACCTTAATAAAGCTTTTTCTTAATATACTATGCGTTCTCATGAACAAATCTTTATTTTTCGTTTCCCAAAAAGCATTAAAATTTTTAACGTTTGTAATACAATACCTTAATTTTCATTATTGACGGGTTGTGCCGCAATTGGTCGAACTATAAAATTTAAGAAAAAGAGTATTTATCATTGATGTTTATGTAATACGTTTACCAAGAGAATCTTACTTGTGCAACTTTGGGGCTGAAATTTTATATCATCGATTGCGAAACCTCCATTACTAGCGCTTCCTCTTAAAATAAGATGATAGGGTACGCGAGCATCTATGGTCACTTGTGCAGCTGTCCATACAGGTCTTGGATTATTAAATCCTTTCGCTGTTAGCGACCATAACTAAAATAAAGAAGTTTTAGACTACAATTCCGTATTCAATGACATAAGCTTCTAGAATTTTTGTACAAATCTTACGGGTTGTTCCTGTTTCCCAGCGCCTTCGTCGTCGTTCTGGTCGTCTTCGGTATTCGCCTTAATGATTTGCAAAGTCGTGGATTCCTCGACTCCGAAAGCGGCAAACCAAAACGTAAAACACACGGATTCTTCGTCGGGTGACGTTTGTATAACCGGTGATCGTAACCGTACGTCGGTAGATTTTTTATTCGTTGTAAAAATGTCGAAAAAAACGAAGTCGCCTGTCGCACCGAAGGTTTTGTCCAACAATTGTGCTGGACGATGAGCAAGAAATGCGCGCTGCCAGGTGACCGCACGCTCGTTATCCGAGGAAGTAATATTTTCCCAGCCGCACAATCCTTTCTCAAAGCTACAATCCTCTGCTCTTACCGATGCACTAATCGGTTTCACTGATACGATATTGAGAAATTTATCAATTAGTGTTGGGGATTGAAAACGGTTCCGATATCGATTCCGATTACTGAACAATTATAAGAACCGAAACCATAGTGTAACGGTAGATCCTAGTGTACGGCAGTGGCCATTTATCCGGTTGTGTAATAAGTCCATTAATATTTTAAGTAGATAAGAAGAACAACTTACCGGTACAATTGCCAGTATAAAATGAAATATCGTCGATACCGATGCTGCCGCTGGCACGATTAGGACCCCAAGTACCTTCGAACACTACGCTAAAGTCTTTCCTCTCGTTTATATTAATCTGTGCATAATTCCAGGTTGGTCCTTGGTTATTGTACAACTGCCAGATTGGTCTAGATTCCGACGAAGATTCCCCGCTTGTTTGAATAGACACGCGAAGCACTCCTTTAAAGGTAACGGGTCGTTAAAGAACTTAAAACGTTTAAAAGTAATTACATAAAGCGTGTCACGCAACATGACAACTCAAAATAAACTCGTTTCGAACAAAAATTACGAGCAGCTCAGTAAATAATTTTAGACCTTGCTTTCTAGAATATTTTTGTATATAAAACTTGATGGCGATGTACGAACCTAAACTTGGCCCGGTTGAATCGATGAATGATTCGAACATGAAGTACCAAAAAGTGACACAAAGTGGCTCGTCGGTGCCTTTCATCTCTCGGCTGACAAGTTGCGCTGTCCCACCGCCGGATGATCGCGGTCCTCCTCTTGGACGACCCAGACCAAGGAAATGCTCGTTTCTTCGGTTGATCGTATATCCATTACTGTACGGTTTTCGTTGATTCCTCGGACTCAATGCTTGAATGGACACTCTCTCCCATTCAACTCGATCCGGATCGCGAGAATTGATCCAGTCACATTCGTCCACTTCGAAAGTACAGTCACGCGGTGTTGGCGCGGCAACTTGAGGCGAGACTGTTAATGAACATATTTTTTAAAGACAGGATAGCAGTGCTTACTGTGATACCTGTATCCAATACTGAATTGTATTGAAGTCAAGAGAATTAAAAGAGCGAGAAGCAATTTTCACCAGGACAGGAGCCTTGCGTGAAAGAGATGTCGTCGATAGCAATGTCTCCCATTCCTGTGTTCCCCACGGAAGCTTCGAAGACAAGTTGAAAGTCATCGAGAGAGCTGATCGTAATTTGAGCGACAAACCACGTGTTTCCAGCGTTCCCGTTTAAGCTCCAAATCTCTCGTAGCGGCGCGTCCATGCTACGGAAGTAACGCAGAAAGAGCTTCAGGGTACCAATTCCAGCGCCAAACATATGGAACCAGAAGTGCATACACATGGGTGTATTAGCACTTGGCGCGGGGAAACTCGTACTGAGGAGCCTGGCTCTATCTCCTGGTCTACGTGGAAACGAAGAGTCTATGTAGGCGTATCCTCCAGACGCTGAACGATCGCTGGAACTGTCGGTTGCTGGTCCGGTCGTTGGATTTCCACTACCCCGACTCTGCAACATTTAACATTATCGAAGTCTACAGATGTTTATTAGGATGGTTTAAATGGCACTCAAGGCACACGTAACTTACAATCGTCCAGTCAAAGTCATCCTCTGCATCGTTGCTCCAGTCGCAAAATCCGCTAGCAAAATTACAGAAGCCAACGCACGAAGCACCCGGCTGCAAATCTATATCGTCCACAGCTAGGTATCCTCTGTACAGACGCGCTGGATCAGTAGGATCTACAGGAATCCCCTCGATGATCACCTAATGACAAATACTCGATGTAACGCTGTTCCGTTCATAATCAAACAGACCCGAACAGAACAGATGAATTAAATCAATTATCGGGGAAAGAAAATTACCCAATTACCGAATGCAACAGAGGATAAGTATAGAGCAATTGCGCTTGTTGCCAAACGCCTAGGGTGTAATACTGTGCGTTCCAAATAACACGCTCGTTAGGAACTTCCACCGATTTACAGGTTGATATCGTCACGTTCTCCGGTGTGATCTCCTCGGTTTGTGCTTTCTTGATAGAGTATTCGTCCGTACCCATGTGAAGCAAAATCCTTAGACCAGCGATGCTCAGGCCATCCATGGTATATTTGAACATGACGCAAGTCCCGGTTACCTCTGTACTACCTAACTGAGGACTGTGCAACAATCCTCCCAAGATTTTCAGTTTGCCATCTTTCAATGGTAATTGCGATGTTTCTAGAAAGGCGTACCTAGATCCAAGGGGCAACAAAAATATATTTATTCGATGCAGCGTGGAAAGTCTTGAATGGCATACCCTCCCTCCATGGTACCAGTGGTATAGTCACTTGGGGGACCACCCATCCAGTTCGTGCCCATGCCGGTACCGGCTGTCCATTCCAACGCGTCGTCGCCATTTTGCCACTCGCAAAGTGTCTGCGCCGGAAATGATCCAAAGTCGCAGAAGACCTCATCGACGGATGCTGTGGGTGGTGGTGCTGTCACGGAGGGGTATCTAGATTTTTATATAAAACAAATGAAAAAGTGAGATTTGGATGAAAGTTTGCAGCAACGGATTAAACGATAAGGGTGAAGAATTGTATCGAAAAGTCGAAAACTTTTTACCTTTGCGTCGACGGGTCTCTTTGAGCAAGAGTGGGAGGATTAAGCGGATTCCGCGGTAACGAGATCTCTGTAGTGGATGGAACAGCTCTTCGTGTGTACAATATATCTGGTCTGACTGGCCAATGTCTGGGCTCGATGCGTTCCACCTCGTCCAAGGGTTCACGATCACGATCGATTGAATTGAAGGGGATCTGCGTCGAATTGAACGCATCGTTCGAGTCGGGACTATCGATCGTACCTCTGGTCTCGTCGTTCTCGATGTTCCAATTAGGAACGAAACTCTGGTTTATCGGTCCAACTAGGTCTATTTGCTCACCGAGCATTGGGTTCAGAGGACGCCATGGGGTAGCGTATGATAGATAGTACAAACAATAACAGATCCATAAAATCAACCACATCTTTCGAGTCTGCAAGCCCTTTTATAGACATCAAATTCTTAAATTCAATACAACTTGAAGACATTCGTAAAATACGCAATATCTTCTCGAAGATCTAAGTAAAAGACTTCACCGATCGATTCAACCGTGTGCAAGATGAGCCAATAAAATGTATTATTTAAAGTAACTCTTACCGATAAGCGTTTTAAAATATAATAAAATTCATTAAAAATGTACCCGATACAATAAACAGGCAATGAATTGTTTTAAATAATGATTCTTACTGACTCACTCCGTATATTCTAAATAATTAGTGCGCCTCGCTCCACGTTCGATGAACCTCTGTAACGTTCCAGAAGTTCGCAACACGGTTATTGTTGGCTTCGTCACGCGCGGAAGGGCGATATTCTTCTGACTAAAATACAGACTGAACGGTTTTCGAGTGGTATGCACGTGATGAAATAAAACGAGCATTCCGCAGTTCCGGTCTTTACTTCCTGTCGTTACGCTTTTGATCCTGACACAGAGGCCGAGTTCGATAACCGTTCGTTCGACAATTCCATCGATATACGGAGAATAGTAATAATTGCATCGTTGCGTCGTTTCCTTTATACTACATATATACATTTTTTTTTTTACACGTGATTTGTTCCGCGTCGAACCGGACACCAGTAATAAATCAAATATCCAAGGAACGCAAAGTTCACCGACGACCAATCGCATTAAAATTATTTAGATCTCTCACGAGGTTTGAGGAACTTTAAAAACATTTTCGGACCGAAGTTACTATTATTTTGTTTCGCTGTACAATGAACTCGGCCCAAGTTTAAATGCATCAGAGTAATGAGAGGCATCAGATAAGGACAAAGGACCAATTGATCTGTCTTTGGCCGAAATGACGGTTGTTTCCTCAGCATTTTTGATATTAAACTGACGGTAGCCTCCGATGTATGTTTAAGAAGAGGCCGTGGTTGTTCGTTGCACGCCCTTTCCATGATTTCTGCCAACGTCTGAAAATTATGCAACGCGTATGACTTTGCTTAGAAACACATTGATCTTCATTACATTGTTACAAGAGAATAAAAATATCTTTACCGTGCCAGGAAACGGGAGCCTTTTTGTAACCATCTCGTAAAGAATAACTCCCATGCTCCACACGTCGCATTTAAAATCATAAGACTGTCCATTCAACATTTCAGGGGCCATGTAATAAAATGATCCGGCCCGACACGTGATCGATGGATCTTTCGAGCTACAATAATTGTCCCATTAAAAGTTACATACAGGGTGTTCGGCCACCCATGGGAAAAATTTTAATAGGTGATTCTAGTGGCCAAAATAAAACGAAAATCAAGAATACCAATTTGCTGATAGAGGCTTCATTAAAAAGTTATTAACGTTTAAAGTTCCGTCCGTACTGAATTTTTTTCTCGAAAATGCGCAGGATTTCGGGAGTATGTCTATTTATAAAAAATGATTGCAATTGACCCCCGCAACCGAAAATAATTTTTTCAAAACGATTTGAAATTTTTTTTTCCCGTCGAAAAATTTCACACTTTCTCGAATTTTTTTCTAAAAAGTGGGTAGGATTTCGGGGGTATGACTGTTCACCAAAAATGATTATAATCGACCCCCGCAGCCGAAACTAATTTTTCCAGAACGATTTGAAATTTTTTTTTCTCGTCGAAAAATATAGGCAACTAATTAGATTTTAAGGAATTTTTTTCTCGAAAGTGCGTACGATTTCGAAGGTATGTGTAATGACCAAAAATGATTGTAATTGACCCCCGTAACAGAAAATAATTTTTCCAAAACGATTTGAAATTGTTGAATTTAATTGTTAATTACTTTTTAACGAAGCCTCCGTCAACAAATTGGTATTCTTGATTTTCGTCTTATTTTGGCTTCTAGAATCTCCCCTTAAAATTTTTTCCAGGTCCTTATACTGAACCGTACTCTTGAAAATTCTTCGAAACGCCGAAATCGCCGATTTTGACGATGTTACCGTAATTTCCGGTTAGCATAATGTTCTCTGGCTTTAAATCCCGATGCAGGATCTTCTTAAAATGTATGTGACGGACGCCGAGTACGACTTGCGAGAACAAGTACAGCGCATCCTGTAGAATAAATTCAACTTGACTTTTGATGTTCGAATGTATTTTGTTCTTGGGAACATGTACATATTTAAACCTACGTCTTCTTTGAGCGGTTCTTGCCGTTTCTCTAACAAATCTTTCAATGTGCACCGCGTGGCGAATTCCATAAGAATGTAACTGTGATTGTTTTCCATCCAGGCTCCGTAATAAGCCACTATATTAGGATGTCTCAGCGTATGCAAACATTCTATTTCTTCTAATATATTCTATACACCAATATACGTACATTTTGTCGTGTAAATAAACCGCAAAAAATTTTAAATAACTGTCGATTCGAACGATTTTAATGCAACGCAAAACTGATTCCGCGAGGAAACTAATTAATCGTGAAAATCCAATTGTTTTACGTTCTATACTCAAACGATGAATAAAATATTATTCATGTTAAAGATCCATGCGTTCAGTTTTGTTCCCCGCTGTATAGATTCTTAATGAAAAAAGTTTTTTAAATAAACCAAATATACGAGGGTAGAAGACATTACTGTTAAACAACAAATATATTAAATCGCTACGCACTTTACGATGCTCGCTATTTTATTAAAAAAAATATACTGTTTTCGTATGCAAAAATCGTAACAATAATCTCAAACTTCTTCAAGCCGCATATATGTACATTTATAAATAAAAACTGATTATTTTATATAAAGAATTACTATTTAATAACAAACTGACTAACAATAACTTGTGTCGATTTCTCGCAAATTGTTGCAAGTTGTTTCCTTTGAATGTTAATGATCGCGATGAAATTCTTTCCGTATTTTCTAGTTCAATCGAATCTTTTATATGACAAAAATCTGTAAGCATGGAAAGCCAAGTATTTCAAATAAGTACCATATATAATAATGGAAACATTCGTATATGTACAATGCCAATAAAATTTAGATAAACGCTACCATTCCGCCATCTTCTTCGACCCTTAAGCACCATAATGATATCGTATTTATCACACAAAAGACCCCATAGAACTCTAAAATCCAAGACACTATTAACAGAATTGTAATACGTAACACTCTGTACAATTGATATCCATAATCATTCGAAACCTGCTGAATTGTTAATAGAAATAATAATATAAGAACAGGTAATAAAATAACGCCTTATCGTTAACCGACAACGAGAATATCGTATGGTAAAAGATTCACGTGTAAACAAAGGAAACGAACACAAAAATGGTATCCCGTAACGGAATATAAATCGTTTAACCCTTTCAGTACCCAAAACCCGAAAAATCGGTTCCACGGACATTGGCAAAAATGCCCAAAGTTGAGCCATTTTTGACATGGTTCGATTTACGGAAAATAAATTTTTTGTTTACAATGAACTTTACTAAAAAGTGCAAAGTTTATATTTGTTTCTAGGAAAAATGGATCAATTTGATAAATATCTTCAAAAATGTATATTTTCTAAGGTATTTCTAGACAGTACACACAAAGACTGTAAGGTACTAAAAGGGTTAAACTAATAACACGAATTGCACGGTTTTATTATATCTTCTCACCTTGAAGGGCAAAGCATTTATGGTATTATTAAGAACCTGTTCTTTCACGACAAACGGCTTAGAGTCTCTCTTTCTTCGTACTATATAAACGGATCTAGAAACAACGAATAATAAAAAAAAAAACGAAAACATAAAACTTAATCTAAATACGCACCCGAAAGTGCCACGTCCTAACAATGCTTCGAATACATAATCGTTTATATGCATTGACATTTTCCACAAAAATTCCTGCACATGATAGACGCACAACGTAAACTCGCGAACGAAAACAATGATCGGATACCAACGGACGTTATGATACAACGATACAAATATCCTGATCTATGACATTGTTGATATTCAATACTTTCGATACACCAAAAGTATATATTTACTCGTTAATTGTATCACTAAAATTTAGCAATCCAATTAAATAAAAACGATCGATCGATTCTCCTTTAATTTTCGCAAACGACAACATAAAAATAATCAAATGTTAATTTGACCAATTTTGCCAAATGGCGCGCTATTACAAATAAGCAATTAACAAAATACAAATGGTTGTAAAAATTTTATAAATGTTTCCAGCAGCGATTACAAACAGTTCTCTTCATTCATTATTCTACTATATTGAATTTGATAGTTACTATACTAAACAAATAAAAATGTAGAAAAATCATTCGGGATTACTGTCAAAGATCAAACGATATATTAAGACTGGGCAGTTTTCTTTAAAATTAGTGAACAATCACTACCTATTCTTATATTCTCATGACATTAATGTCACTTTAAGTTATTTAGCAATTGAAACTCACAAATTCAATCTGAGCACATTTTGGGAATGTGTTGTGCACGAATCGTGGATTTATTACTCATAAAAGGTGTTTACAAAACACATCATTCTAGTTTATAATTTATAAAGTATTATTTTAATACTACTTAATGCTCGTAGATTTGATATCTTATTAAACACCCTATACATATCGTTTAGTTCGCATTTTAAGGGATCTTGTAACATTGCATAATAACGTATAACCTCAATTTTGACCTAACAAAGGACTAATGCGAAAGGGGAGGGAAAATTCGGGTTTTAACTTACGGCGTAGTAGTTTTATTTGTATTTTTTTACAAATAACGCAATAAAGATTTTCCCTAAAGCGTTTAGACGAATCATATCGTATGACGAAAAAAAATTTTACAATTACGCAGTTAACCCAACTGGATTGTATAGTTCGCGATGGTGAACATTGCATCCGAGAACACTCAGAGGATTTAATATAGATGAATAATAATATCCATGACAATGAGGAAAAGGGGGACTGCTTCTCGTTGAGTCACAATCGATTGCACAAAACATTTCGATCATGATGAAGTGAAACGCTACGGACAAAAAAAATATAGCTACTCTGGTGTTCGAAAGGTGCGACGGGAGCGATGTATGTACTATTTTAGAGTACCAGTGCACACATCGATAATCCCGAAATGGAATCGAACGATGATTATGCTCATTGCATAACATCTACTCCAATGGAAAAAGCAAATCACCTTATACCCTAGTGCAATGCAGAATTAGATGATACTGCAATATATACAGAGTGTCCCATAAGATGCACTTTATGTATTCGTCAAACGACAAACGTTTTAACTAAAAATAAAACAATTCTCGATGCTTTTACGTGATCATCGTCGTTAATGATATTTCGACTTGTTAAAGCTATAACAAATGCACCCTTAATATACTTTCGTATCTGTTTTTGCAAACAAAAATCTTGATTCTCTCTCTATCTCACACTTTTATAAAACAGTTAGATTTCTTAACATCTTTATTAAACAGGATTCTAAACATTGCAACCGTTTCGTAACATTTCATGGAGTTACGATCGAACCATCCTTTTGGGCACTCGGTACATAGCCTAAATTCAAATCTAACTTGACGTATACAATGGTAGTAGAAACCGGTGTAGTATGATCTGTCGACGATAAATAAGTCTATTAGGCATACATTCGATATAATCATCAATGACTTTTAGTAATTAACGATCATGCGTTGACACTAAGAATTGCTTCATTTTTTACTTCCAACTATCCTATTTTCCGGATATATCACATCCTATGAAAAACACTGCATATAAATGCATATATACTTTTGCTTCAGTATTTCTTTGAACATTATCAATAACGATTTTAAGAATTAACTGTTACTGGAATCTAATATATTGTTAGTATCATTTCCGGATGATGCGGAACTTCGTGATTGTTTTAAGCTGTCCAGATATTCCTGTTGCGATGTTGCCAACACTTTTGAGAGTATATCACTGTCCTCCCAATCGGTTAAACCTAATCACAAACAAATGTACTTGTTTCAGTTTTCTCGTAAAACAAATACGATTTTCATTTAATAGGTACTATTTTTAGATTTCACTATCTCTGCTCAAAAAATTATTATATTTCTTGATTCAGTAAAAGTGTTCGTTAAATAATTACCGAATACTTCAGGGGGAAGACGATTGAACAACGAAATATCTGGCGAGGCGTGAACTTCCTTACTACTGCCTGGCATTGGCTCCTGAGGAATTTTAGATTCGAAGTCTGAGGCTAGGTGAGATATATTAGAACCTTGGGTTGACTGATGCTGAGGCGACCTTTTATTGTACCTTACCGCATCATTTACCTGAAATTATTCATACAACACAAAATTCATAACATTTATTGTTAAAGCATCAGTACGAAACGGACCTTCGGAGAATTACGTAAAGTGTCTTGGCTAGTTTGGGTCGTGGTCGGAGAAGAAGTGTGACTACGTTGTTGCCCACGACCTCCATGAGGATGAAAATGAGTATGACTGTGCTGCGCACTCGTCACCGTACTTGTACTGCTACTACTGGCTGATCGCTTTATTCGAAAGGCACGAATCAGTGTTTTAGTATTACCAACGAGGGAAACCTCGGCACTGGCCTAATTTTTTAATTATATTCTTGTCGATCTTCATCAGATGGTCTTTAATTTGGTTTGTGCAGACACATATATGGGGGTGATCGTTCGCAAAGGGTTAATGAAAATTCGTGCGCAATTGCTTCATAACTCAATCAAAGAACACCTTACAAACATCTGAATAAAATTTGATCAAAAAATTCGGAAGACAGTATCGAGATTGCCCTCGTAAGCGTAGCAGAGCAGAATAAAATTATTCACAACTTACCGCTTTTCGCATTTCATTGTCCCTTAACCATTGCAGGTAACTTTCTCTGGCAACTTGTTCCTCTATGGCTTCGTTTGTTGCTTCCCAATCTGTTGCTTTTATTTTGTCTTCCAGCATCGTCTGTACAGAAAAAGTTTCCCCGTTCATAAAATATATTGAATTTATTTAAATCTTAATTCGTATACCTGTTCAATGTGTAACTCTTCGCTCTGACGAACTGCGTCGGATATAAGTTGTCGATCTGCGGCACCAGGATTGTACGATGGTAAACCAAGTCCAACGCCGACGGTAGCTTTATATGGATCTACTATGCTATTATAATGACTGCCACGTTGATAAGATAATCGTATTGGTTCATTATCACTTTTAACCATTGTATGGAAGATATTGATAGGTTCTGTGTAAAATTACAAAAACTAATATTATTGAACGCCCGAATAGATTGATTTCATGTGTGGAAACGAAGTAATAATAGAGTAACACGTACCATTACTATAGCAATACAATTGAATGCTGCGATTATACATTTCAGACATTGCTTGCATTTCTATATGATTTCCATGGACATACTCCTGCCGTTTCCTATCTACATACGTGCTGAAATCTTCTGCTACGAAGTGAGAAAAAAACTCTTGATTGGAAGCCTAGAAAGTTAATCCATACAAGTAATGGATTTGTTTCGAAGCGCCGGCTCGAATCTCACTTGTATTAAATACTTACAATATAATCCATGCAATGCTTCCGCACAACGCCATGCATTTCTTGATCGCCGTAAACTTGATCTGCAACAGCTCTGAATAAACATGCTCCATCTTCACCCATTTTTTTCACAATAAATCCCATCTTGCGCATTCGTTTTTCGAACCACCTATCCCGCTAAATTAAAAAGAACCGTATATATTTAGATTATTAAATTTTTTTATAATCAAATACCTGATTCTGAATCTTCCAACAATGTAATTTTAAACCAACCTCTTGCCACTCGGCTAATGTAAGGTTGTTACCAGTTCTACCAGTATATTCATCGCCGCTATTGTAACCATTGGCTAATTCGTGTTCTAAATTTGCAGCAGCAATAGCCATCCGATTGTTGGTTATTACACCAGCATCTGTAGCTAAATAAGTTATTGTATATTGATTTTTTCGAAAGATATTTTTTATTTTTTATTAAAACACACCTCTTCCAGCAAAAATTCAGACTATAAAAATTTCAATTTTTATACTATACAATTATATATTACAAGATACAATTTGTTATGCAAAGCATTAAAAATGTTAACCTTGTAAACCACTGCCAGATGCAGTCGGAGGTGTAGCCTGTCTTTCACGTTCTCTTTCCCTCTCTCTGTCTCTATCACGACCCCTGTCTCGTTCTCTTTCGCGTTTAGAACGCGAATTTCTTCCAATGCATCCACTGGAAAGCAATAATCTCACTTGCAATATACAAAACATAACTTTATCAATGTTAGTTAACAATCTTTTATCAACGGAAACTACAACTTTTATCAACAGAAGTACTATATATTTGCTATGTAACTAAGCAATAACTTGGCATTTTACATGAACTATATACCTATGTGGACTTGCTCGTTGTCTATGACGCTTGCCATGACTTGGACCGCTTCCTTCTTCAAAGTGTTTATCTTCCCTTCGATCAACACTAGCCTATAAGTACATACGAATCAAGCTATATAAATACTACAATGCATACTTATGAGTCATAGTAACCTACAAGTATTTAATTTAATTTTATTTCTACCGCTGTAACAAATTTTGTTGGTAATAAGGAATGGTAACCTTCTGTGGGAAAGAAGATATATCTAAAATTTCAGTACTATTTTATTATATTTATAGAAAAAAAAACACAAAGCTATTTTTTACAAAACTATTTTTTAATCGTACAACGCGAGAAACGGAGCATAGTTAACATGAAACTTTAGGGTTGGGGAAAAGAACCAAACATGAGGAAAAACAATATTTTTCAAATTTCTTACCTCGTACGAACTACCCGTAAGAACGATAGAACCAGATCCATGATCGGTCTGAACCCCGTGGAGATCGACCGCGAAACCGTTCGCTGCACGTACCTGTCACGGTTCGCAAAAGGTCGTTTAAGGTTCACTCTTGCAAGTACTATGCAAATATCGTGCGAGTACCATAGTTGCAAAGAGGAGATTATTCATTCACCTGATATGGGCTATTAGGTAGTGCGATGGATCCAGAGCCATGCTCGTTTTGCACTCCGTGAACATCGACTTCGGAAGTGCTGCCTCCTTCTCGTCTATCTTTCGAGGCGTTCGTCTTCTTCTTCGACAGAATGGTCATCTTGCGTAATCGATCGTCGGTGGTCGTTAGACGCGACGCTCGTTCGACAAGATTTCAGAAGAGAACTTCACAGGCTCTCACTCACCGCACCTTGAACCCCGTACTTCCTTCCTCGCTGCAATCGCTATCTGCTTATTTATTATTATTCTCTACTACGTCCACGAAGTGCGTTGATGTACATGAACTTGAATGAAATTTCAGGGCCACTATGTTGCCAATAAACTCTTCGAAATTTGAATCAAGACAACGTTGCACTTTGTAAGAAACACGACATGATACTTTCGATAACCAACTACTACATTAATTCTTGTTATTTCGAATGTTTTGTCAGACAGCCATGACTACACTTGCACACACTGCCAGGCTGCTCATGGTGCCAATCTATCGCATGGTATTGTCCCTATTCATATCGATAAAGTCCCTACGCCATAAGATATACTAAAGTAACCAAACTGCATCAAACTATACGGATGCGTAGGGATATACGGGATTACCACTGGTAATTTACCAGTAACGACACGCGTTCCTTGTACAGTTGTACCAGAGCTTTATTCCGGCTGTCGTGGCGTGGCGCCCTATACGGTTGCCACCCCAACTTTATCTAGGGGTTTTCCCTAGGGCACTAGGAAAATGTCTTTAATCCAGAAAAATTACTAAAAATATCATAACACCTTTGATAACTTCAGATAGTAAATACATACTTATTAGCTTAGATAAAGATAAACTAAGTGTAAATATTATTGGTACATTCTCATGTAGTATTGCAGTTTTGCTACTTCACCTTTGTATCATAATTTTTTAATAAAACTCTAAACAATATGAGTTTAAATACTTTTTAAACAAATTTTTTCATTTAAACCCAAAAAATACGCTAAAAAAATTTGGACGTTAAAATCTGATACACCCTGTATAAAGTGTGTCCATATAGTATGCTGTATACATACTTTCTGAAACACCATTTCGTAAAATTTTGTACGAGACACCCTGTATTTATTTACCATTCATAACTGTAGTACTATATGTGTAGTAAATCCATATATGACAGGACATTCGTAACATTTAACGAGTTTTGTGCTTTTGATGAAATATTCTGTTGCTGAAATATTTTTTAGCGAGAAATATAACTTCTAATATTGTTTTATAATAATTTATAAGGAATCATATGGAAATATAGAACTACAACCCTCTGCTTGAAGCGTGTTCTAAAACAAAGTATGGAGCACATGTTCGTTATTTAAACAGTGACAAGTATTTAATGCAAAAACTTTGATATTTTTAACGATGAAAATAAACTTTTCAAATATACACAAGACGTGGTCTCTTAACACCGAAATACTTTTATAACACTATTTCATTGAATTATACGTTCGAAATTAAGTATGGTAAATGAGTGCCTTAAAAGATCAAGATCCCGACTACGGGCCGTCCGTTGCAAATAATGAAAAGCATCAACGAATTTACGAAGAAAACGGTAATATTAAGATTGTAACAAATATTTATACAATGTTTCATTTAAAACTAATATATCTAACCTATTACTATACCATTAACCAAAGTCAGTAGATATAAAATTTTTTTGTTTCCGTTATTTAGTGAAATATTGTATAATCAAGGATTGAAAACAGTTATGATATTGATTTCATGCTAATTTATATTTTTAGCACGAAGCAACACTGCAAAGAAGATAACGACTATCATAGAAAGGGAATTTTCTCAAGAAATAAACACAAAGGAGAAAGAAGTTTTAGAAATTCAGGAAAGATTGCACAGAGCATCAAAAGCTCTACATCTTTTACGTTACGTCATAGTCGCAGACTTTTATAATCGCAAACAATGTCAGAATTTACAAAGCGCAGAGGCAAAGCAAACCCAAATTCATCCTGCGATTAAACAGTTAATTGGTAAATCGCCAAAAGTATGCAATAGTTCGTTAATTTCCACGTCAGTGGCAACATCAAGCAACGAAAATTATTTCATGGTGTCGCAAACATTTTCAACGTCTCCTACGAACGCGATCAACTACGCTGCATTAAAATCGGAAAAGTTAGAGGAAGATACCTCTGAGCATTGTTATTCGGGAAAACGTAGCAACGAAACGGACGATGAATCGCGTCCAAAAAAGATACCTCGATATATTCCTCCAAAAAGTGGAGTCCCGGAATCTCCGTGCCCGTCAAGAGGCATCAGACATAAAGTCAGAAAACGTGTAATCATTGGTAATATATCAAAATGGATACCTCCGGAATGGAGAGAGGACGCAGCTAGTCACAAGTGGACGATGTACGTTCGAGGAAATAAAGAGAATCCTGGTATCGATGATTTCGTTAGTAAAGTCAGATTTTTTTTGCATCCCAGTTACAGACCTAACGATGTTGTGGAAGTTACGACACCTCCATTTTGCCTCTCAAGACGCGGTTGGGGTGAATTCCCTCTAAGAGTACAATTACACTTTAAAAGCGCATTTAATAAACCAATGGATATAATTCATCATTTGAAGTTAGATCGCACTTATACTGGTCTACAGACCTTAGGATCCGAGACACTCGTTGATATATGGATCTATGCGGATCCACGAAATTTGAAACGAAATATTGAGAAAAGCGTCGTTCAGTCTATTAACGAGAATGGATCGCAAATAGAAACACATTTCGACGATAGCTGCAAGATAAAAGTAGAAAACAATGAACATTTTAATTCCACCTTTGATTTCACGAACGCTGAAAACGAATCAACGGACTCGACAAATAAAAATTTCAACCTAAGTATCAAACCAGAACTTCCACAGGATAGTGAGATCGATGAAAATTCAATAAGTACCAAGCAAATACGATTTTACATCGACCTTGATCATGATTATTGTTCTTCAAAATACTCGAACAATTTCAAAGGAAATTTAACTATCAATCACTCGTCGATCTCAGCGAGATTAACAGATTCATCGATAAATAAGGTTTTTAAAGAAATTGAGCAGGAAAAAACTGTAGAGACAACAGTTGAAAATAGTATTTTAGCAATTACTGAATCTTCCATAAATGGAGATTCGAGTAACATGAAAATTAAAGAAGAAATTAATCCAATCGCACTGTCGTTAAACGAACTTAATACGAGTAAACCAAAAGCGCTTCCGTTATCAGGTTCCAAAGTGCAATCGAATCTCCGTCCTCTAGAAATTACCATTCCACCATTGTTCGAATCGTCGAGCAAACATGTTTTGGTTCTCCAAAATAAGAAAACTATCTCCGTAGATATCGCGATGCAACGCACCGACGAACATAAACCTAATAATAATTCAACAAAATCGAAAGTAAATTTGTCTGCTTGTCGCGGTATTAGTTTGTTGAAAAAGCCTCCAAATTCGAACCATCACGGAACGGAAACGCAACTTTGCAGAAGCATCCTTCTAAACGTAAATTCCAATATACCGGCGTTGAAGATAGCCGAAAGAAGAACTTTGCAAAATAACCACCCTCTTGACGCGCAAGACGAGGTAGGATCCGATGAGTTCGCGGCGAATGCCAACAATCTGGAAGAATTGAAAGAATCGAGGCTGCAATCGCGTCAGAAGATCACATTAGGCAAGGACAAACACAAGCTTCAAAGTAAAAAAGAATTTTGCGACGATGTCTTCCGAGCGATTAAGACTGCAAAAATTACGAATATTCAGGGCTTACTGCGATTTATTATTAGAAGAATGCCTATGGTGACTCGAGACGCCACTGACTCGGATTACAGACAACTCCATCCTTATGCCTGCGCCAGCGAAGAAGAGTTTTTTGAGTATAGCGTTGCAAAACGCACCGCTTGCGAATGGGGTCGTGCGAAGATGGTACGATGTCTTTTGAAAAAAAAATTGTTCCCTGAGGAGGAATTATGGACCATTAAAGAGATAATGATTTGGGCGCGGTTACATGGCTACGCGCCTTTGTGTTCCGACATCGCCGTTCAGTCGTTAAAGCAACAAAAGAATTTATTTGACTCCGCGATTACCAAAAGTGTTTCTACGTGCACCGAACCGGACAATTTCTGTAAATGGCTTCAAATCTGTCCAGATCGACCGAACGATCAATTATTTGATTTTAATTTGCGGCAATCTAACATGTTGGACGAGGAGGTCGATATCGTCAATGATGAAATTCCACTGAAAAATCAGAACATAGGCACAAAGAAAGGCACAAATGATAAAGGATTTCCAAATGCAAAGCTCGCGGTACTGGAAATAGAGGAAAAATTGGCGCCACTTCACGACTTTGTTTGCGAAACTGCACGTGAGATCGGCATTAAACTGACTTCTGAAGAGATTCTACCCAATGTGATAGATTGCACGGCTGGTCGAATGATAATGCGGGTAAAACATGTTACCGAGTTTAGTATCAAATTCCCTGGTAAATTTCTTAAACGTATGTGTACTTTTTCAGGCTGTCGAGTGTCTTGTCGATGATCTGATCAGAATGTCTTTAGCAAAAGCTTGGGAAAGATGTAATGACAATGGGTAAATATTCCTTTCTTAACCGAAATACTTATACGTGTATATATATTTTGTATAAAATTCACAATTATTTATCATGCTGCAAATGTTAATATAAATGTTATATCACGGAAACGAATCGTGACAGTACTTTTTTTTTCATTTAATTTGTAGATATCCGAAGATAATCGTTTTGGACGATGTACGTGGAGCTCTCTTAAATCGCGAAGAATTCGATATCTTTACGAATCAAGGATTAGGATCGAAGTATCGACTAACGACAATGGATTAATTAAAAAATATATACAAAAAAATAGGAACTTTAGTTACAAGTAAGAAAATATTTTAATTGAAAAGAAATTGCTGCCATATTTAAAGCTCGAGCAATATACTTCTTTTTTACTAATATGCTCCAGTACCATTCCGAAAACGCAAAGCCTCGCACATGTACAAATCTGTAAGTTTGAATAAAGTATATAAAATTTTGTACGCATAAACATTAAGCATTTCTTAATACTGAACTATCAACCTCTTTTCTGTCATCTCCGCGTGTAGTTAAATTAATTTCAATTATATTTCGTCTTTTTCTTTTTTGCATATTTAAATTTAAAAATGAAAAATGATATTCTTTTTGAATACATACGAGTGTATTAAACAAAATAATATGAATGAGAAAAGAGGTCAAACATTAGATACTAAATGTCAGTTAATTTTTTCTTTTTTTTTTCAGAAAAACATGCTCACTGCTTTTGTTGAACTGCTCATCGCATGATAACATAGTCATTTTCTTGCAGAGATGCCTGTGTCTGTAGTTGATGTAGGGTGATATCTTTTAATCGAGGCGACATTGGAACATAATTACAAGTGTCCATTATTTTTTCTATTGCAAAAGCGTTTCCTTCGCCTAGCACGGAGCTTCGAGTAGACGTTACAGACATAATGTTGCGTTCACAAATTAAAATATCTTGCGACCTTTAAATCATTAAACAAATACATCGTACATATTTGACGTCGATATATGTAAAGTAAAATTGTAAAAATATTAATCATTGTTAGTTGCAAGTACGAACCTAGTACCCTTCATGGATTCTGAGGCACATCTTTGTCGTGGAGGTAAAGGCGGCGGTTCTTCTGATTGATGATTATAAAATAATCGATCCATATAGAAATGCGAAGTAGTTGCTTTACTACTGTCCATCTCATCTGCAATTTCCTCATAAATTCCAGACGCTATTGAGATATCTGAAATCCTTCTATTATATGGAAAGTTGGGCACATCTAAATTGTCACTAATATTTGGAACACTAGCTGGTTCTGGTTGATAGACGTTTTCCGTCATTTTGCTATGTATCTTAGAACTTATATCTTCGTTTGCTATGTTACTGTCTCTATTTTTGCTTATCTTTCGCGGCAGTTCCTCGCGTATCGAAATTCTAAGATCACCTTCGCTTAGGCTCAGTGGTCTTCGATTGATTTTATTTTTCGGACCACGACCCTGAGTCACTAAATCTTGCAATAATCTACTAGCTTCTAAACAAAATATATGAAGCTCGCCAACCCCTCCACAGAATTCTTTAGTCGTATGAATCACACAAATACATTTAACATCCTCTGGTCGACCTACCGTAATTAGATGAAAATGATTAACTTCTTGCCACTGAAGATTTTGTATTACTTCACCCGTATAAACATCTTTTACAAAGATTCCTATCGTACTAGCTATCAAATCACCATATAGCCCTGCATGATTATAACAACAATTAGAAATATAGTTAAAACATACATCAGGTACTAACAAATAGACTTAAATGTATGGTGTTTGAATAATCAGAAATTCAAATACCAGTCAATCCTGATGCTTTTGAATGCACATTATCTATTACAGATATACTATGAGATCCTGGCACAAACAGATGCCTTCTGGGTCTTAATAGCTGTCTAATATTTGCTATCCAACGTTGTGACTCTGTCTCTGAATTACCAGCCAGGTACAACAATGGCTTTCTTTCTTTGACAGGGAATATACCAAAGGCAAACTGTTTCGATCTAGATTGTGTACGACAAATAATAGCATCCGACGGTATTATTACTGAATTGTCTCTGCCATTCGGTGATGTAGTACCACCGTTGCTAATGCCATAATCAAGTTGTACTTTGACACCCAAACCAGGGCCTAGTTTTTTAATAGAACACCAATGTCTCTCCCAAACCTTCCAAGGAGCTAATGTCCTCTTTCTCACCTTATGAACTTTATATTTACCACCAAGATATTTAACGTCTAAAAATCCAGAGATTTCAGCGTTCTCTTCAGCCATTATAATATATTTTTCTGGAAGACATTATAAAGTTAACGCTTATAAAACAATAACGATCGGTACTTTTTTTCAAGAACAAAAGTTCTATGATACAAACATCACTTACTCCGCTATTTAAATAATAAAAGAAGACTCAGACTATTTTTGCGAACGAATTACTTTCAATTTATCAATAGATACAATTACGAGATTTCTCGCGAAACAAAATTCAATTCAACAAATATCGTGGTTTACCTTTCAGAAGACGAGCAGGTTCAGCAAACAGCTACATTTCCATTCAAATACTAACAGCGAAACTTCTTAATGCGAACATTCACACGTTTTTATAAAATCGCCCGGTCGTTTGACTTAAAGTTCGATGTTTGTATTATTGTTTACTAACTGGTCAACTCCTTAATCTTAAACTCAATACTGCCAACAAAATAAAACTTTGAACGTTGACAGCTAGTGACAAACTACAATTCCCTAAGAAAGTCTATTCAATATAATTTGAGATTATGATCGGTATTACATTTAAATATAAATAGTAAACAATAACGCTATGTATAAGGCAACGCAAATGTATTGTTACTTTAATTTCATCGTTTTCAAAGTAGTTATTTTATTGTTTACATTATTTTTTGTTATTAATATTATTTTTAAAATAGGTAATAGCGTTATATGATAAGAAATATTAAGTTCGATTAACACACTGACTGTCATATCAATGTTCCATATTTAAGAATATCCTAATTCTTTATTCCACTTACTGAGGGAAAGTTGGAAATATTTAATAGTTCAATGATTCGTTTTTTGTTTTGTAACAACGTAAGTTTGAAACGACTGCCACCAATGACAACCATGCCAATCAATGTGTTAAACCGTATACTGAAACAGAAAAGCAGAAGGAGTCCTAATTGGAATTAATCTTCGATCGCCATCTTTGTCAGTGACTACATAGTAACTTCTTCCATTAATAAATTGTTGCTTTCTTTGCATCAGGATATTTCCAGCATCATGGCAAATATTCGCCGTGTTTCCCTTTATGAAGTTTATCCGTTTTTCAAGCGGAGAATTTTTAATCGGACGATTCTGCAACGTTACCCTCGGGAAAAGAGAATTACGTGTTTTCTTTTGTTTACTGTTTTTCACTCGAATCAATACGAACGCGTAAATTGTTTCGAACAGAAAAATAAACGCAGCGATCGCGTATCCTGCCACGATGACTTTGTACGTTAGAAGAAGATCGGCGTTTCGCAGTTGTCTCTCGGTTGAACGGAGATCAACTGGACAAATTTCCGCTAATGGAAGATCCTCTTCTTGCCTATGATGTATAATACCTGTCTCTACTAGTCTAAGCAACCTGCGATTAGACAAGAAACTTTTTAAATGACCGAGTTTTCTCGTTGTTTTTAAAATTCGGGGGTGCTCGTGTCTTGGTAACCTGACGCTATCATTGTAAACGCACAATACAGGGTGTCTCACCTGAACCAGGTCACCTAAATATCTACATCATTTGTGACGATACAGCAAATATTTGATGTGCAATTTAAATGTTATCAATAGACCAATATATTACAAAGAATGAACTATAAAAAATCAACTAAATATTCAAGTTTCTCCGAATATTTTTTACACTAATCGTAGATATCTTTGTACAACGATCGAGTTAAATTTAAATTACAATTAAGGAATAAAAGTGTAACGGTTACTTACATCTTATTAACATGCTTCTTAATGACGGAATCGTGAGGAAAACCGAACGCACGACTTGTTACCAAAATGCTTCCGGGCATAATAACGTACGTACACCGCAGATTATGGTCCAAACGATTGCGAGTTTTATTCATGTAATCTTGAAATATTAAAGTTTGCAGATAATGGGCTTCCGCTAGAAACAGCTTTCCTAGACATAGGTAAAAGAGACAAAGGAAAATGTTAGTTCATTCATAAACGTAACTTATACAGGGTGTTCGGCCAAACCTGGGAAAAATTTTAATGCAAGATTCTAGAGGCCAAAATAAGACGAAAATCAAGAATGCCAATTTGTTGATTGAGGCATCGTTAAAAAGTTATTAACGTTTAAAGTTCCGCCTGTAGAACGGCAACTTGAGGACAGCTGCGCACGCGTGATAGTGATTCTCACTCAGAAAACTGTAAAGCTGTCGATACGTCACTCAGTAGAGTTTCTCATGCTGAATGAGAACCACTATCGCGCGCACGCAGCTGTACGCAGGTTGCCTATCTACAGGCGGAACTTTAAACGTTAATAACTTTTTAACGAAGCCTCGATCAACAAATTGGTATTCTTGATTTTCGTCTTATTTTGGCCTCTAGAATCTTCCATTAAAATTTCTCCCTGTATAGATAAGTTACTTGTATTTTTATTCATTAACATTTAAGTTTCATTCCATTTTATCGATCAGTATTTAGTACGTACTCTTGCTCACAGATTCTAGAATGGCTTTCGACGGCTCGTAATATTTAAAAACTCCTTTCCCTTGTCGTTGGCTCACTTTTAACAAGCTCAAATCGTTGTAACTATTCTGAAAATTATTTATTTCAATTTAAAATACGTCTCCGCTGATATGTGTATCGAACAGAGATAGCCATTGTCTGAAATCCTACTTGGGAAAGAAGGAAATCAACTGTACGGCCCTTGTAGGTGACCCAACTGTAGCCTTTCTGGACTATGTCCTGTACAGAACTAATGGACAGAGTAAATTGAGGCTTTGTGAGGAACGCCGTGAGGTTCGCTGTATAGAAGGACGTCAGTATCAATATAAAAATCCACCAAGTAGCAAAAAGCATTCGCGTCGAATCTAGAGTTTCGGTTAAAAAATCTTACAATGTTTATTACCTGTTTATGACCAATGTCGGACAAATTTTATTCATGACCGACGAACACAAATTTTAAATTCAAATTGTATTTTACCTGCTGTAGCGACAATGTTCGTTCCCTGTTTCAAAAGTGAACTATAAACGAACCAGAAACAAGAGGTCAAACTAAATCTCTCAGAGTCTAAGTCGTGCCATAATTTTGCTCTACAACGAGAAATCAAATACAATTGTCAGTGATTATTTAATTACACAAGAAGACAATTCTGTTTGTTTCAGGCACCTGATACTGGCGAATAGGTAAATGACCGGTCCTACGAAGATCAAAGATGCCAGAACTAAAATCCAAACGGTCCTTTCGAACGGTGCTAAGAGACCAGAGCCAGTGGCTGATTCGTGAGGTCTTTTCATCACGGCTGTTAATCTCATTTCGTCCAGGGAAATGCTGAACGTGCAGAATTGTCGCATTTCCGGTAACACCGGAAGAAACGCGACAGCCATGTCTACTTTCTGCTTCAATGTAATAAATGTTTTACCAGGCTCCTTCTACGACCTCTTCGTATCCCGAATTGTAAATCATTGTTTTCTGCGCCCCAAACTCGTTTATATCAATAAGAACTCAATATGTTTATTAATGAACTTATTCGATCTATGTTTTTTTTTATACATACAGGGTGTTCGGTAAGGAATTTTTTTCTCGAAAGTGCGTAGGATTTCGGGGGTAATTGTGATGACCAAAAATTATTATAATTGACCCCCGCAAACGAAAATAATTTTTTTAGAACGATTTGAAATTTTTGAATTTAATTGTTAATAACTTTTTAACGAAGCCTCTATCAACAAATTGGTATTTTTGATTTTCGTCGTATTTTGGCCTCTAGAATCCCCCATTAAAATTTTTCCCAAGTGTGGCCGAACACCCTGTATATCAGCAGAAGTAAACTGACGATTTACACTTCGAGATGTTTCTTCTCAAGTCTGTTACCTTTCCGTAAAGTAAACCAAGAATACCCTTATTCTTATTGCCAAGGATATGCTCCTCTGGCGGAATAATAGTGTACGAGAAGTTCAACTTCGAGCTGATCATATTGAAAATATAAAATGCGTATCCTTTACCGACCCATATCCCATTCTCCTGCACTATTCCAGAAAACGGCATATCCTGCATATGTTACAAGGGAACATATTGAACGTTTAAGGGAGTTATTGTAAAAGGAAAGTTTTAATCTTTAAATTTATGATAATTTTAATTGCGTACAATGAAACTTACATTCCAGGATGTAACTGTAATATGCGACGGTATCGAAGTCTCTGCCTCGCTGTTCGTCTTGTTTTCAAAATTATCTAAAAATTTTAAAACACACGTTAAAATAAAAAAAAAAATACAACCGTATCGTTATCTTCGATCGTTTCAGAAAATGGATTCCGCAAGATCTATCGGTGATATATGAATTGTAAATTGTCCAGTAAATGAAATGTTTTACGATTAATTTAGTACCGGAGATAAAAAATGTAAAGAATACGTTATTCTACGGCGATTAGACGACATATAGGGAAAATAAAATTACAATAAATTAAAAGCTACAATTGTAAGATTATATCTCGCAAAATATTTTTGTGAGCCACCTCTGCTACGTGTTTATAATAAATGTATTGTAAAAATGGTATAAATCGTTGTATTATTTTCTAATTCCTCTTGCATAGTCTTAGAACCTATTTGTTGTTATATGTGTCACATTGTATAAAATGCTTCAGTTTAACATACATATATATTTTAATAGTTAAATGTCATAAATTTAAGCGTTTGAATACTTTCACGTACGAGTAGTATATTTTAAAATAAAAAGGTACGTTATTTACTTTAAAAGTTAGACGTTATTCGTTGGTCAATCTAATTTTCGATCGAATTTAAGGAACCTCATACCTTGACTATCAACGTAACGAGTGCAATGTTGCGACCAGATGACCGTTGCAACAAGCAAAGCGCGGGAGATGTGCATCCTTTGACAAGAATTTAAGTTACATGCGTATCCCTTCACTGCAATTCGATAGAAACTATTTTAAATAGATAGATAGGATCTAACAACACAACAGACCTTGCATTAGGGTAAATCGATACTGACGTGGTCACATCCTTGCTGACAGCAACCCGGCTGACATCCACGCAGTGACAGTTGACGCATTAGCACCTTATACAGAGTGTCCCGTAATTTGTAATCTTGCCGCGTAGAAAGCCATTTCAAGAATAAACTATAAAAATTTGAAAGTCGAATTCGCAAAAATAACGAAGTTACAAGGAATTGTTTTAAACGCGTAAAAGTGTGAAATGGCAAGCGATAAGTATATCTTGAAACTTTGTTAAAAACTTTAAACACGTTTTTTCTCGAAACCACATACTTCGAATTGGTGTCCGGGACAACTGAAAAAGTAATTGACTGGTCAATATCAAATATAGCTGAATCTAAAATTTAAATTTTAGTTTTCATTTATAATATCTTTTTCCATCAGTATACAGTTAACATCATTTTTCTTTCAAATACCACGTACTTTTCAATTTTCAACAATTGTGACGGTTGTACAAAAAACATAAACAGAACAAGAGCGCGAAGATTTGTTAGACTAACAATTTCCAACTAACAATCGGAATATCGAAATAATACAGATATTTATTTCAGTTTTCGATTATATATCGGATTCGATATTATAACAATATCGGTATTTTGATATTATAGCGATTTTGGTATAGCTTTCCTGACACAATACCAGTATCAAAATCATATCGGTGTTAAGTTTCTGCTGACATCCTCCAAAAAAAATTTCAATCGAAATTAACATTAAAAAAAAGTAATGTATAAATATGAAATACGTACATACTTTTAAAGTTGTTACACGATAGTCCCTTCTTAAAACGAGGATTTACTGTATTCCTGTATTTACGCACGCGCCTAATCTAGGGAAAATATATTTTCGTTGCATTTTCGAAATGATCAAAATTTAGAAGCATATTATAATACACAACAAATTTAGAAGCATGATGAACACCTTACGGTATTTAACAATATTTGAAACGATAGATGCATCGTGAACGTTGATAATCGGCACATCAATCAAAATAGATGCGATCGTTGCGATACATTCAATTCCAAGGGCGCATCCTCTAACAGTGGTTCCCAACCATTGGTTGAGATGCAGCCAGCGTCAATGGTGGATAGAAGAGCGACGATAGCTCGTACACTGAAATGACAACAAGTGATTGATATTATTGACGACGGTAGAATGTGAGTTACGAGAGGGAAGATATTTCGGCGCGAACGGGAGCGCACTTTGTTGGTAAGTAACCCGACAAAGCATCCCGTTCGTGGAAATGATCGTGCATTCGGGACTTTCATTCAAGGTGTATGAAAAATTCCCTACCAAATTACCGTCTGTGAGTGCAGGTTATGTGAGCTACGAAACGCGTCGTCATTAGCCGTTTCTCTCAAATACTGGCCAGGATGGGCCAGGGTACGGACACCTGCACTGACAGGCCTACCGAAGTCAGCGTCATTAGATTTGTATCGAGGAATCGCACCATTGAGGAAATCGCCCCAAAAAAGGTAAAACCGCCGGAGCCATTTAACAGGTTCAATGACCCCTTACTCAAAACAAATCGCGAGACGTTTATCCGCTTTTTTTCGAGTTATTCCAGTTCTATTGTTACTTGTTTATACATATTGGCAATCAACGAATCCCTTTAAATAACGAACTATATTTTTCAGGAAATATATACATGCAAACAACGCGGTTGTGGCAAAATATTCACCAATCAAGATGAATACAAAACACACGAAGCTCTTGAAGCTTTAAAAATTAGGTTTATGTAAGTTAACTTTTTATTTTCAGGATATAACATTAGAAAACTTTTTTCATATTAATTTTATTCGATATCCTAATATTCTTAAAAATGTTAACCCTTTGCACTCGAGAGGTGACTCTTATATTGTGATTTTGAGAATAATTGTAACTTTTTCTTGTTTATACAGCTGTCGGGAACCCGGATGCGGAGAAGAATTGTCTGATCCTGGAAGCATGTGGCGTCATTACCAAGAATGGCATAATAATGAAACAAATGTATTTATATGTCCCTATACAAATTGCGGGTCTTTACATACAACCAGTAGTAATTTAGAAGAACATATCGAAAGCTGTCACAGACAACCACCAACACTGCCAACCGAACCAGAAGTAATATGTTTCGAAGACCTTGAAAGTGCAATGGATGAAGAAATTGTACAAAGCACCGACGATTGCTACGAGAAAAGGACGAATGAAATTTTTGCAATAAAAGGACATCAGTACGATGATAATAATAAGCAAGGTATTCTTAGAAATGACATTATGCAACAACAAGAAAAAGAGGTTTCACATGATCGGAATACTCCAAATGATAACTCAATTAAGGAAGATTATTCTTCTACTAGCGAATCCTTAAAAGAAACTGGTGGATTTCCTATAACTGAAAATCTAATCCTAAGTACAGAGAATTTTCTATCCAAGTATGAAGGCAATACGAACAAATGTTCAGAACTGCAAATAGAACATTCCCAAGAAAAAAGTAACGTAGTTTACGTGAACGGTGATATTACCATTACAAAGAATTCAAAGAATGAGATGTGTAATATGAATTCGAGAAATCAAGAACATAGAATAGAATTGGATAATCTTGAGAGAATCTTCAGAAGCGATCATGATCGTGATACTTCGAAAAGCGAAGAGAATACTGTGGAAACAAACAGTAATTGTTCGGACGACGAAGAATATACTCCAAAGAAGCAACGTATGTCTAGATACAAGCAAGAAATCTACAAGTGTGCCACTAATGGCTGCGGGAGAAAATATAAATACATATCCCATTATCGTCATCATCAAGACAGTCACAAATTAGTAGCCAATACAATTAGTTCAAATTCTAATAAATCGATAGTAAAACTAAAACAAGGGAAAGCTACGACGGTCAGTTTTTTCTTGTAAGTGTACAATATATTTTAAGTTTTAATATCCTTCGAATTTCAAGTAATTATTGTTGCTTTAAATTTTATTATTGTTAATTTATTGTTCGTCGATTAGGTGTAAAATTCCTGGCTGTGGAGCACAAGTGAGCAATGTAACTGGTCTATGGAAACATTACCAGGACAATCATGCTAATTCAAAACTGCCAGTAGTACAAGGAACTAAGAATAATGAAGTATTTCGGTAAGATCATAATTAATATTAAAACGATAGTAACTGCTATTCTATATTATGTCACCGATCGTAAACATGCTTAATCTCGTTAGTATAAAACTTGTTTCTTTTTTCTACATTTTTAAAAGAGAACATGTTCCAGATGCAAAATTCCAGGATGCGAAACAGAGTTCAATACGACAGTAATGCTATATAAACACTTCAGTGAAGTGCACTCAAATGGTTCTGGCAATAATGCTAGCACAAATACAAAGACTGGAAATGGGAGTAGTTTTCATTATACTGAAATATTCAAAGATGATACTACTAGCCCGCAAACAAACTTCAAGACTGACTTTAAGGCAAAACATAATATTAATGTAAATGATTGTACGAAAAATACCGACGAACAAAGATTATCGTCAATAGTTAAAACGGAAACTCGAGATTGATTCGAGATAAACTAGTGTCTTTAATCGCGATAAATAATTGTAGCAGTATAAAGTAGAGTATTTTACCAGGGCCATATGTATTTGACTTACGAAACGAATTATTGTTCCTTCCTCTTTACGAGCTATTCTATTCCTCTTTTATTATACTTTATCTCTTTGACTAGTCACTCTTTATTACGCTTGTATTATTATTTTGAATGCTACGGCCCTTGTTAAATACTCGCGTTTTTATGATTCTAACTCTGAATAATAGAAGCATGAGACTGGAGATCAAACTTGAGAACTATCTAAGTTGTTTTTCTATGACTTCTAATTATCCAAAGAAATAATAACATTATATAATAAAAGTTTCCTAATTTAACGTGGTGGCAATGCTTGAAAAAGCATTAAATTTCTTTCTGTATCTTGCATTTAAAGATTTTGATTGTCTGTACTTCGATGCTTACTTATATTTTGAATAATAGTAAAAGAAATACTAGATTGTTAAGAAAACAATTTATGTAAGTTTCCATGTTTTTAAAAATACTTCAATTTAAAAAATGACTCCCAGTTACCTTAAAAATGTAACAAGTAATTCGATCAATTTCGCGAAATAAGGTCTTGTTTAAATACTCAGTGATTGCAATCATAAATGCAAAGTAAAAGTACAGTTTCATAGATTGATGGGCCCGGTTTGGGCAAACTTAAGAATAAAGTGCAAAGAAAAGAAACGACTTGCTGCAGTAATTTGTGCGCATGTTATATAAAACTCTTGACTTTCCATACTGATTTTTACTATTTTATATTATTGTATCATTTTGATGTAATTTATATTACACATGTAATTGTAGTTACTATACTAGATATTGTAGAATTGTAAGTATTACACAGCATTTTTATTTGTATGTCTGTACGTTGAGAAATAAAGTGCAATAGTGAGTTAAAAATAATTCATGTAAATCTTTATTTCGCAACTAATTATTTCCTTTTCTGTTCAAGATGTAACAAGATTTTTAAAAGAAAAATTAAATGATTTTATAAGACAAATGTAATGCAAAGATAATATTCTCATAAATCGTTTCCATTCTTTTTTTTTTTATTCGAAATAATCAAGGTTGTCAAGGTCAATATTTTTTCAAGTACATAGAACTAAAATAAAATATAATACATTGCATTTTCTATTTTTAATTAAACTTAACGCTTAGCCAACCGTGTAACTTAGTTTAAAGCGGGAAAATGGGAAGATCTTCCCATTCAGTTGGTTAAGTATTAATTAGCCAAGATGTACCGTTTCATCTAAGTTCTTCATTAAATTCAAATGAAAATATCTTTCATATAATCACAATTACTGATGTGCTGGTAGTTTAAAGCTTGCGTTCGGTTCGTCATAAAATGGCGAATGTCCCGAAGCAATTTCCCCGAGATGTAATCGGTTTTTGCCATAATTTGACCGTACTCTGAAATAAAGCTTCGAAGCCACCCACGCATCTCTAATTGTAATCATATTGAAAAGATGTTTTTCACATTATGCTTGATGGCTTCGATTGCATGGTGCACTGCACAGAAAGAAAATTTTCTTCTGATAATCGTTGACGATTTGAGAACAACTTTAGGATGTTACGGTGACGCGAAAGCTTATACACCGAATATAGACCGATTAGCAAGCCAATCTGCTATTTTTTCGCGAGCATTTGCTCAGGTTAGTTATAAATTAAATATCTTTGGAACGCACTTGTATCACTTAAATCTGAAAAGCGATATAACGATAAATTGTTTCAGCAAGCTTTATGCGCGCCAAGTAGAAATTCGTTTTTAACGAGCAGAAGACCAGACACACTTCAACTTTATGACTTTTATAGCTATTGGCGGAAAAATGTTGGCAATTTTACGACATTACCTCAGCATCTTAAAAATAATGGATATATTACCAAATCTATAGGAAAAGTTTTCCATCCAGGTCTCTGATTCATATTTTATATTACGATTATTGCACTAAATTTGTCTTAATCTTTTACAGGAGTTAGTTCAAACAATTGTGATGATAGCCCTTACTCGTGGACAGAAATACCTTTTCATCCTCATACAGAAATATACAAAGATGCTCCAGTTTGCCAAGCAAATTCGCGATTATTACCTGCACAAAATCTTGTAATTCTTAACGATTATTTGATAAAACAATAAAATGCAATAGGATGTCAATTTTGATATCACTTAAAAAAATTTGGAACCTACTTTTAGATATGCCCTGTAAAAATTTCATCAATGCAGAATAAAACATTGCCAGACATAGAAATATTGAAAGAGGCTAAACGTTTTCTACAAGATCAAACAAGCAATATCAATCCTTTCTTTTTGGCAGTTGGTTTTCAAAAACCACATATACCCTTTAAATATCCTGAAAAATATCTAAGTAAATTTAATTTGTATTATGATGATGCAATATCAAAGTAATAAATATGTAGGTCATGCTTATGGAAAAGATTTTACAGAATATCATCCACTGCACAAATTTGATGTGCCCGATCCATATAAATGGCCAGAGAATGTTAGTAGCATTGCTTATAATCCATGGATAGATTTGAGGAGAAGAAAGGACATTGAAGCTTTGAATCTTAAATTTCCATGGGAAAAAATACCAAGTACAATCAAAATCTACACAACAACTAAAGGTGATACACTTCTATCCTTTTTCAATTTCTAGGATCTTTTGGAAAATTAATTATACAATCCTACTATGCGGCTGTAACTTACATCGATGATCTGATTGGTAAATTAATATATCAACTGGAAATGTTGTCCTTTCGGAAAAATACTACTATAATATTGATGTCTGATCATGGTAAGCCAAGAGATGTTAAAACTAAAAAAATAACAGTCTATTCTGAATATTTAAAAATTGTTAAATTATTAACCGATATGTTATTATATTATTATTATCCAATACCTATCGAATTAACATTCTAACAGGATGGTCGTTAGGAGAACATGCAGTGTGGGCAAAATACAGTAATTTCGACGTTGCTCTAAGAGTACCCTTAATAGTATCGATCCCAGGACTTACATTGAATTTAAAAAAAAACAATTTTTTTAAACAACAATATTTCATGTACCTTAGGAGAAAATTAAAATTGCATCAAAAAGATGATACCCTTAATTTATTTAAAAACCGAATAATTATAGATTCAATAGTGGAATTGGTTGATATTTTTCCAACCATCGCAGATTTAGCAAACATTTCAATACCTATTTGTTCGAGCGAGAAGAATGTTCCTCGCACAGAAATCACCTGCAGTGAAGGAATTTCTCTTATGCCGCTAGTGAAAACCGCTTTAAAAGAACAGGTAACTGTAATTAAGGCTCAATGTTCAGTCACGTTAATCTTCTGTAGTGATGTGTATTTAAATAATTCGAATAATATATCGATAATTATAAATATCGAAAACTCGTATTTAAAAATTCGAATAATATATTTATAATTATCACTTACAGAACCTATCATGGAAAAAAGCGGCCTTTGCACAGTATCCAAGACCGAGTGTTGAACCTTCGATAAATCCAAATAGCGACGAACCACGATTAAAACAGATCAAAGCTATGGGATATACTGTCAGATCAAATAGATACCGTTATACTGCTTGGCTACCGTTTAAACCTGAAACGAAAGCATCAGATTGGAATAACATTATTGCAGAGGAATTGTACGACCACGAGAATGACGAAACTGAAACTCGAAATTTGGTAAATTTGCAGAAGTATGCAGATATAAAAGAGAAACTGAAAATTTTATTACAACGTGGCTGGAGAAATGGTTTACCTGAAAAGTTCAACATTTAAATAATTTCTCAATTTATATCGAATATTTTCACACTTATGATTACGTACTTTTAAATATAAAACTATTAAACTACGTATAATCATTAGAAATAGACAGTTTTATTAAGCAAAGACTATTCAAATATCAGTAATAATATTGCAATAATAATATTACATTACATTAATACTGATACTACTTAATATATATTAAAAATTACTACTATTCTTAGTAATCATTAAGTTTATTAATACTTATAATATGTATATAAAAAGGAAAATTATAATAATAATTCTCTTAATTCGAGTAACAAAAATCCTGTTTTCAATGAATATAAAACAATGCAGAATTACCATTGCAATTATCTAATCTACTGACATTCATTTTTTTCATGCTGTTCACTCTTCTTGGGTCTTGTTTTTCTTACTAACTGTAGGTGAAGTAATCTGAAATCGTAGAGTAATTCTTGTAATTGTTATAAATTCAGAGATATCGTAAATCTAACAAACAACTCGAATGCCCCTTTTAAGGGATTGCAAGAAGATTATGCAGGACAAAATTACGTAAGCAAAAAATTATAAAAAATTCCTTGAAATTCTATGCTCGAGCCATCGAGATGAATCAGTGAAGAAAGACAAAGTATTCGACGTGGTCGATGCTGTGGCCGCAATCATTGGTTGCCAAAGGACACTCACGAGTCACATTCAGGGACGTTTGTTTTCGTTTCCTGACTCGTCTCGTTGGCCCGAATATATTCACATTAGATGAAAGAGCAAATAAAGAAACGAACAATATATTCAAGCAAACGTAACAGAATATCAGCCGGCGATGTCGTTATCAGGGAGACCAAGTAAACATTCGAACTTTTCTTCACTACTCATTCCTCGTCCTGATTCGGCAAGGCTACCTCTTTGCTTGCATCACTCACAACGACTCTACTCCGACTGATGCGCGATGTTGCACGAAACCTAACCCCTACCAGCGCAACACGAGGAATATTGCGAAGTGGGGGAAGGTGTCAATCTCTACCTGATCTCTCTAGCCGGCACTTCTTTGTAACACGAGACAACAATAAAGAGTAATTCTATATGAAGGGTAGTTAACTTTTTAAATTGAGCATACCGTTTGTACATTTGTATCATACGATATTGCATGATACTTGAGTGGTCAAATAGAAAGACGACAAATTACTGTTACTTGCTCGAACGATCCTGTATTTCACATCGGTGATCGTTTCAAACGTTATCACACATTAGAAAAATATAAGATGTGAAAGTTTGATTTTCTTTTTCGCATAAATAAGTTTTATAACATCACACGGCAAATATCAATCTAGTAAAATCATTGGTTCTAATGATTCCTTTTCTACTATGTCGTAAGAAAATTTGTTTGAGCTGGTGGTAGATGATCGGATGAAAGTCTCCAAGTGCAAAGGGTTAAAATAAGCATGGCCAAGTATTGAAATTTCACAATTTGAAAGAAATGATTATTGATGCATAAATGTTACCTCTACAATGTCGTCATCGTCACCCGTAGATTTTGCATCATTATTTTTATTATTATGTGGAATCTCATCTCTGTTTTCGCTGTTACTGTTCATACTAAGATTCCGCACATATGACATTTGAGCCAAATTCGGTACTTGTGTTCTCAGCAATGTTTGCAGTGGACCTGTGTTCTGTCGTTTATAAAACTTTGATTAAATTTTAATCAAAAGATGATTTGATCATTCAAGTACCTGATTAGTAAATTGATGTGCAGATGCACTATGGTAAGTCTGTTGCTCCCAATAAGTATACATGTCTTTTAACACTCGATTTGTCATCATTTGTTGACACTCGGGTGTCACATTGGGATACTGCAATGTAAATTGTAATAGGATTATTTAACAGTTCGAAAAATGTTTCGAATATAAGTTATTCAATACTTTGTGATAAACAATAATAATATGCTTACATCTTTCCGAATTAGTTCTTGGAATTTTTCATAATCTGTACCAAAGTGTAGTGGCGTTGGTAAGTTATAATGATTTAAAAATTCACTATTTGAAATAGATGCCATTGTTGGATACATCGGCATTAATTTGCCTTCCTTCTCTTCCTCGTACTCTAACCAGGCTTGCTTTCTCTCTTCTTCGTCCAATTCTTCCTCAGCCTGCGTAAAATTAATTTATATTAAAAATTTTAATAGTTTCATTCGACTCCTGTTCTTAAATGTCTTCCAATTTTACTTTATTTTCCAACAGAGAATCATGCTCGTGATAGTTTTCCACAAAATGTTTATATTTCAAAAATATTTCCGCTAATAATCTATCTTTTGGTAAATTCAAAGTCGGCTTTTCTCCGGTTGTATTTGGTTCGAACTTGTACAACTCGCTTAAAACATGATTGCTGTAATGACGTTCTATTTGTTGTTCATCAACAACTCTGCAGGAAAGCGATAACTTTGTCACTTGTCGATTATATATTTTTTCTTCCATTGTTCCAGCCGCCAAAAACCGATAAATATAGCACGGTTTTTTCTGACCAAATCTATAAATCATATGGATTTTAGAAAATGATTATAAAACACTTTCTCAATAAGTCAATGAATCGTACCTATATACACGAAATATACTTTGAACGTCATGGGAAGGATTCCAACTTGCGTCAAATATAATGACGCGATTGGCAGCAGTTAAATTGATTCCTAATCCACCTGCTCGTGTCGATATTAAGAATAATCTTGCTCTCGTGTTCGATGGTTTATTGAATATTTTGCACCATCTATTTCTGTTGTCGGCAGAGGTTTGACCATCCAGTCGAAAATAATCCAAACCGAATGACCAAGAGCCACTGTGTCCATCAATGGATTCCGTTGACGTACCGTTTTGTGTCGCGTCATCGATTATTTCAAGAAATTGCTCAATTAAAGTTAACGAGTACAAAGACTGTGAAAATACCAATCTAAAAGATATTTTTTAAATTAAATGTAGTCACTAAAAGCTTCAAAAACCAAAAATTGTTAGACCGTTGATGCGACACATGAAAGACATACATTTTATCGCCTATTTGCCCGCACTCCTTTAAAATACCAAATAGGAGCGTCAATTTAGCGGAAATTTTCATGTCGTTGTAATGTTCGGGTTGAATGAACTGTGACCACCACTCTTCTTCTTTTTCACATTCTTCTGGTTCCGAAATTATATCAACCTCTAAATATAATAATAGTTCATTCGTTATGCAATTTAAAACTGAGATTATTTTTATAACAAATTGACATTGTTGGTTATTAAATGATGAGGCCGTAACAGAGTGACAAACAATTATATTAAGCACGTAAAAAAGAACAAAAATGTATATGGCTGCATGCGTGAGACAACAAAATTATGGCAGGGCACATAAATCTTCAATAAATATCATACCTTCGGTGTTACTTCTTGTATTTTTTGTATTCTTTGACTTATCATTATCATCATCATCTTCGGTAGAACTCTCTGTAGTAGTATCAGACTGACAATCAGAGTTGTCAACAACGAAATCTTTTAAAGAACCTTCAGTGTCAGTTGAGGAGTATTTTCTTTCAAGCATCTTTCCCGTCTTTTCCGAATGTAAACGTAAAATTACGGGATGTGTCCATATTCTCTGGAGTACTTGAAAATCTGCAAAAAGAGATCCACCCGCAGCACGGTGTTGTCTAAAAAAAAAATAATACATATTAAAAACTTCAAATAAAATATTATAATTACTATGAAATCTATACCCTTTGTAACAAAAGAAACAGTTATACATTTCATAAATTTATTTTGCTTATGAAGTTTCATAAAGAACGAAATATTAAGAATACAAAAATTTATCTCTTATACCTTGCAAAGTTATCCAAATAATGCCGATATAGTTTAATTTGTACATCTGTTAGGCTCACAAATATTACATATTCCTGTTTTGGTGGTAAAAAAGGCATTAACACAGAGTAATCAAACCTCTGTACACTCCCTTTTAACATTTTGTGCAACACATAAGCGCGTTTTTTCATTAGTTTAACATCATTTTCAGTAGAATCGTCGAACTGTCCATTGGTTATTGGATTCGCAAATCTATTTAAAAATTCCTTCTTTGTTCCTAGAAGGTTTGGTTTTATAAATTGTACCATGCAATGATCTGTAAAATCAGAGTTTAAAATATTTAAATACCTAAATATCGGGCATCCTCTTATTTTACAGGTTCTTATTATTCAATATTATTAGATATTTACATTCTATTAAATTATTTTGAAGTGGCGTTCCAGTAAGGATAATTCTCCGTAACGTTTTAATACGTTTTATAGATTTACTAATAGCGCTATCTTCGTTTTTCAATAAATGACCCTCATCGCAAACTATCATATCTGGACCAGGATCAACCAAGCACTGTAGGATTTCTTCTTTCATAGCTTTTCGCATTCTATTATTAGTATTGCTGAGATTTCTGAACATCTCGTAACCGATAAGGAGCACGCCACCAGTCCTTTGCCAACATTGAAGCTGAGTTTTTCGCTCTATGTTTTTCTTATATCTTTAACAAATTTATGAATAAAAATTGTAAAAGTGGAAATGTCGTCCGAATGCTTGTGAATTGGCGTGGTTAAGGAATGTTTTGAATGAAACGATTGCAAAGTTGTTTCATTAAAAGTGGCCGGGGTGTAAAAGAAGAATGTTTGGGATATAAAAATTACTTACTTAGTCAATTCATAAATATCAATGTCACTATTATCGATGTCCTTCAACCATAAATTAAATTCATTGTACCAGTTAAGTACCGTACTTAAAGGACAAACAATCATAATGGTTCTGATGTTAGTTTCTTCTTCATGCGCCAAAAGTGTATGCGTTAGAGCAATTACTTGAAGAGATTTTCCAAGTCCCATACAATGCGCGATTATACATCCAGATCCAGAAGAAGATTTTATCCTTTCAAGGGACTCAAAACAAGCATCCCACATGAATTTTATTCCTTTAGCTTGATGCGGTTTCAGGCGCTTCACCAAATTTTTGTCAACGCTTAAAAGTTCTTCTTTTGTTTCAGGATTAAAATCTAATACCAAATTTTCTACCCTTTCTTCGCTAGCCAATCTTGCTTCGTACATTTCATTATACTAGATCACATGAGATATTGAAAATTGATAATCATTTTTATAGATTTTTACGGAACATTTAATTAATTCTTTATCTATTACAAATACATACCAATTTTTGTCGCTCAGAAATGCGTTTAAGTCTCTCTTCCTCTTGCTTTGCAGCTTGCTTCGTATCATCTGCAATATGTTTGTCCTTTAGTACTTTCCGAATATTTTTGCGACCTTTTGTGCCAGGTACTTTTGGAGAACTTTTAGTTCCATCACTATTGGAACTATCATCGCTATCGGAGTCCATCATTTTAATTCGTTTTCGTTTTACCTTTGATCTAAATATGTAAAGGCGTAATATCAATACAAATTTTTGCATAAAAAAAATTCCATTCTTAATGTCTTGTTTCTTTCAGGGAGTCTTCTGATTTTCAGGGTAAAAAGAAGAATCTACTTTCGTACATATATTTCAATAACTCCTACATGTTCTCAAAACACATATTAACGCGTGACAAAATCACTGCATTAAAAAGTTTTATGGATTTCTTCGGAAAAAATGATAAAAAAAGTTCTTTTTTTCGACCTTAAAACCAAAAGATTCCTTAAGTAACAGTTAAAAACATACCTCTTTTCAGAAAGTGAGGAACCCGAATCAGAAGATTTATTTGTCTTACGTTTACGTGTTTTCTTTTTTTTCATTCCTATGCTAGAATCAGTATTTGATGATGTATCTTCCAATCCTAAAGACTTACTGGAATCTGAGTCAGAATCATTTAATTGTATCTCTGAATCGGAATCAGTAATTTTACGATTTCTTCTTTTACGTTTAACAATTTTTTTTTGGTAATCTGAAGAATCTCTGTTTAAAAAAAAATGTATAATTTATTTGATACATTATTTATTTAACACAGAATTATATTAAGTAACCCACGAGTGACTATCTTCCGCTTCTTCGCGTAATTTTTGTCGGTGTTTTTCCAATTTTTCCCTCGCAATGTCCGAATCCGAATCTGAGAACTTTAATGTCAATATTTTATTTTGTCTCCATTTACTTTTATTTCGTTCATCTTCGTTATCCTGATTGCAGAGAAACGAAAATTAATATTTCTTTTTATAAATTATGAATGATTATTTCAGATCACAAATTTTGTTTGCATTCTAATCTTTACCATTTCGCTGGTCAAACTCTTTTTCTCAGTATTTTTCAATGATTTTGTTTTAACTTTTTTTCCCTCCTGGTCACTATTATTATTTTCCGACTCGTTCTTATATTCTTTTAAATTAAAATAAACCATGTATAAATTTTACACAACGTATAATACAGCTGAATATGTAGTGTTTTTCAATCTAATACAAATTAACATTAAAGAGTAATTAATTTAAATACCCTTATCCGAATCAGAAGAATTTAAAAGCATCTTCTTTGAGGCCATATCTGCTTCCTTTATTAACTCTTCGGTAGTTGGAAACTTAGATTGTACTTCTGTGATTGGATTCATGCCTTCTGAATCAGAATGTTCTTCAGAATTGCCAATGAATTCTCCATTTGACACTTTCATTAAATGATCCAAAAGAGTGTCTTCTGTTTCTTTTTCTTTTTGAGCTTTTATCGCGGATGTGGAATATCGCGTCGAATTTGTCTTTTTACAGTCTCTTTCAAGTCTGTCCAAATTAGTGAGACTGCAAAAAGGAATTAAAGACTCGTTAAAAAATAATAAAAAAGAAAGATATATAGAGTATTTATTTTATGTGCATTTTCTGGAATACCTCAGAAGAAACTGAGAATAATGAAAAAATATTTGTACAAAAATTGTTTAGTATAAAGAGGGGCATAATATGATATAAACATTTTTTTCTTGTGCGTAGAACCATATAGGAGATTTCAAGGTCAAGTTAATTTTTAACAAATCCAACAAAGTGCTATCATAGACATTTCCTGTTATGTGAATTTGGTAAAATTATGAAAAACCTTGGTATCTGATCAACATATGTTGCATACCTTCAACCAGCTGAATCTTATTTGACTGTGCTACTAATACGAACTAGATGCCTCAATTCTCCTCAATGAAGAAGCAACTAACAAATGAAAAAGTGTAAAGTAGTTCTAAGACAGATAAAATTCAGAAAAACTATAAATTAATTATGTTTATTCCCATTTACCAATCTTTAATTGAGAGTTAATCATTATTTTCTTTTGGATCTCCCTTTAATGTATATCCTGTCATTGTAAATATAGTTTTCTAGTTGTGTTCAAGATTTTTGTTGAACACTTTGCAATATTCCTTCCATTATTTGAACACATGCATTTGTAATAATTATTTTAGTCATTAATATCTTGAACAGATGCTTGGAAGATAATGTTTTTTAAATAGTCCCAAAAGAAGAAATCACATGTTGGCAAATCAGGTGATCGTGGAGGCTATGGAATAGGTCCACCATGTTCAATCCACTTATTGTTAAATTTTTTATTTAACCAAGTACGTACTGGTAGAGTGTATCAAAGAGGGGCACCATCTTGCTGAAATCATAAATACTGCCTTAAATGTAGTGACATATCATTAACACTGGACAAATATGCTTGCAACAATTGTAGGTAAATTTAGCCATTAATAGTTTCTTAAGAACATGTAAAAGAAATATGGCATATCATATCATACCATGCTATAACAGATTAACAATATTGATTATTATTTTTATGAATCCATTCAGGATTCTTTACGTCCAATAATCTGAAATTTTTAAGACAAACTAGTTCATCCGTATAAATATATTCAGCTATTATCACTAAGTTTTAGATAAAATTTGAGTTATCCATAATTTTCTCAGGCACCTACAAAGTAAATTCAACACAGAGTTAAAAATCTCATGGAAAAGGTTTATTTATAATAACCCATTTAAAAGCTTCATATCCATTCTTTTTTAATATATTATATACAATCCATGTAAAGATATGTTAGCTGTCAATATCCAGACAGATATCTTAGCGTTGTATGCAATTGTTGCCAATACATTTATTTCATATGCATCCAATGTAATAGGAGACAGTTTCTCTTTTTTAATAACACTTCCAATAGTCTTAAATAATATACCTATATTTCTTAACATCAACAGTACGGGTTTAGATCTATTCAAATGTCTTTTATGAAATTCATCACTAACTTCAAGGTACAATAAACAATCATCACCACGTAGGATTAATTCCATTTTTTCTTTAGTAGTCCAGAACTTTTTTTTTTACAAAATATTATTACAGCACCAAAATCATCCTGTAGTAACAAACTTACAAACTTCACTAAACTAATACACGACACTCTGAACACTTGTGCTAAACTGACACTTCGTAAAAATTTCATAAACTACAGTATCGTTGCAATAAACATAAAAACATGGACTCGACACGCGATATTCAACACCTTCGTCAGCACTTCGCCGTTAGCGACAATTGTAGATCGAAGATTGAAAAACAAAAAAGAATCGAGCGTCGAGGCATTCTTTGAAGTTTAAAAATCATCTTACCGCTTTCCGATGGAATACAATGTTTGATAAGTGACACCAAAGGACCAGAGAGGCCAGATAAAGACTCGCACCTTCCCCCACTCCTTAATATTCTTCGTGCTGTGCCGGCAGGGGTACCCCTTCGCTTACGTCACTCAGACCGACTCTGCTCTGACGACTTCTGCCGATGCTGCCCGAAACTGAATGGCGGAACCCATGGAATACTGAGAAATAGGGGAAGGTGCAAACCATCCGGCCTTTCTAGAAAGGAATCATATACCGACAAAATTTGTTCATGACACTTATTCATTCAATTTCATTCCATTTTTAGAATTACTTAACAATCTTTCACTTGTTAACTACTTCTTCATAGAGAATTGAGGCGACTCATTCGTATTAGTAGCATGGTCAAGTAAGACTCAGCTGGTCAAAGGCATACGATGTGTGTTGACCAGATATGTATCATGGTTTTTAATGATTTTTACAAATTTCCAACAACACGAAATACCTATGATAGCACCTCGTTGGATTTGTCTTAACAAGCACCATCAAACTATAAATAAAAAAGTATAGCATTCCATTAAAAAAAAATTAACTTGACCTTGAAATCTCCTATATGGTTCTACACACAAGAAAAAAATGTTTATACCATATTATGCCCCTCTCTGTACCAAACAATTTTTGTAAAAACATTTTTTTAATATTCTCAGTTTCTTCCAAGGTATTCCAGAAAATCCAGATAAAACAAAATCCTGTATATTTATTAGAAATAATTCGATTCAATAATCATTCAAACGTTTCTTTTAAAATCACACAAAGATAATGGTACTTATGAATTTTAAAAAACTTAGTTACTAAAACACAGTCATACTACATCTTCTTAATTTCGCATACTTGACAAAAGTAATCCTACGTTTTACAGTTAACTTTTAATTTCTTTTAACAGAAAAAATAACAAATTTTTAAGTATTTACATGTACTTTATACCTTTTAATATTTTTAGCATCCAAATAATGTCGCGATTTGTGCAATGCATCCGCATGATTTTTTAAAATTTCTTCGGATAATTTTTCAATGGCGACATAACAATTCATCATTAGTTTTTTATCAGATTCTAAGTCACTGTTTTTCTTAACACCAGTTCGTCTTCTCTTTACCCTTTCGCTAATGCTAGTATCAAACTCTGACAACGTTACATCTAAAGAATTCTCTTTGCTCTCTTCCTCTTGTTTGTTCAATGAGGGGTTTACTTTTGTAACTTGCAAATTACACTCGCTATCAGAATTTGAACTTTCACTGTTCGACGACGCCAATAGTGTTGCTTTTGCGTGTATGTTCTCGCTATTAACACCAGATTTGTGTGTTTTACACGACGGTTTTCTCGAATAAGAAGAAATCATAGAATCGTCTGAATTTGAGTCAAGAAGAGCACGTTTGGCACAGATCTCATCAATAATTGTATCCTTCTCATCTGACGAACTGCCTTCGTCAAAGAGATTAGTTTCTGGATTATTTACTTTTTTCTTGCTATCGGAGTTTATTTTTTCAAATTCTACTGTGTCATTTTTTTTTGGACTATTATCCATAAAATCTTTTTTTGAGTTTTTAGATGAACACTCTTCATTAGGAAACATTTCTGAATCAGATTCCAGCATTGCTTTTTTAGCTTGTTCTTCCGCATTAAGTTCATTTAAAATATTATGTATCTCTTTTTCAATTATAACTGTTGCAATTGATTCATTATCATCTATCTTTGATGTTACTGTTTCCTCAGAAGAAAAGGTCTTAAATGCAGTATTTCTCTTTTCGTTTGTATTCGTGTGTTTATTATCAGGTTTCCCACTTGTTTCTCTAGATTTTGTCAACGCGTTATCTTTATCAAAATCAGCTTTTATAGGTAGTATTTTATCCTTATTTGTTTTTGATACTAAACTAGCTTCTTCCTTAAGTCCATTTTTCATTTGTTTCTGAGTATCAACAGCTTCAACGTTCACAATTGATTCTTCAAATATATCTTGCAAAGAATTATTCATATTGTCATTTTCCTGTTCATGGCATTCTTTATAAGTTTCGTTATCTTCATCAATCGCTTTTGATGTATCTTTTACATGTAATTCATCAGATATTGCTTTTTTCTTGACATTGCCTAAAATAGGAGAAACAGCCCGATTATCTTCTGAGGGTACCATGTTTTCACTACTATCAACCACAGACTCTTTTGATATTTGAGTGGATGCTGATTTTTCTCCTGTTTCCTCATTTTTGTCAGAAAAAAATATTTCTTCGCTATCGCATTCTGAAACTAAGTTTTCTTCCTGTGAAGAGGAATTATTCTTTGACAGACTAGAGTTTTTTTTAGAATCTGCTGCTTGCAATACTTCGTTTTCATTTAAGTGACTATCTTCGTAATTTCTATTTTGTAAAATGTAGTTTTTACTCCATTCTTCATAAAAACTTGTTAAATCTTTTTCTTGCGTGTCAAGTTCCATTTTAAATTTGTTAATTACATTTTTCACTTTATTTACTAAATTGTTTGCAGATTCCATATATGTTAATTCTTTTTTAAAATGTTTCCATTTTACGCTCTCTATACATAATTCATATTCAGAGCAACTTTCTCTAAATTTATTTAAAATTTTAATAACATTAGATTTCAAATACAAACTGTTTTCTTTATCAATCACAGTTTTGTTTTTTGTCTGTTTTCTGGATATTGAATGTGACTTACAAGATTGACCGCAAACCGTTTTGACCCCATGTAACTTTCTTATCTTCTTATAACTAGTGCTAGCATGAGAAAATTTTGATTTCTGAAATTCTTCACCAGAACTAGAGACAATATCATCGGTATGTAAATTAACAAAACTTTGTTTATTTGATTTCAAAGCAACGCATTGTCTTTCCTTTTTCTCAGTGTACTTTTCATGCATCTCAACATTCGAGTCACTCGAATCTGATTCTTCATCCTTGTTTTTTTGTTTCCTCATATTGTTGTCAACTATTTTACTTTTTCTAGATTTTCTATTTTCGTTGAATTTTAAATGTTTTCTGTCTGATATCTTCTGCTTGTAATTGTCACTATCACTATCTTCACTAACTACCGGTAACAAAGGTTTTGTCCTATTTTGTGATTTTTTGGTCACATTGTTGTCAGACAACATAAAAGAGTTTTGTATTTCTTTTACATTATCGTCGGATGACTTAGATGTTTTTCTTTTCTTTGATTTTGAGTTATCATCTGAAAGTAATTTAGGAGAATATTCTGTTGAACTACTACAACACTCACTGTTGTGTTTTGATCTTCTTTCATTGTGCTTGGTGTTTTCTCTCGCTGTTTTGCCCAAATGTTTTATATGATTCTCAGAATTAAGCCCAACAGAAGGCTGTGTATCTTCTGCAGAACTAGAATCATCACATAACGTACGTATTGATTTTAGAATATTATTAATTTTTTCATGCTTATTCCTCCCATAATTTCGATTAAAATTAAGAGTTGATTGTAAACATTTCTTTTTATTATTCCTTCTGAAAAGAAATCTATTAAACATAATACATGACAGTTGAATAAATTATACATATATTTTATCGAATGCATTGAAATTAATATTTTCTTTTTGAATATCTTTTAAAACTCTAACAAAGAACATAGTTTTTAGAATAATTACTTACTTGGAAGAAGAAGACATGGCGACTGCGCAAGTGTTTTCGAAGTTGAAAACAGATTTTATATTAAATATAAAACATTTTTACGCTTTGACTTAAAAGCCAAAGGTAACAGAATTACATTATTTATCGTATACTGTTAGAAACAAAGTCGTGTTCTAATAATATTTACATAACTTCTACGTTACAGTGTAACTGTTACACTACAGAGAACTTGTACCGACTTATACCGCTGATCTTTATATACTACACTAGACATGGTTCTGGTAGTTGGTATTAGTGTGGCCAGTATGGCCAGATTTGGCATAATTGAGTGCATCGACATTAGTAACGACGAACATCCTTAGCGTTTAACAGAGTGGTGGGGAAAGCCGACATATAGCTATATGTAATTCTTTTTTTATTTCTTTTAATTTTAAAATTTAATTTAAAAATTTGTCCACCTACCGATTTCGTAAAAAATTTTTTTCTCGAAAGTGCGTTGGATTTCGGGGGTATATGTATTCACCAAAAATGACTGCAATTGAACTCCGCAACCGAAAATAATTTTTTTAGAATGATTTGAAATTTTTTAATTCAACAAAATACAAAATTCAACATATAAATAAAATACAAAACAGACTTATCGTTTACCAACACTTCGTGACCGTCTACCGTTTGATACATGGGAAACAATAAAATTTTTCTTATAAAATACGAAAGGCGCGAACTGTAATTCAGTCACACAAATTTCGAAGGACTGAAACGAATACATATCATATAAAGTATGTATAGGTATACTATTGAAAAAAAGAATAGATTTTGTATGTACTATGTATATGTATGGGATAATTATTAGCTTGTACAATTTTCTGTTGGTTTAAAATTACATTAAATTGTACATAAAAAAATTTACCTGCCAAGAAAATATCATTGTAAAATGGATTATTTTATCAAACTTTTGTATATTCAACAAGTAAAATGAAAGTAATGAAAATATAGAATCTTCTTAATCTAGGACTAGTTAATACAAAATGTATTCTATCTTAAAAATTTCCTGATACTTTTAAGTTAAATATCAGTTTCAAATGTTTGAATTCATATCTCAAATTGTACTTCAAGTACATGTATTTCAAGATTCTTCGGTTATTACCTTTATTTATTGATCTTCTGCTGGTTCTGAAGTATAATTCTGTTGTCTAGATAAACTTTTCTCTATAGAGATGTAAGACTTTGAGTTTAATACTCTATTTTCCTGGATCGCGGGTACATCACAAAAAAGACACCTTGTTTCTTGAAACACATGGTCCAAACATGGATGAAAAATTAAACCACATATTTGGCACATTCTGTAGTGCACAGTAGTTATTTGTAAAAGAGTAATAGCGCATCTAGGCAGTATATGACCCTGTGTACATTTAGTCACTTTCCAAGAAAGATCATTTATCATTTCTCCACACAAATTGCAAGACTCAACGATATTTGAACTGAATTTTAATACTTTCTGTAAAATATCTTTAACACGCTTGGAAAGCGGAGTTACTTCTTCATTTTCTTCTCCTGCAAGATATACTTCCAAATACATTCTTAATAAGTTTATAGAGACCTTGTGTTCTTCGAGCAAAGAAAATTTATTTTCAAGTTGCTCGAGATAATTACAAGCAGAATGGACGAAAATTAAAGGCTGCACTTCCGATATCTCTCCAGCTATACTTCCTATCCCTTGAATTATTTTTTTTTTCTCACAAATTTCCATTATCACCGATATCCACATTGCTATTCGTAATTCATGTAAAGACAAATATTCCAAGTTGGATGATACTTTTGGCAATACAGATGCGGGTTCCGCTGCTTTAGTCGCTTTCATCCTAATTATTTCTAAACAGTCCCATAGCTGTTCAAATCTTACTTTTTTATTTTTATGCAATACAAACAATGGATCCCAATCCTCGCTTTTCAAGCAAAACATATGTATTTTGCTTGGTTCTTTTATTACTAAATGATCATATAGAGTATTTGGAGAAGTTATATTTACAAATATCACATAACTTGAAGAATGAGCAAGACCCAGATATCGTACATGAGCTTGTTGCAATCCATTCTTGACTTCAATTTTTAAGAAATTATTTTCTCGTGTATCAATTGCAAACATAGAACTATTCTCTGTTGTAACTAGTGCATAATCTGCACTGACACAAATTACTCCTAAAAGTTATCAATGTACTTATATTTGTAACATGTCTTTATTGTGTATAAAAGAATAGCATTTCATTTACCTGAAACCATGAATCCTTCTAATTGCAAGTGTTGTATACTCTTTAGTATTCCTTTTATTGTAAAAGTCAATAAAAAAAGAAATGTTCCTTTTGAAACAAGAACTTTTGTAATCGAATCAACTTGTGGAAACATTCTTATAGCACTAATAGGAATACGATCTGTATAATCATAATATTTAATAAGGGATTCAAGTTCAATTGCCTGGTCATGTTCTTTAATTTTAAGACCGTAAATACGTCCGTCAAAATATCCAACCATAATTATATGTTCTTTTATATCAATTGTAATCCAATGTAGAACATTTATTTTAACATTTTCATTTAATCGTATTGTACCTGCAATCTTCAGATCAGATATTTGATCATAATCTGACATCTTTGGAAATTTATAAATAACTATGTCTCCATTGTAATAAGCAACAGCAAGGTACGCATAATCTACAAGGAGTGTGCTCCAAGTCATACAAGAAGCTTGTAGGGCTTTAATGCAATTTTTTAACATTAGAAACGAAATATTGTTGCTCCTAATATCTTCTAACTTTGTATTAATTTCGTCCTTTATAGCCCTATAGCGTATAGAGCACAAGTCATATGCAGGGTACCAATCTGTAGAAATTTTGTGGACAATTGTAATAGCACCTGTCGATGTTAAAATTGCAAGAAAGCATTTGCTTGGATGTATTAGATTTTGTGGTGACCACTCTAAATCAGCTATTTTTGGAATCATCTCCCTAACATTAGATATTTTTGGAGTCAGACTTTCTTCCATTAAAAGTGAATAAACTGCTTCATGGTGCATGTTGTACATTCTAGATTCTATTTTATTCATTATTATTTCTGTTGGAAAACTCGATGGCACGTAAATGAAAGATCGAGAAAATTTTATAGTTGAGTGAGGAGACATTGGAGTAGGTATTAATTCCTAAATAAAAAATAATATAATTATTATTGGTAGTCTTATTACTAATAACATTTATAATTAAGATTTAAAAACAATCTGGTATATTATACAGGGTGTTCTGCCACCCCTGGGAAAAATTTTAATGAGAGATTCTAGAGGCCAAAATAAGACGAAAATCAAGGATACTGATTTGTTGATTGAGGCTTTGTTAAAAAGTTGTAAAAACATTTCCAACCACACAGTATATTTACGGTAAAAAATTTTTTTCTCGAAAGTACGTAGGATTTCGGGGGTATGTGTATTCACCAAAAATGATTGTAATTGACCCCCGCAACCGAAAATAATTTTTCCGTGAATGATTTGAAATTTTTAAATTTAATTTTTTAATAACTTTTTAACAAAGTCTTAATCAACAAATTAATATTCTTGATTTTCGTCTTATTTTGACTTCTAAAATCTCCCATTAAAATTTTTCCCAGGGGTGGCTGAACATCCTGTATATTTTGTATTCATATTGTATATACGTGGAATAAATAAAAAATAATTTACATTAAACTTACAAATATATGAATTCCCTTCTCACTAATGATCGATATATGATTGTCTTGAGACCATTGAACTGCAAATCTTGATACAATGGGTGGTGTAATTGTAAAACTATAAATTTCTTCTGTTTCCATTATTCATAAAATATTTGTATAGTACAGTACAATTATTCACAATATTTTTCTAGCATTCAACTATAAAAGCTTTATATTCTTAAACCAGAATTTTGCTGAACAATATCTTTGATCGTATAAACCTTTATATATTCTTGCTTTACTCGTATTTAAATGTAAGCTTATAAAACTTATCAGATTATATAAAAGCTTTATAAATGTTGTCCTCTTGTTATTCTTGATATTTTTATAACTTATGTACATACTTAAATATGTGTAATTCACCTGGTAACAACAATCTAAATAAAACAATGTATACGTAATCTTATAACAGAAATGATAACGAAAACTTATTTTATGAAAATATATTTAAAATTTACAGGTAATATCTTATTAAAACAGACTATATTTTCACATATGAGCACTGAAAATAATATATTCTATCGTGTACGAAGTGAAATTTTAAGAAACCTAACCTATAAACTTCAACTACACACTTCTTGACTGCTTTCATGCTCATCGAAAAAGTAACAATGCTAAAGCAATACATGTATAATTGACAACATAGAATCATAGAATATATTATGCAATATATATCGGTTAAGTACAAATGAGATCAAATTTTATAGAGAATTTTAGTACATATAATAGACTAAAATCGATCACTATTACAGTTAATTCTGTTCACAAAATAATATTTAACAATATTTCAGTACTTTTTAAGGCTGTAATTTTCAGCGTGAACTATCACGACAAGTATGTATTTAGAAGGTTTTCTTAAACAATAAGCTAATTCTTTTTTTTTTCATGTTTAAAAGGTTAACAAAATAATTCGTCAACGACTACCGCAGTAGGAGCGCAGCTCTTGTGTTGAACACGTTTTTAGGCAGCACTCTTGGTAGATACCCAATGAATTTCTCCGAAATCTTAACATTTTTCTAGCGCTCTCGATGGATTTATAAGGATGCATATCTTTATTAAATCCATAGTCCATTTCCATTTCTGAAAAAAATATCTCTTACATATACAGTGCTGGATAAAATGTATCAGAATCATACAAAATTTTAGAAAAGAGTTATTGCGTTTACTACATTAAACGAAATTGTAGTGGTCATTCAAATGATAATGTACCTGGAATATTTTTTTTGAACCGGGAATTGTAAACGCTACCACAGATCATTCGCAGAGTGCTTGCAAGATTACTGCCGCAATATTTGCGCCCTTCGTTTTCAGCCTGTCGCTTTAATCTGTACTGAAATACAACCGATTGCGCGTGTTCCGTTTCTGGCATTAGAATCGCTATTACGAGTATCAAACTCACGATCACGTGTAATTGGTACGCGAACATCTAGAAACAAAACAATACTTTTAAAATGTCAATTGTTGTTCAATGAAACTTGCAATAATTTTATCGATAAAACGAAACAGGACTTGATCCTAAAAAATTCAACGAAAATCATTAAAGAAGTAATTATTTATTGAATTATACCTAAAAAGAGGAAAACACTTAATAATGCTCGTGGGCTTTAAATAATTTTACACTGGATAAATAAAACGGAACGTTTAATAATACAAATTTTAATGGGAGATTCTAAAGGCCAAAATAAGACGAAAATCAAGAATACCAATTTGTTGATGGTGGCTTCGTTAAAAAGTTATTAACGTTTAAAGATCCGCCTGTAGAACGGCAACTTGAGAACAGCTGCGCATGCGTGATAGTGATTCTCACTCAGAAAACTGTAAGGCTGTCGATACGTCACTCAGTAGAGTTTCTCATGCTGAATGAGAACCACTATCGCGCGCACGCAGCTGTACGCAGGTTGCCTATCTACAGGCGCAACTTTAAACGTTAATAACTTTTTAACGAAGCCTCAATCAACAAATTGGTATTCTTGATTTTCGTCTTATTTTGGCTTCTGGAATCCCCCATTAAAATTTTTCCCGGGGTGGCCGAACACCCTGTATATTGCCTGTAGAGAATCCTTTTACTAAAAAACATACAAACAGTCAAATAAAATTTAGTGCCAATGTGCAGTGTGGAATCCTCGATACACATTTTTTCACTGATAATATCTGAAATGCCTTGTCTGATCCTCAATTGTGTCTATTTAAATTACTTTCGTTAAACTTTATCAGACTTATCAATAATGCTGCCCCATGCTGTTGCTGTCGTGTACCAGACAACCTATTTTTAGTTATCGTTCATGCAAATATAAATCTCGAGCTGTAAATCTTCCCTCGGTGCAAACGATTTACAAATATCTTACGAATTTCATGCGATTTCTATTCCTGTTAGTAGTGGTTAATTCGAAAAGATTTTCAGAGAAAATTATTTAATAACATGTATTAATACCGTAAATCGTTATCTTCTGTTTTTCTTTAATTAAATTTACTTTTATTTTATTCATCGCAGAATTTTATATACCGTACATTGATAAGCATCGACAAAGAAGAAAACATTTTAATTTGCCACGTTTGAAAGATAAGGGGCATTAGTTGTCAGTACTTTTAGTACAAGTTTATAAATAGAGATCTAGGTGGAAAAACTCATACGTGATATGAATGATACGTTCTGCTTTTATAACATTAACAGAATTATCATTCCGTTGAGTGATTCATAGCGATTGATAACGAATTGCCTCGATATAAATTTCCTTTGCCAATACGGATATTGTTTAACCAGCATTTTCCGAGGATAAGCTGTTGTTTCACCCTTCCCAAAACATCGGTTAGTCGAATTATGTCTCAATTAATCACATAATTCTTAAGGTCTATTTCCATAAAGTGCTTATAATATAATCGAAAATAGATGAATAATGAAATAACTATTGTAATAAAAAATATATGTAAAAAAAATCACTTACTTATTATACATCGATAAAACAGAGATCAGCAAACTATATATTCATATACATATGCATATATTTTGTGTGCGCGCGCGCGTATGTATGTCTGTATTATGCTGGCTATCACAGTTTGGTACTTTCCTTTCTTGTTTTATATATTGATCGTTACATTAACCGAAGAATAACTTCCAATCTAATTTTCGTTGTTGACATTGACATATCCGGTAAAGAAAAGAACGATAATACTTAAACAAACGGAAATATATATTTTCAATGTGTGTAGTATATTTCGAAGTGTTATATAAAACGAACAAGAATCTGTTCGATAAGTACGGTATGTAAAAGAGCACGTTATTATAAATATTAATTTTGTCGTTCTTTTTATTTTGATAAATTTTTAAATTATGTTTCAACACTGAAAACAAATGCAATATGAATGATAAGAAAGCTGTAAAAACACTGATAAAATGAAGTTAATATTGTAAACGGCAGAAAAAACATAAACTTGTTTCTACTTTACACGAATTTACAAAACCGAAAGTCTCGATATATCGAATAAATCGTTGGTAAAGTTTCTCTTACGGGCTACAATATCTGTAAAGAAAAGAAAAATAATTTGCCTAGTTTTGGAAAGTTACCCCTCAATTAATGTTAACGGTGATTGAAAAACTCCTCGGTATATTCTGACATTTGCATTCTCTCGTGTACATCAGTATTTTCTTCGTAGTTTTTTCCTTTATCCTTGAATGTTTTCTTACAAATTGCAACGTTTCACAGCATGAAGAATTAACCGTTCGTATCTACAATCGTCCACATTGTTTATCGATTTCTTTGATTCGAGAAAGACAATCGATTAATAACACCTTCCATTCAGTTATTCGATATATGATCCACAGTGACAAGTTATTCCTCGTCAACATCAGGCATAAAACGATCTTCCTGTATCGGTAATTTTCTTCAAATTGTGGACGTTCCTCGGACGAGTTCTGTTTTCTGTTTTCGTGCAAAAACATTTACGTAAGAAACGAAAAAGAGTTTGTAACAATTCATCGAACTTTTTTCCTTTTATTCGTCATCATTTCATTCGCTCTACCGACTCGATTGAAAACGTTCGTACAGTCATGATTCATAAATCGCGAGAAGGTAAGACACAGTAAAAAAACACGTTATCGTATCGTTACAATTTAAATATATAAAACATATCACGTATTACGTCCCGTTATTGTAATTAAATGTCCTGAATATAATTTATGGGAACATTTTTCATTCACCGTGTAAGCACTTGTAACACTCGTTTCGATTATACTTCGTTAATTTTTCGCGGTAGAATGATAGAGAGAACGATATTAGAGGCACGGAGAAAATGAAATGGCAAAATATAGGAAGGAAAATAAAAGACAGAACATGCGTTCGACACTTAATTCTTTGGCAACTAAAGTTATTCTGTTCTGTTTAAAATCGTTAACTCGCATAATACCCGTTTGCTCAATCCCTACTTAACACGAATCAGTCGCAGAGAGTAAACGCACGAACAGTTCGCGCACATCAGCTTTACTCATTTTTCTTTTCCTCTCTTACTGAGCTACAGTCGTATTTCTGACATTATCGCACTACTTTAATATCTATTATTACTGCTTCTTACTATTATCGGTATACATGCCATTAGCAAGGATTCCACTTTTAGCTATAAAAACGTAAGTTAATCTGAACACTAAACGATGAATCGTGTCGACTGTATTTTTGCATTTTGTAATTTACTTTTTGTCTTCTTATTACTTAATAATTAATTCATTTTAATTTTTTTTACGTTTATTAATTTAATAGAGAACAATACAAAATTTAATCCTCCAAGGAATATGATTAGAAAAAACAAAAAGAATAAAGTGTGCGATTACGCCACTGAAAATACCTTTTAAAATAATGATAAATTATTTCTTAAAAAGGCTATAATAACATTAAATACTATTTTGTGATGTATCATTTTTGTTAACTAGCATATTCTACTCCTTTCATATAACATATAAAACAATTAAATTTAAAATATGGATCTCCATTAAATTATTATTTACGAATAGGGATGGATGACTATTTCACATAGGGAAACCTTAAAGAACAAGAAGGAGGGAGATACACATTTTTTAAATATATTTTACAAAACGTTCTATTCGTACAGCATATAAAACAATACTCTGTATTTATTTTATATTCACATATTAGCTCTATACGGCTGTACCACCATTCTCTTTCGTTATACGTAGAATATAACTTTATACAATATTCGGCGGATTTTAACGTCATCATTAAGAGAGAGCAGTGTCCTTTCTTTGACGTGTGGTGCCAGCATGATTCCCGCCAGTCGAAATAATTGGCGCGACTTGATCAAATTTCTCGGAATTAATTGTTTTGGTTGCACGTTCCGGATCGATTGTCAATTCCGTCGCGTCCGTGTTTATGTCCTTGTTAAAATCTCTTCCAGAGGAAAATTCTTCCATGTCTTTCGAATTTGAGCTCGGGCTCAAATACCTTTCGTTATCATCGAACACTTCCTTCACTTCCGCGCTTACTTCGTTCAGTGGTATTCTTCCAGGTTTCGACGGGCTCTTCAAATGTATTACGTTATTATTCAATGAGTCCGTATTGCTTTTCTTATTTCCTATGTGATTGTGGTGATTAGAAAAAACAGAGTCCGTTTGTCCTAAATACTGGTTACCACTATTAACCATGTTTCCAGGACCACCTGTGGCAGCAGCGCCGCCAGCGCCGTTACTACCGGAAATGTCTTCCATGTTGAAATTTCTTTCCTTTGGGCTAGCTTGCCAGAAAGAATCATCGAATACTTCCGTGTCGCGTTGTTCCGGTGGTAATCGATTGATACGAGCCTTCACAATGGCAAGATGCCTATGCACGTAATCTTGATGGGGCGCTAATGCTGCTACACGTTCTAAACATTGAGCAGCAAGACCTAACTTACCACGTTCCACCATTACAACACACAGATTATGTAGACCTTGAATATCTGTTGGATCCAATTGCAATATTCTACGGAAACACTAGAAAGATTTCAGTGTTCCCATTAATATTTGTACCATCTACCAAATATATGAAACAATTTCGTTGATTAATTTTTACTTACATTTTCAGCGGCATCCAAGTCTTTTATATTGTTAATATAGATATCGCCTAAAAGGATTAAACCTTTAACGTGGTCCGGGTGAAATCTAACTAACTGATTTAAAAAAGGTGCTGCTTCGAGAGGACGTTGTTCGTCTGCCAATAAAAGTGCCAAGTTGAATAACGCAGATCGAAAATCTTCCTTTAAAGCGACTGCGTTACGGAACCAACGTTCCGCACTTGCGCTATCGTGGTCATCCATCGCTAGCATTCCAAGATTAAAATGAACTCGTTCATTATTGGAATCCTGAAAATGAAATCGCTTCATGGTGTCATTCCATTTTTGGATTAACTGCGAATGATAAGTACGGGAAAAATGTACTTTTCTCAAAAGTTTTAGAAGCCTTTCTCTGGCTACTTTCCGCAATTCTGCGCGTCCCAATTCCTGAAGCAACATGGCTGAATTTAATAATGCTTGCTCGTGCTCTGGGTCGAATTCTAATGCTTTATCCAAATATGCCAGAGCCTGTGATGCTTTTCCTTGTTCCAAAAATACGACTCCCAGCTTAAGAGATAAGGTCATTATAAAATTAACAAATGAAATTTTAGCGCAATCTATTTTTAATACTCACGTTGTAGTAGATATCCGGATTGTTGCTATCGTAAAAAAGAGCTCGCTCATAAACTTCCTGAGCTTCTTTAGTACGATTAAGTTTAACTAAGACATCGCCTCGATTAATATATGCTTGCGTGTAATCAGCACGCATACTAATGGCTTGTCTATAAAGCAAATCAGCTTCCTCTAACCTAGTTGCGTTCTTTGCTATTAAATTTGCTAAATTTACGAAAACATTTAAGTGATTCGGTGCTATTCGCGCCTGGTAAGATTCTCCGGGTTTTGCTTTAGGCAGCAAAGATTTTGCCTAAATAAAAAGGATTCTTATTAACTTCAGTATTATTTTATGATTTACTAATTCGATAAATACGTATTTTAAATTATGGTACTCGCTTTCAGGTATGCATCTTCGGCTTCCTTAAACATTTTAAGATGATTGTACGTTCTGCCAACATTGATGTGCGCCCCAATATCGTCGCCTTGAACTTGTACAGCCATATTAAAGAAATTCAATGCTTCTTTAAATCGACCTTGACTTTCCAAAGCATGTCCCACGTTATTAAACAATTTGGCATTGCGATCGTTTACTTTTAATCCTGACATAAATATAGAATATTCATCCAACCAATCATAGTTCCTCATAAAAGTCTTTGTTGTGTGGGCAGCCAGAAGTGTTACTAATAAAAATAGTGTAAGTTTCTTGAACCTATAAATTAAAATATTTCGACGATTATAAAAATTATCGAAATATATCTAGATAAGATTTCAGAAATTTAAGTATATGGGAAATTTACTTTTTGTCACACAAAATGCTCCATCCATAACCAACAAGCATACAAAATCCCATAGACGGAGCATACAATACTCTTTCGGCAATGACGAATCCAACCGGGAAGAAGAGGTTCGAGGCAGGTAAGAATGGGAGTATCATCATAGCCAAACTCTATAAATTTTTACAGAATATAAATATTCGAATACAATGCTGTACAAAAAAAAAACAAGTTACTAATACATGTTTAATTCTAACCATTATGAGAATGATGGAGGTTTGTCTATTAGGTGTTAAAATTGCTGTTGCCAGTAATCCTAATACCGTCATATGAGTCGCCACAGTAACCAGATTACGGGGGTCTGTGAAACTGTCCAGCAACGGTATAGTTCCCATAGTCCAATCACAACATAAATCGCTCGGAAGAAATAGTAGCCTTAAATTAACTGCTGCGAGGTAATTATATGTAAGCTGCCTTACAGGCGTTGGTGCCACAGACGCGGGATTGTCGAATCTGAAATGCATTTATGGTATTATTATTTATTATCTTGAAGATTATAAACATTGTATGCATATAGCATTGTTATATATGTAATCTTTCGTAGGTACCTGGTGAATACAGGTAACTTTGAGCCCATTACATGTAACCGAAGAATGAGTAAACTGAATGTAACAAGTGTAAGAGCAGTCAATCGTTTTGTACCTTCGCTGGTCCAGGCAAGGGATATTTTCTTCCCACCAAAAACTGCCTTTAATGTCAGGAAAATATCCATCGCTCTTACCTAACCAAGTGATATAACATGTAAGTTTAAACAAATATTTAATAGTAAACAATTAATATGTTACTTAAGCACAGTTTTACATCTTCATTTACCTTTTGTATGACAAAAATTTCATACAATACGCAAACTGCCGTAGCCGTTATTCCTTGTTCTTTGCACAACATAGCAGTAAAAACAAAAAACATAGATAATATCAAGGATCTCCATCCTAAAAAAAATTGTAATGACTTAATATCTGTTTGTATAGAATGTAAAAATAATGCTATATCAAGTAGAAAGCAAATTAGATATTATACAAGAAGAAGTATCTCACCTGTTGACCGTCTACTTCTGCAACATTTAGTATATGTGATTAAAGCTGCTAGGTAAAATAAAGAAGACAATGTTTCTGCTCTTCCAACCACTCCTGTAACCTTAATACACGATTATCCACTGATAATGTATCTAAACTCGAACTAGGAACTACGACGCGATCGATCGCTCGACGTCGACCCTTTGAACCTGGATATAGTTTTGAGACATTGTCGCCGAAGGGAAGAACAATGACTAGAAATAATTACGAAATAGTATTCTCGTACAATTTCAAGGTAACGTCGATCGATTCGATCGATGAGAATACCAATTTGTACAACTTACTGCTTCTGTATGTATAGGATGAACTGCAAACAGGAGAGAAGATATAAAAGTTGCAGAATCGGATAGAAACATTAAACAAATCCTGCAACAAACATTAAACCTTATACCTTTCCAATAACTAAATTCTTAACTTTTCTAATCCAATTTTCATTTTTTATAGAAGAACAACAAAATGTGAATTTTATTACTAATACCATAACAAAAGAGGAAAAAGTCACTCTATTAAAAATAAAGAGACACACCTGAAATATAATAAGCATACTCCAACATGTAGGATAACATTTAGCAGATGATATCCCATAGGATCCAGTTGATGAATCAGATAATTCCATCGAAATGTGAGAACGCACAATGGCCTATATGATTTGTGTGATTGCTCCTGTACAAAAGGGTATGATATTTGTATTGCTTCAAATATGATTATTACAAATGTATCTATAACATATAATTATAGATTGCACAAGAACTTTGCAATGAACAACCAAAGATGTTTAAAAGAATTTTCATTCTGCATGTAATTATTAAATGAAAATTGTATGGAACTCAATGTTTGAACTCATACAGGTAACAACTGAAAAAAATTATTTATTCAAGTAACATTAATGTGCATCATTATCTAATATAATAGTCTTTTTATTAATTTCTAAGTATAGTTACATTACAATATAACAAAAAGGAGTATTAAAACGGGTTTAAAATAAAGAAGTCATCTTAATAAATCAATTTAATCGAAGATTGTAATAAAATCAAAGCTTGATGCATTTTACCAATAAAGTACAACAGATATAATCAATTAGCGGCAAAATGAAATTAAAGAGATACTGATGGACGCATAAATAAAATTAAATAAATACAATTCGGACGAGATTAACTTAAATTTGATAAGATTGAATTGGATCGAACCAAATCGAAAGGGAGGGAAAGGAGGAGAAGAGTTCAACGGATCAATACACAAGAAGGTAGACAAGAGTGAAAGGGAAGGGGAAATCGAAAGCGCCTCTATCGTATTACCCACCTTGTGCATAGGAGTACCCCAAAAATCATTGTAAAAGACATTTTTCAGAGGTGTATGAGGCCTCAAATCCCGATTATCCTTAATCGCTGAAATATCATCGAAAACGAAGCCACAGTTAAGGCTGTTTAGATAGACGACGAAAGCGCTTATGGCGACGATCGCCGCGAGTGCTCCCCTCGCAGGCACTCCCATCACAAATAAGACATCAATCGACTGTTTTTTTGTTTTCGCGATTTTCGATTTAGAAAGTCTGTCGAAAACTCTCTTTTTATCTTCTTCCTCGCCGTCTCTTTCGCCCCCTTGATCTCCTTCTTGCGCTACCTACTTATCTACCGTGTCTGTTTAACTATTCGTCTGTTGAGTCGAGCTTAACCCCGCGACGTCCAGAATCTCTAAGCACGTAGACGCGAATTCGTTACTATCGAAGCACATTGTGGCACCTACGTGCCCAACGCTTCCAGATACAAGCGCGCATTTCCACAGACCGATCCCCGGAACTCGATTAAATACATATTAACGGAGGGCAAGGTTTTGTTTTCGAAAAACCTTTTCACTCCGAGCAGACGCCCGGCAAACAAATTAAGCGATCACCTTATTGCGTCCGTAGGATCAAACTGTCAAACGATAGATGTGTATATAAAATCTAACAGCAGTACACGCTACGTATCGTGATTCGAGGCACAACGCAAATATGACACTACGACGGCGACGACGCGGATTCACTTTAGGCCGAATCCGCATGCGCAATGTTAGACTGAGCGCGAAGTACACGCTACATATGTACTTCTTATACCGGTGTCCACTTCGAAAATTCGTTTTATTCCGTTGAATTTCAAGTTTCGCACGATATTTGCCACCACATGTTTATAACAAGGATTCTATTTAAAGAATATTACATTTTTTTCCAAGTACTTTGTTTAATTTCTAATTTCTAAATAATCTTGGTGTACATTTAATTAACGTAACGTTCCTTGCATAAAAACACAAGTGACATATTTATTTGAAATAAAACCATATTTCTACTTTTATCCGTGATCCAAACAAGTTACTATTTCCGAATGTGTATTATTTAAGAAACTAGATGTACATTAAATGTCTTTTGTTTTGTATCAGGCTAGAAAATCAAACTAATTCGCTTATTATTTATTATTTAAACAGTGTATTTTATCATATCTGTTATGTCGTATGTGCAACGTTCAAAATGAAGCGATTGCGCACGGTAGGGGGGAGGGGTAACCAATAGGAGCTTCGCATCGTGTTTAAACTGTGGTGGGAGAAGGCTCGTAGTGGAATCGTAGAACGACAGTCGAGGTAAGCACGCGCTTGGCGTCGTCTTCGTTGACATTTGCGCTGTTTCAAACTGTTTTCTTCTAAAGTCTAGAATTGTATTTGTGTATCACGATCGATGAAGTAATCGTTGCCGACAACGTGAACACACTTGGCCCCAACGCCGGTAAACCTTTCGAGGAGTTCTTAGTACGCGAAAGAAGAAATTTCTCCAGAAAATTCAATAGCGTCCTTCTTCGACACACCGAAAAGCGTGAGTGTTTACAAATTCTTATTTATCTGTTAATTATTACTACACAATTCATACGATTCGTATAACAATGAAACAAATTGTACCGAATTGTTAGTAAACCGTCCACTTAACAGGAAAGCGAAACAAATGACTAGAAATTTCTGAGGGAATGTTTAAGGTAGCGGTTACTGATCGTAACCGACAGAAATTGTGCAGTACAATGTAGCGATGGAACAATGCATGAAATCTCATAAAATACGAATGATGTATCCCTCAAATTCTATAAACATTATACGTAGAAGAAAGTAACTTTTCAAACAATTTTATAATTTGGATATCTTCCGACAATGAAATTATGGAATATTTTATCTAATGAAATTTAAGATAGTTAAATTAGATTAAGGAGTATATTAAGTTAAGGAAGTAACAAAAAGAACGTATCACGCTGTGTACGAACTCTCTGTGCCTCTCAAAAGAGAAAGTTGAACACATTTGTTTCAGAACTGCACCGTAGTACCGATGCGTGAGACATAATTATAAAGGGATTGAAAGCTAGGGGAGGAGAGATAAACAAAAACGGATCGTTTTACATTTTGAGCGGTAAAATTTGGTCGATTAAATTTTTACGCGTAAGCTTACTGTTGCCATCCGATGCGTTTTACCATAACATTTCTTTTTAATACAATTCTATATAAAAAAAATCATTAATGCATGTACGTTATTGTAGTTGAGTCACAGACGAATAATACTTCGAAAAAATAATTAATTATCTAATATACTTTAAAAAATCATTTATAAAATGAAATCATATAAATTATGTTATATTATACGTCCGTATAATTTGCATCCTGTGATAAACAAAGCATTTAAGTACAAAGTAACAATAAAACAATTCGAAGTTATTTTAATATATAGAATTTCTTTATTTTCACGATATGTAACGGTCTTCAAGATCTGAAGATCGGTTACATTTTTAAGCATTGTATATTTATATTTATGCATTTATTATTTTATTTACCATATGTTTGTTATGCTCGTATATGTTGTTTGTAAATACACATATTTTGGTTCTATTCAGTGTTGAAATTTATATGCGTCAATAATGCGTAACAATTTGGCAAAGGAGGGAATATTTCTGCTATTGGGGAAATGTAAGCCAGGTAGCTATGTACGACTAGACTTCTGAAGGCAATAGGCTCAGAGAGCAATGCCATCCGATCGATCGGTTTACGTCTGGGCGTCCCGACGCCAGCTGCACCGCTTATACGTACAGGGCGATCCACATTGCGGTTTCCGCGCGTTTTCTCTACGATGCGATTGTTTGAGCTATCCTGTGATACATCTATAGTCCATGTTTTCTTTAAAAAAAAATCTCCCAATTTACCGTACAGAAAATCGCCAAAAGTAAAATGTACATCGCTACGATAAAATCAGTATAATACTTCCTATTGTAATGTTCTCACTCCTATGGAAAGGTAACTGTTCTATACATTTTAAGCAGAATTAAGCAAATTTTATTTCCTAATAGCAATTGAAAAGTTTGACTCGTTAAGGGTGTAAACTAAAACTACAAAGAATTTTCTTCTACCGATAGAAGTTATTTATAGTAGTGATTGTATTTATCCATAAACAATTTTGTAAATATTTTTATTGAATTGTTCGTTCCAAAATTATTCTCACAGAATTCGACAGAACAAATTTAATTCAACTTAAATCGGATTGGTCGATTTTTAGCAATAAATCATGAGCCAGGGGGATCAAGAGAAGAGCATGGATAAGAAGGAAATTGCTGAGGAGGAAAGGGAGAAGATGCTGAACGCTGAAAATACGAAGCATACGGTGGCATCGCCCGCGCCAGACTCGGAATCCGAAGAACAGAAGCCCAGAAAGAAAATCCCAATTGGTGGTATTAAAATGCCTGGCTTTTGCCGCACGAAGAGCAAGGAACCCTGCAAAGTAATTGTCAACGATTTTATATTCCCGTCCAATAGTTAACGATGCTTAATTTGAAAATAATTGCGAAGCAGGATGATCATTAATTTAAAAACATCCTGTACGCGATTAAAATTTATGTGGAACATGTTTTCTACGCGAGATTTCGTTTCTTTTAGATAATCAGTTTTCTATGTCGAAAGTCAGGTATGCGCACACGCGTCGAAACCCCGAATTCGATTTTCACGCAAAAATTCCATCGTTCGTTATCGATTCATTTTCAAAACTACGTTTACCATTGTACTGTAAGAACTACCGGGCAGCCTGCATATGAATATTAATGCAAGGCGTGTATTAATAATTTATGTAAAGTGTGCATCAATGTTAACAGACAGATATGTTTCAGTAAACATAGATTTAATGGGTAAATATCATTCGTTGCATTTTGTCTGTATAAAGGTTGGTACAACCTCTGCATATTACGGATACGTATAGTACGTGAAATAATAAAAGTTCGTAAAAATATCGTTCGATGCACGTGTTATTGGTCACGCGATCTTTCCCAGGGACAATGCACCGAGTTAATCTGAACGGAACACGGTGCAATACGTTTAATTATTTCGGCTACGTTTAAACTGCTTAATCTGAACGGATGCGAATAAACAAGGGCGGTTTAGATACGCAGTTTCATTTTGGTTGATTAACATCTGTTTACGACGAGGCGACTTCGCTCAAAGAGCACAAGTTCCTGGAGCACCATAGCGTGTTCACGAGGGGTGACCATAGCCCCGTAACGATTTTTTTTTCCAACATTAAACCAATGGATGACGTCAGCGGAACAGTACACCTGGCATTATTGATTACGCGCTTTTAAATAATAATAAGCATCGATACAGTAATGACGAGGGTGATGCTTTCGATATCAATGACAATATTCGTTAGAAATAGGCGTCCTTTATATTTTTGATACACATTTTTTACCCTAACACGTACGCATAGACGTGTAACGTAGGTATCGCTATGTTTTCTTTTTCTGTATTATTATTATTTTTAGGACGATGAAAGTAAACCCGTCGAATCGAGCGATGGCGAAGCGACCGAGAAAAATGCTAAAGAAAATGAGCAAAATGTTTCGTCAGAAAAAACGAACACGCCTAGCAAAGACGCAAAGGAGAAAGAAGGACGAAAGGGAATCCTTGATGCCATAAAGTTACCCTTGGTCTCTGTTTTTCCTCGAAAAAAGAACAAGGTGACGCAATGTTTATCAATATTATCGATATAAAAATTCTATCAATGTTGAATTCGACGGTTTTTAGTCGAGTATCGAAAAGATTGCTCGACGGTAGAGTCACGATTTTTACCGAGCGAAACCCTATAGAAACTCTCAAGACGGAATTTACAGGCACTTGAACACGTACGATCTTTTGTTGAAGTATTCTCCTATCGTTGATTGGCGTTTTTCTCTTTTTTACGTCTCCGCTAGTCACTTTTTAACACGTGAAAGCGTAATATGAATTTATACTCAACAGTCCAACGCGTGAAACAATAATTAATTAATTATTTCTAAAACACATATACATATATGTATTAAGTATACCTGTATGCATATGTATTAAAGTGTAACAAAACAAATTGCTTGAATCATAAAAATAATTCTTTTAGGAGGGTGAAGTAGAACTAGGTACAACTGGAACCGCCGGATTAGCCAGTGTCGAAACGCTCAACGATGGAGCGGGTGAGAAAAATCCCATTGGCAACGAAGACGGTATGGAAACCGTTCGGCTCGATGGAGATGCACCAGATGGTATTGAATCTCCGAAGCAACACTTTCTTGTTGCTTGCATATCCGCTGCAAGGAGGAATTTGTTCGCGCTAGGTACGCAGTAATCAAAATTGACTAAATATAATTTAAAAAATGTTATATAAAACAATTAAATACGAGTAATATATCTTTCAACAGTGGCAACGCTATGTATTTTGATATCTGTCATCATCATCATCTGCGTTGCCTCCGTCGGCCCAAGAAAGGGTTCTACGCAGTTGGTGAAAGATGGAAATTACGTCGAAGCCGTTACTTCTTGCGGTCCTGTGCAAGGGATATCAGAAGACGGTGCATTTGCATTTCGTGGCATTCCTTTTGCAATTTCGCCGCTAGAGAATCGTCGTTGGCAACCTGCAGAACCCTTACGAAGAATCGAGCACTGCTGGACGGGTACTTACCTGGCGCACAATTCTTCGGATGTCTGTTTGCAGCGTGACTCTTCCGGCGGTATGATTGGTACCGAAAATTGCTTGCACCTCGACGTTTTCACGCCTGACGTTAGATACGATTCACCTTTGCCGGTGGTCGTTATGATCGGCGCAGAGACGCTTAGCGGCGGCTCTCCAGGTGTAATGCAACCTTCTGCAAAGCTGGCGCGTGTTCGTGACATGGTCTTTGTCAGACCAAACTTCCGGTAAGCCTAAATTTTGCGGAACAAAATTTGTTTTGAACAATGTACTTGAATGTAGTCAAGATACTGCTCAAAGTAATCAAGACATCATAGTTATCTTTTCATATTTCAGATTAGGAATCTTTGGCTTCTTGGCTGCTGAACCACTCTCAAGAGCAACGCATCCTCCCACATCCGGAAATTATGGGCTCTCTGACATTATAGCAGCGCTTCAGTGGGTTCAACTCAATATTGAAAATTTCGGTGGTAACAAGAAATCTGTAACTGTGTGGGGTCATCGAGCTGGAGGAACCCTCGTCACGACATTAGTCGGCACTCGGCGAGCAAGAGATCTATTTTCGAAAGTTTGGATATCCAGCGGAAGCGCGATATTTCCAGGAAGAGAGTTAGAGGTTTCAGAGAAACTTAGCGAACAATTTCTGAATTCTATAAGGTGCAGCGACGCCGCCTGTTTGAGAGGTAAGAGCGCCGAAGAATTAATGGACTCTATTCCAGAGACTTGGCATTTGGGTAATGTCGGGCTTCCTGAGACCAGAGAAGCAACATCGAAAGACAGGAGACACGAGTGGCTTGTCCTTGATCGCGCCATTCTTCAAGAACCTGTTGGTCAAATTTGGGCAGGGGATGACTTTTCAGTGAAAATCGTGATGGGCACTACAGCTCATGCTGGAGCTCCGCTAAAGTACCTGAATTCAAACACCACTCTCAATTCCACGCAAGTCGAAAAAATTGTACGAGAGTCCCTGCTGGGGACCACGGGTTTAGCCGATGAAGCTCTCAAACGTTACAATGCAACATTAAAGGGTTTGCTGAGCATGATTTCCGACATTCGTGTAGTATGCCCATTGCTGACAGTCGCTCGAATGAAAACTAACATTCCATTCTACGTGGCAATACAACCGCGAGGCCAAATTGCAGACCCTGACAGCGACGCTGCAGCGATACTTGGATCATTTGCTGCACGTACGCCCGAAGAAAAAAGGCATGTCTCTGCGATGCAGCAACTTTTCAATCACTATGTCTGGCATGGCGAAGTAGCTCAGGCAGATTCTAACGGTGTGAAACGAGTTCTCATCGTTGGGCAAGACACGCTTCCCGAGCGTGACTATCCGAATTGCGACGTTTGGATAGGAAAAGATATCGTACCGTCTTACGGCCGAGTGGATTGAATTGTTTTTCGCGTTACATGTCTGATGGAGATTTCAAGATTTCGACCAAACTCGAGATATCCTCCACGAAGACAATTTTGCTTTCGAGCTTTTTAAATCTGATGAGTTGTTGCCGAGACACTCGAGACACAAGAAATGAAACGAAGATGATTTAAAAGATCGCACTGATCGTTGAATCGAACCGACAAAAAGGGGAGGGAAGTTTTTTTATACGTATTGTTTATTCTTAAAACAGATTGTTTCGGTTTTAATCTTTCGTTTGAACTGATTTTCTCGTTCTTCAGACTGTAATAATTATATTTTAGCTACTTTCTTCCGAGTAATCAAGGAAAAGCGTAACGATGTTTTATTGCAATTAACTGCTCGTTTCTACCATACAAATTTTGTAAAATAACGGTAAAATCACTTACAAGATACGTATTACTTATTCCCCTCATTAAATATTAATGCAAAACGAGCAGTAGTTAATCAAAGAAAAAATAATTTCAAAATTCTTAGTAGTTATATGGCGGATAATTGAAACAATTTCCTTTTTTTCAACAGTGTTTTATTTTATAACTTTGTAATTTCGTGCCGTTTTCAAAGAAATTGATATTATTTATTCTATAAAATATTAGTTATACTCTATACGTATATAATGGCTAAATGAAGGATAATTTTCACACTTTAAGGTAGCAAAGCTCTGTGCTTGATACGAAAAAAATATTTATTAACAGAATTTTGAAAAATTATAGCTTAGATTACGTGGTAAGATTTGCCCTCCCCTGAGTGTGTCTTTCCATAAAACTCGAACTCAGGCACGAGTTATTCAAGTTTATCGAACATCAGGAAACGAAAGCACGTTTAATTATTTCGCTTTGATGTGTTGTTTTGTGCACACAGACGAAATAAGTATCGTCATTTTTAACAAACTGCCAGATATTCACGTAATAAGTATTCAGATGTCTGTATTGACGGTACTTATTAATTTTGCCTCTGTACATTGCCGTTCCACTCTGTTGTTTTTTTTCTTTCTTATATATATATATATGTACTTAAATGTATTCCTGCTCCCATAATGTTACGAGCACGGACGAAAGATCTGATTTCTAAACTGTAAGACTGATTTTACAGATTGGCATTTCATTTGCGTAGGAATGTCTTTTATATTAGTTTTAATCGAATAGCTTTACGGTATACGAAACCTGTTCTATAAGCAGAATTTGTTGTACTGTAAATTAAGATATGTGCAAAGAATACTTTAATCTCATTATTTCGACATTGATGTACACTCATAAAATTTGTGATCACGATCACATTTTTATAACAGAAAATTGCACCGTAGCACGTACGCATCTATTCTATCTTAAAATTTTGCTAGATTTGGAGAAAAACCATTTATATATTTGTACAATTACTATTAAGGAATTAAGAAGGAATACATTTCTGATTAATTTTAGTGGAAATTGCAGTTCTAGAAGTCAATTATTTATTGATGAAAGGTGACATTTACGACCATTTTAAATCTGGTAAAATTTTAAGAGTTGAAATCGTTTTTTATTCACTATGCATTCGGATGATTGTATACAGTATTTGAAGAAAAAAAAAATAAAATGTCATTCATTTTTTTAAATTAACAAGCAAAAAGATTGTCATCTATCACAATGAAGTATGTGATAAGTATTATTTATTAATATAATTGTAACAATCAATGGTCTCTAATAATTTAATTACACTGTCTTATTTTTTGGTACTATAGGGTAAATTTAAATATTGATATATTTAATGTTCTTAAACATATCTGATCGTACGTACGTATTTATTTATAAAAAGTTAGAATTAAACTAACAAATTTAAAAGAATTCATTTTTTGTATTAAATTTATTATCGACAAAAACATTGCATAATAATATAATTGTGCAATTTCATTTAAAAAGGCAAAATGTTTCATACAAATTACATAAAATATAATATTTTTTATTAATCCGTTATTTGTACAAACGGATTTGACCAAATTAAAAATATAAAGGTATTAGGACATTTGTAAAATATACTAATATTTATATTAAACAAATGCTATCAGCTGTAATCGTGTAGAACCAATAATATTCGTAGAATCTTTTGACATTAATACAATTTTTAATTGGCCTCACAATTACATTAAGCACGTATTTACATTAATTAGCAAAACTATTCAAATAAATGTAGACGTTGCTTCGCGTAAAGTACAACGAATTCATGACAATAAATTGTTATTAACATTTGTATTAATATTTTTGAATACGCGTATTTATGTTTAATCTTGTCACGTGATTAAGCATTAATAAGAATTTCTTCATCGATAATCCTATAATTTACATTTTCTTTCCTGAAATAAGACAAATAATATTGATTCGCTATGTGTATCGTTATTTTCTTAAATTTTACTTTTAAACGCAACTTGGTAGGCTTTTATTTTTTACGTTTGACTACAACATTGCTTTTTGAGCACCACTGACGAAGAATGCGAAAGATTGATTAATCGTTTTTATACATAGACACAGAGTACATACAGAGACGACACTTCTCAGTTTTTGCGAAACTAAATTTGAGGACGCATGCGCGTAAATTGACCAATAGGAGTCATAAGTGACCACGTGCTCTCTCTAATGCGCAAGTCCAGCAACGTTGCCACATTTATACAATAGAAATATATATACGTTAACGTAGCGCGGGCTCGATTATATTTGGTGTTTGATTTATTAACGACGCTATTTATATGTGAAAAGACACATCGGTCGAAAAGTTTTGCCTACCCTGTATCTATAAGGAGTATTAACATCGGCAACATTGCCTCTAAGAGATACGTTCAAGGTCCCCGAAATTGGGGTATCGAACATCAAAGGTTCCGACAGAAGTGTCGTCTCTGTATGTTATTCTGTGACATAGATATTACTGAGAACCACTGTTCGGAATTCCTTGGCTACTTGGTCGACAATCTTACGTTTTAGAGTTAGTGGAGTAACGATAAGTAGAATGTTATATAGTGTTGTATAGTTATCCTCTGAATCAACAAGTATCTTATACAGTATTTCTTTAAAATTAAATAAACCGTTTTCTTTGAACGTGTACTTGTGACAAATATACCAACACGATTTGAGAGGAATCCAAAGTACGATTAACCGGTGAAAAAAAGTTCTATTTTCGAAAGCCTTCGCGAAGTATACGGATAAATTCCTTACATTCCAACAGTGGTCCAGACTCTCGCAGAGCAGCATCTAGGTGAGAATGTACTTTTATGATTACTTATTTAGTGACATCCGTGGAATGTGGTAAGCAAATTCGTTTCCACCTACGCTTCGCAATATCTTTTCTTTTTTTACGTTACTATTCTACAATAATGCTCTTTCCGGTTTGGGCTATTATGATTTTTATTTGTCTACTTCTGATTAAAATATCGACAGATTTTAAGTGACAATCTATTTTCACCACGTAGAAAAATAATTTTTTATTTTAAAATTCGTGGACATTATTTCTAACTTATCGTAAAAACGTTATTATATTCTGTTTATCTTAATATCTCACCTTTATATTTTTCAACGTTGTCATCTATTGAATATTAAAATAAAAAGAATCAATGACATGCGGGGACGCGGATTAGAATCGGTTTATTTGAATTCATATCTATCGATTGCGACCACCTGTTAATTAAATGCTAACTTCACGAGAAACTTAAAAATGATTGTCATAGAAAAAATGAAAAGTAGTGTTCATTTTTTTTTAAATAAATTTAATAACTTTAAGTTATATTCGTTTGACAGAATGTCGTTATTACAGCTTCACCTTCTTTTATTAAATGCAATTATGATTTTTTCACGAAAGTAATATATTTTCATTTTCTCGTATCCTCGAGTAATAAAAATTATTTAAACGCCAATTTAAATAATGTAAAATGAATGTGGATGAAAACAGTTTAATACATTATGTGTTTATAATTTTACAGAAAACCTTTAATATTGTGGAATGTGTGGCATAGGTTGACAGAAAGAAAAGGTGCTGGATAATCCAAATGGATAACAAAAGCCCATTATGGCCCAGCATCTGCAGACACAACATCAGCACGAATTCTTACCATTGTGTGATGTATTGTTTAACATAATTTCTTTAGCATCATACTTCTGCGACGTTGTCTTTGATTTTGCAATGGTATATGCTCTCGCGCATCATTCTGTAGCTCCTCCAATTCTTTTTCCTTTGAGCATTGTTCTTATAGGAACGTCGTTAATTATTTCTCAGGTTAGCATTTAAATTATAACAAGAAATCTTGATTAGTTTCTATATAATTCATTTATGTTTATTCTTTCTTAATTTCAGATTATTAGCGTACGATGGTATTTATGGGGTGCCAGAGGCAGACTAACTGGTAAAAATATTACAGACTGTAACATAAATGAGAAGAAGGAAAATGGAAATTGGGCAATATGGTGTGTTTTATTATTGCATTCAACTCAAGTCGGTGTATTGTGGAGATACTTTAAACTATTTATTCCAGTTAATTTAACTTATGTTAAACACGAGGTAAGCTAGATTTTCCAAATTTTAAAAATCTATAATTATTTTTTTCTATGTTTTGTTACTTCGATGTTTTATTAATAAAACGCACAACATTATATGTTATTAGGTGAGAGAACTCTGTGTATTACGCCTTATTCATGCATTCTGTGAAGCTGCCCCAATGTTACTTTTGCAATTGTATTTATTGTCAATTGGAGTTAACAACGAGTCAAATGCAGATGTTGGAAAAGGAAAAGAAAATGAAAACAGAGACAGTGACAAGTTAGCAAAGCTAACTGCAGTATCTGCTGGACTTTCTCTGTGGAGTGTGTGTTGGGCAGTGGCTAGTTTTAGCAAAGGTGCAGCGCGTTTGCGTAACTTAGAACGTTTGGTGTTGACATGGCTAGGTGTGCTGGCACAACTAGCATGGCGGCTAGGGACTGTAAGTGCTAGAGTAGGAGTATTGGTGGCTTATGCTTCACTCTATGGTGGGCAATGGCTGTTAATCGTAATGGCTCTCCACTGGTTGTCGATGTTGATGTGGTTACTACTTACACCTGATGGTCTTTTTCATGGTGGTGAACATTTGCCTGTATTAAGAAAAACATCTTTAGCTTCGCTTCTTGCATTTGTTTACATATTTGCATATGTAAATTTACATGAAACAAATCATCGTCAAAAAATGGTAAGTGTAAGTGTATGCATCTTAAGTAATGCCATTCTTATGAATAATCTCATTCTGTCTGCATAGGTAATTTTTTATACAGTAATGTTTTTGGAAAACAGTCTGCTCATCGGTGTGTGGATAGTAGGAGTTAATAGAAGCGATCTTCTTCCACATCAACATCATCCAAACCCTGTAACTTTAGTACTGACACTTTTAGCTTTATTTTTCGGCGGTATGTTTTTCATGGGCCTTTATTACAGGTAATTATAAAAAGATACAATTTCGTCCATTCATTTTGTAAAAATTTTTCTTGAACTGCAGTTTTTTGTTTATCTTTAGGTTTTTTCATGTAAGAAGATTAAGGTATGAAGCTGGTGGCAGAATGACAGCTTCGAATCTCACAACGTTACCAAATCAGGTATATAATTTGAAATCAAGAAACACAATAAATAAAGCTAATGTAACGATTCTCATAGAAAAATGAGAAATTGGTTTTTAAAATAAGAAAATAATATTTGTAGGACAATTTGGAGGAGAAGCAAATAGAGTATATGGAAGACAAAAAAGTAAACATAAGTGTAGGGATGAGAAGAGTTAAATTGAGCAATGGAGGAATACCAGGGGTGTTTAATTGTCGTTTTGCCAATCCAACTGTAGTGAATCCAAATCGAAAAAAGAAAAAGCCAACTACGTTTGTACCACCTCCGCCACCGCAATCTCAAACAGGAACAGTATCAGCTTCTATGAACACGGTAGGAGATGCGAAACAGTGGCTTGGCATGAACAGTAGCTCGCGTCAGTTAATACCATTCTGGAAAAAATCCATAATATCTTCTAACGTAATACAGGTAGCGAATTATTATATCGATTGTTATTAAAAAACTTTAAATTCATACACCTTTGTTTAACTCATACTAAATAATTTATTATTTGAGACAGAATGATCATGACAATGAGCAAAAAATCGGAGCGGACGCTGGAACAGGTGGTGGTTCTCTGAGCGTTAATCTGATAAGAGAGAAACTTCAAGAGAAAAAACAACAGCAGCTACGAGAATTACGGGCTATACAAGAAGAAATAAAAGAAGGAAAGCTGTTCCCTCCGCCTTCTGCATCGGCATCGTCATTCTCGTCATCGCCTGCGTCGAATCAGCAACCGCCGCCTAACACAAAATTACACACTTCTCCTAGTTCTCCTTTATTTACATCTGCGCCATCTGTACTTGATCAAAATGGAGGAGTAACGTTATCTTCGTGGCCGCCCGTAAAAATGCATTGCCTTTTACCGCCACCACCATCCTCTTCTTATTATCCGAACGTTCATCCTTCGAATTCGTGGAGGACGACGCAAAGGGAAAGAGCGGATACGCCGGAAATTTTACTTGCACCGCGATGTCTTCCTCATCATTATTCTTATTGGGCACCATCCGCTCACGTTAATCACAGGTAATGAAAAATCAAAACATAATATAACGGTGACCGGCACTACACTTTCCGTTCAGGCGGCGTCGGTCCCTAGAGGCCAACAGTATCAAATTAAAACATTAAAGTTGTCTTTTGTTTAAGTAAACGTTTTATATTTACACGCCGCCTAAGTGGAAAGTGAAAAAAAATTAGTTCGGTGTTTAACGTGTTAATACCTGAATTTTATTACATTTACAAGATTGTTGACGACAAAATATACATTTGAATAAAAATAAATCGCAGATTACGTTCAAGTCAAAATGGGGGAGAAGACAGTTCTAAAGGCGAAGGAGAAGTAGAAGGAGAGATTAGCGATATGGAAGGTAGTCAAGTATCGTTGCCTCGAAGTTACACGCTTCCTCGTGAATTTAAGTATAATCATCCAAATAATACTGCGAGAGAACGGGAACGACGCGTAGGAAGCAGTAAGGTCACAGCCTCGCGTTTCTACTTACCTTCTACCAATAGCTCTGACGGTAGGCATATTTTAAAATTTTTATTATTATTAAAACTTGAATAAATTATTCTTTAAAATTATTCTCTGTTAACACGTTAAACGCTATGTCGGTTCTTGAGAACCGACACTAAACCAAATGTTTAGGTAGCGTCGTACAATGGGCCATTCGCCCCGAAAATGCAGTAATCTAACCTTCTTTTTCCTTCTCAAATCTTGCGATTGATTTCTTAAGCACTTTTAGTCCGCTTGGAACTGTGAAATTTTTTAGAAACGAGTATTCTAAATGACAATATAGCATTATAGAAGAATTATTTGTTATTTTACCTTTTGTAAATATTTTACAAATTATTATACAGTACAATATTACATTTCTGCGTGCGCACGCATGTTACAGTGTGCTCAAGGTTACTACAAAGTTAGTTTACTCTTGCTAATGAAAGTGAAAGTGTTAAAATCTACAACTTTTAACGATTTAATATTCAGTTTTACAAATTGTGTATGTATACGTTAATATTTGCCCAGGAGATGTAGATAGTGCAGATAACGAAGATGAGACGGATTCTGAAGTACAGTTTCGTATGAAAAACAATTACGGATACAATAATCATTGTGGAATACAACAGCAACAACAGCAACAGCAGCAAAGATATGCGTTTGAAGACAATGATAAAAACGAGTTTTTACATTCCAATCCGGATTCTACGGCAGCTGCTATAATTTCCGGGAATTCTTATCTAAATAATTCGCAAGGGCTGCTACGACCAAGTCAATTCTTCAGAAACAGGGTTAAACACGAAACAAAGCTGTAAAGCTTTTGTTTTTTAATAATATGCCTTGAGAGATTGTATAATAGTTAATTGAAGACTTGAGATAAAAAAGACTGTACATGTTCTATTTTTATAAAATAATTTCTTTTTTATGTGCGTGAGATGTCTTGTAATATACTATATTCAGATAGATTTCTGAGACACAAAGCAGAAGCGAACATGGATTTTAGAATTTTGACAAATAATTTGTCGTTACTTTTCAAATTTAATAAGAAAGTTTCACTTGTTCCTTGTAAAGAACGGATGATGATAATACTCTATTTTATGTACAAACTTAATGCACGACGGATAACCAAGAACGTGTTTATTTAAATAATTGAGTTTTAGAAAGTAAGTACTTAGGATTTTATACGAATTTAATATTCTACACCTACAAATTTTTCAATAAATTATTGATTTTCTTAATTGTACTTTATTATAAAATATACAATTTATAAATCAAAAAATGTATTGTTGTTTTTACACGATATAAAGTATTTGGATCAATCAATTTATTTCATATTGAAAAAATAAATATTAAACCTCTTCTTACAATGGTTAAAAGTATTCAAAATCTTTCAGTCTCTTTATCGTATTTAGTGTGCGTATGTACATTTTTGTCAATGTATACATCTTTTTTCATATTACAATTTAATACATGTATTATATACATATATATATTTTTATACAATATTGTGTAAATTTTCTTATCTTCGATTAACGATAAGTATTTCAATCAATATTAGAATAATTCTTCTTGGTTATAACACAAATATTTATCATAAATCTTTTAACTTATTGATCATACAATTAAATCTGTATTTAATTTACAAATGCAAGTTGTATAGATATAAATATAGAAAAATACATAATACAAACTTCAAAAAACTTTACGCGTGTATACTTCGTTTAATATACAAAGTATATTTTTGTTATATATCAATAATTTACAAACGAATAGTTGAATGTACAATAAAATCATTAGAAAATATCTATATCCATATAAATATTTTATGGATTCATATATTGTGCGTTAATACTAATTTCAACAAATAATAAAAGTTAACAAGAAATGAACGGTATATAAAAAATTATTAAACAGAAATGCATTGTTTTAGATATTTCAACAAATTTCAATTTGGACGCGTCAGATCCAAATATTTTAAAGAATAATTTCGTTCTTAAAGTTTTTTGTAAGTTCTTTGTGTGGTAAGACAATGGAATTCAGTACAATTTTTTCAGCCGCCAAACGTACACTTGTGCCTGTAACATAAGTGGTGGAAATGCATAATTGTTTTTTTTTTTTAAAATCGCCAAATAATAAGTTAATTACCGAGAATCGTTATAGAGGGGTTTAGCTTCCCATTGGTATTAAACAAGGGCAAGTTTTCCATTTTTGCAAATGGTTTGTCAGGATTGGGATCACACGGCGTCCCCTCTATACGCGCCCATTCTCCAATATAACTACTTCTTCCTACTATACTATGCAAGACAATGGAATGTGCTTGAATGTGAACATTAGCTAATATAATCGACTCTCTGATCCTAACTCCAGGTGCAATAATAGCATTTGGACCTATGCTCACATTCGGACCCAACTACAAATAAAGTAGTATTACGTAATTGAATTTGTGTTTTATAAAAAAACAATACAAAAGTTTCATTACCACTGCTGTTGGATGTACAGTAGCTGAAGGATGAATATAAACATCGCCAATGATATGATGAAATTCATTAGTTGTAGGAGAGAGACGATTAGAGTGATTTTTCTTGTAAAGAGTTAAATAATGACGGTTGGCATATATAGCAGAACTGGCCGTTTTAACTTGCGACCACCATCTCAAAACAGGCAATGCAAATAAGCGTCCAGTTCCTGCTAATCGTGTTAATATATCTTGCTCGAAAGATATGTGAGCTGGATCTCTACCATTATCATTAAACTGTCTGTAAAGTAATTGTTAAACTAGTTCATGAGATACTAAGGCAAGTAATAATTTTTAAAAATATCTTACATAAAATTCTCCTGTTGCTGTTTGGCATAAAAAGCATCTGCCATAGTTTGGAAAATTTCTGGAGAAGCAAGATAGACACCACAGTTGATCAATGTTGACACAAATGTTGATGGTTTCTCTACATAATGAGCAACCTCTCCTTCTTTACCAAGGACCATACAACCGTAATTCAAGGACTGTTGTCTCGTTGCTTCTGTAGCCATGATAGTGAGCAATGCCTGTTTCTTTGTATGAAATTCAACTATCTCTTGCAAGGGAAAATCAGCACATACATCGCCATTCATCACAAAGAAATATGTAGGGTTACCAGATCGTATTTGATCACGGAAATGATACATGCCCCCTGCAGTTCCCAGTTGCGTAAATTCTTGAAGATACCTAATGATTATACCATACATATTCGTCATTTCTTGAATAAATTGAGACATGTCACTCGCAAGATAAGACCCAATAATCAATATTTCGCTAAGATTTTCCACCTTTGAACATGCTTCTATATGATGCTGTATTACAGGCAATCCAGCGACTGGAAACAATGGCTTCGGTATATCTAAAGAAAGGGGTCTAAATCTGGTTCCTGAAAAACATAAATCAATTTGATCGTATAATTATTACTCAAATAAAATTCAGTCTAAAAAATTTTAAATTATAGTCAAGGTTATATTTCGTATAGTATAAAGTGCATATTAGGAATAAATATATTATAAGAAAACAAACCTTTTAAAGGACCTCCAATTAGTATAATAGATTTTAGTATCATTTTTATGATCTATATAAAAGTTCCTTCAAACTCCAACAATTGTTTTGCCACGACGATAAAAGTACCGATCTCTATATGCTGGATCAGTGCTGGATGCGGTACGGTAGGGGCCCCCTCCTAAGCACTTCTCAGAAAAAAGTTCCTTACCGAAAATATAACGTGTGACCAGAAAATTTTCCCCAAAATTTTATGCGAATGTTTAAAACATCATAACTTCTAAACGGATTGGAGGATTTTAATGTTTCAAAATTAGGGGTGTGCGAGATCCCGATTGGGACAGGAATTTTTCTCGAGATCGGGATGGAATCCCGAAAACATCCGTGATTCCCGCGAATTTTCAGGATTCCCGAGAATTTCAAAATCCCGAAAATGTTCGGGATTCCCGACATTTTAAGTTTCTCCATACTTCCAACAATTACCAGAATCCGAAAGCCATTGTGTTCTCGAAGATTACATATCTTATTAATCGGGAATGTTAATGTTAGTAATATTGTAGAAAATAATTACAAACTTCGATAATTCTGACAATGCAGAATTTTAATATCGGTAGATATTTCTGAATGGATAGTCAATCACACAATTGTGTTCCGAGAATCCCAGATATTATTCTATATCCCGTACATTGCCGGGAATCCCGCACACCCCTATTTAAAATTCATCTAACACACTAATTTGCAAATAATTTGGATATTAGGTGGAATGAAAATGAAAATTCTCTAGCAAAGTCAGAATGACGAATTTGTGTGGATTTGGAATAAATTTTGAAGATTATTAAACAATTATAAACAGTTGTAAAAATATATATTTATTTATGAAAATAATTATAAGAATATATGTTTATTTATGAAGAAATTATTATTTTGGGCTTCTTTAATTCTTTATACAATCTAGATAAAAAAAAAACATGCACAATTGAAAATAAAGTTCCGAATTTAATTTTTATTTGCAGTTATAAAAAATTTATATAAAATATTAACAAAATAAAGAGATTACGGCAGGAACAAAATACATTAAACAGCTCCATTACAAATAGACAAAAAGTAAAAATCAATTAATATAATAGTACTAATTATTACAATAAAATAAGGTGTGTACGTTCATTTAATTTTTGTTAATAATAGTGCTATTATATAAACTTTTGAGTCATATTTTATATCTGTGAATATTACTGTTTATAGTATCTTTGATTAAACAATGTAAAATACTTTACAAATATACTGTCAATATGAAATTTAAAATAACGTCGATATATACTAATAGTGTTTCTGTTTAAAAAAATTATTATACACAAAAATTTCTATTACAAATTAGGTGCCACCAAATTCAAAAAATTCATAGCAATTTCGAATCCGAGGAAACATGCTGCATTTGCTGGGAATGCACGAAGCATCACAGGTGTACATCCTTTGTATAAAGCTTTTGGTCCCTCTTCTTTCATTAAAGCTATGAACACGTCTCGAATTCCACGTTTGTAAGTACCGTCTGGAGCTAAAAGAAATAGACTAGCAATGAACAATACATTGTATGATATTAGTAAATATTAAATAAAGAATTTCAAACAATGCATACCACTTTGTAAACGGCTCTTTAGCACATCGGGTGGCATTCCAACAACCCAATTTGCAATACCAGCTAAACCACCAGCTAAAATTGTAGGAACTATACCGAGTGTTTCTCCATCTGAAGTCATCCACTTTTTCAAACATTCATATGTCATAAAATACATTCCACTGGCAGGAATATCTGAAAAAAATTTATAAAAAAACAGAAATTTTTATGTTTGTATAAACAAATAATGTATTGTAGGGTAGATTTAACGTAATAACTCCAAAAGAGGATTAAATTCTATATGGATCTGCATAATCCAGGCATTTTGTGAAAACGTTATTTATAATTATAAAGCAGGAATAGTGTATGTGGGTTGCTAGATAGGAAGCATCCTGTTTGATAGGGAACATCAAGGCAGATAGATAATGGTTAACAAAATTCAGTTTCCTTTGAACCAGCGTACCATCACTGGTTTTAAGATCAATTTTTCTTCGTTCCTCGAGTTTCAAACGGATAATGATGACGGTTACACTACTTTTTCTTGTCACTTTACTGGTATATAACTCTTTCTCCTACTTGAAACAAGTTTTACACATTTGAGCATAATACCACTTCACATAAATCTGAGACTATTTCTTCTGTAGTTGTTTTTAAACTTGCTTCTTTACAATACAGATTTTCCTACAAGCGATATCACGTTTAATCAACATGAGAACACGCGCGTAGAGTTAATTGAACAATGAATTAATGAATAAATATGTCATTTAGAACGAGTGCTTTGGGCAAATAATCGATATCGGCAGTGTTTGGGAAGTAAAATGTCCACAAGGATGTTCTTGTGAGGTTCAGAGATTTGCCGATTTGCCTTTACATCGATGGATTCGAACGAGTCAAGATCAGGTATGAAGATTACCTGTTCATCGCTCTTCAAGATTTAATCAATTGGTTCCTCACAGAACTTATCCAATGATGCTGATTTTGAACTTGGTTTAAACATGGATCATACTATGATTACGGAATTTTTGAAAGTAGCAATCTGCGTTGTTGCTGAAGATTATGAAGAACTTTTAGATAAACTTCCCTCAGACATACAGGTCGATATTATTAAATAAAACATTATAATTATAATTCAGTATCAGAAGTACTCAAAATTAATATATACTTTTGTATTTCAGATTTTTACAATACTCGAGTCTGGCATTGGAGATTTTGAGATTCTTTTACAATCTACAACATTTCAACGTTTTACAGACCTGATATCCTTAGATATACAAGGCATTGATTACAATGAACCAGGGCGAAAGAATCTAAGCAATGAGCAAAGAAAACAAGGTGGAATTATATTATCCGTCGATTCTTTGTATTCGTTAGGTTTAAATCTCCTTTACTTGAATTTGGAACGAGTGAAATTAACCAGTCTGAGTCCAACAAAAAAAAACAAAGCCAACCTCGTAATTAAACCAATGAATACAATGACCGATGATGAGAACAGGAATGAACAATTGTTAAATACAGGACACAGATTAATATTTTTAAGTCAACAAAATAGTGGAGAAAATTATGACAAGGAAATACTTCCTTACGACATTTATAAACAAGAAATGGAGGGTTACAAAGAAACTGTTGGGCTTTTTACTGGTTTAGGAGCTTTAACCCATTTAAGAGTTTATGATTGTGCTTTGAAAGATATATCCTGGCACATGTTTGATGGTTTGGATAGCCTTGTCCATCTCTCATTACAAAAAAATAGCCTAAAGTTTATTCCAGAATTTTGTTTTTATGGCACACCTAATTTGAAAGTGCTTTCGCTTGCAAGCAATCAGTTGTTAACGCTTAAAAGTATCGACTTAGCTGGTTTACTAATGCTCAAAGATCTTGATTTAAGAGGGAATAATTTAACATTCTTGTCAGAATTATCTTTCCCACCCTTTCCAATGCTGAAGTCTGCAGATTTTCGAGAAAATCCTCTGGATTCCGTATTCCCAAGGTATTTTATAAACTATAATATATCGAACAAACAGAACATTGAACAAATACTTTTTGATTTTAGTACTTTTGAAATTATGAACACAACACTGAGGCTATATCTGGGTGGTGAGGATTCAAAACTATATTTGCAAAAGAATTCTTTTCTTGGATTACGTCAACTTCAAATCCTACATTTATACAATGTAGAAATACCCGTTTTGGAGCGTTTTGTGTTTCAAGGAATGCCAGAGTTGCTAGAATTAAAAACATGCGGGAATATTTCAAGTATAGAATTTGATGCATTTGTAGATTTAATCAAGTTGCTAGATCTTGATCTGAGTTATTGTCATATTCGTAAGATATCTATGGATGCTTTTTATGGATTAGAAAATATTAAGCGCATAGATTTGTCCAATAATGAACTGGAATTTATTCCACCTGGTTTATTTGGGGTGCAACAACAAAAGGAGCTTAAAGAGATCATCCTTTCGAAAAATAAATTGACCTCGTTACCTCTGGATTTTTTCAAAACGTTGCGCGTTCCAAATAAACAATCGCAATTAACAATTGTAAGACTAGATGGAAATCCATGGGACTGCACTTGTTCTATGACTACATGGAATCCTCAATTGGTAAGTCCAATGAAATATTTTTATTCCGGTTCACGTACAGTTTTTAAAACATAACTAAAGTCAAAGCAATTGTAATCTGTCTAAAAACAGGTAAATAGATTGCGAGAAACAGCACCACGATGCTCGACACCAAAAAGGTTGAAAAATTGGGGAATTTTTCATGCATTGCGCAAAGGTGGTTTACAATGCAGAACTTTAAAAAGAAAACATTTAAAAAAATCTTTAATGGGAAGAAACTATTACGAAGATAACAATATCATCAGTTAGCTAATTCACAAGTAATTAATGTATATGTATAAAAAGAAAATTAAAGTGTAAAGAAGTCTATTACTGTTTAGCTTTTATGCAGTGATTTTATTTTCTTGGTCATGCGAGTTTTAATAATTATATACCGTAAGGAAATTTTATTAATTCTGTATTATAAATTCGTACATAGATAGATATATAATATACAAATATAAACAAATATAAAATAAAAGCGGAAATAATTTGATAAATGTTAATAAAAATATAAATGTACTAAATTTTGTTCGTAACAAAAATAAATTAGAAAGATACGTGATAAGTTGATTCTACATACCTCTTAAAAGGGTAGCACAGGTACCTTTATAAATACTTCTTAATCCTCCCTCTTTATAAAGTTGTTTTATGCAATCAGTGGGCCCTTTGTACTTTGGTTTTGCGTCACCTTGTTGTATCTGAAGAAGACATTTTATTCTTTCACCAGGAGCCATTATAAAGGTTGTAAAGATGCCACTGAATGCACCAGCATAAAATAATTGTAAAGGTGTCAATTGTTCGTCGTCAGTCTTCCTTATCAGTTGTTTGCCCAGCCCATATCCATAAAAACTTATAGCAAATATTGGAGCCACGCCACACAGTGGTACAGCCATACCTAAAGAAAGAAATATTCTACGTGATCTGGTAAATATAATTTTATATAAGAATCTTTTCTATACGTTAAATCTATTTTATACTTTATATTTACAATTGCGGTACATTTTCTCAAATAAAGCAAGATTTGTGTAACAATAACATTCACAAAATATCATTTTGTCAAGTGAAACATAATAGTCAAACTTGTCCCATGCATGAATTATAAAAACTTGATTGAAGAATGAGGAATACCATACAAATTTTACACTTCCAATTCAAAATGGAGGTATAAGATAATTTTATAAAGTGTTTTGACTTATTTTATGTTCTATTAAAACAGTGTAATTGTAGACTGGAATGTTTCATAGATTAAGGATTATATAATATTAAAGTATTATATACACCTTTATATAAACCACGTAATCCTTCACTTGCTATTGTTTTCTTAGCACAGTCCAGTGTTCCACTATATAAAGCTGCTTCATTTGGACCTGGCAAAGGCATAGTTTGAAGACGTACCTGTTAAAATAATTTCTCTTTTTCATACATTTATATAATACAAAAAGTTTTTTATTTTAACATAATAACATTTTTCAAAGAAAAGTATACTTCAATATAAAATATACTGAAAAAATTTTGGAAAAATAACAAAGGAAAAAGGAAATTTAAGAATTGTAATTCATTCTTATCTCAGTTTCAAAATAAATTCATTTTTGTAGTTTATTGCAATATAAAAATATACAAGTTATAAATATTCGTGTAATTTAAATATAAGATTCCAATTAATATACCTCATTGTAAAAAGGAAGCTTTATTTATCTACAAAACAAAATGTTTGGTGTTCTTGCATAATAAAAGTTAAATCTAATTCTATATTTATAGATAATACAAATTAATTACATATTTAATAATTAAAAGTACAAATAAAACATTTTCAACTATAGATTTATGTACAAAATTTAATGTTGTCAGCATACACAATGCTTCCTTTACCTAACATTTCCATTATGAGAGCCAGTCCTCTTCAAGGAAAAGGAGCTCAATCCTAAGTAGGATTTAATAATCTTACTTGGATTAGGTACAGCTGAAAAATGGGGGATGATCTTTTACATTGAACCTTACAGAAACTTTCATTCTATCCTACATATATATCTGTTTATTTTTTACAACAGGGCTGGCAAACTTTTCTGTGTTACCATAATGTCAATTTTATTATGTTTACAATGTTCTATTTTGTTTATAGTGTACAGTGGAAGAATCAAATGGATATGATGGGAACAAACAAAGTGGAAAAGGAATTGCATGAGGCTCAGATTGCAAGTTCATCAGCCCTGCTTTTTAACTTAAAAAAATGTTTTTCTCTTCTAATGATTTACTAGAAACGATTTTCTTTTGATTCTCTATCTATTAAGTATTTAATAAGTAATAATGGACAACTAAATTCCTTATAGAAGAGACGAATAAAATAAATTTTTAGTTTCGTCTACCGATGTTACGTGTGGTTTAGAAGACTTTTTTTTTATATTAATCCATTATTAATTCATTTACTCAATTACAATAATACAACCTTACTTTTATCGTGTCTAAAGGATGTCCTGCGATTACGGTACAAATTCCACCGAATCCTCCGCTCAAGAAATATTTTATTGGACTTTCTTTATCCGACATTTTAGTAACAATTTATGTAGAACAAGGTTCGGAAAGAACTCATAAAACAAACAATCGATGATTACTAATTGTCAGAAGTAACAAGTCACAAACTCTGCTGCCTATCACACTAATTCAGTGAGTTTCTCAACTGACCGCCATCCATAAGAAGAGGCCGTTAAAATCACCTCTGAATTTTCAGGTCGGTATGGCAGTCAGATTGGGCCACGAAAGTCCATAAGGTGAAAGCACAGACGAGGTATACGACGATATCGTATACCTCGTCTTAGCTTTCACCCAATGTATTTTTTCGGCCCATTTTTCTGGGGCTCTAGAGTCCCATTACCATTTTCGTGTCATTTGCAACATTACCAACAGATTTAGACACGTTGCAACTGTTTGACCATCAATACTAATTCAGTGAATTGTTTCTCAACTTACGAGGGCGCTAAAATCACCTCTGAATTTTTCGCTCGGTATGGCAATTGTTCGAACTGACGTACAAAAAGACAAAAATTAACGAGATACACTCTTCCAAAGTGGAACAAAATGTTAAAAAGATCATGCATCAAATTGTAAGGCGATCCTCGTAAGAAGGCTTTAATCTTCGTAATGGTTTTAATGGGTCGATGATCAACAATGACGAGGTTATGGTCACTGGTGGTCAACAGTGAGGTTGACATCAAGGTCAGCGGTCCAGTGAAGATCTAGAAATGGTCAAGAGGTGGGACCAATCGAAATAGTTTCTTTGTAGACAAGACAGTCTTAACTGTTAACTTCAACCTTGGCTCTGACTGGTCTCCCCACCCTTTCATCACTTTAATCATATAAGCAGGGTCTCTGTGAAGAATTCTTCAGTCTCGTCGCGGATTCGGGAGTGGGCAAGTAGCCAGAAGTGAACGGGGGACCGCTGATGACCTCTGCTGGCAGCTGCTGACCATGGCTGACCATGGCTGACCAGTGCTGACCACTACTGACCAGTGCTGACTCACGTTCCTGCCACTACTGACCACTACTGACCACTGCTGACCAGTGCCGGACGGTGATGACTACGGTAAGAACTGTTTAAAAATTCTCTCCCCTCCTTTATTCTATCGTTTGATACCAATTTCGCTTCACTAAACTGATTTTGCCTTGGTTGTCTAACTGACGTTGCTATAATATGAATATTTTCTTACTTTACAGCTGACCCACTGGTAAACTACCCTATGTACTGACAGCAAGTAGTAAGTCCACTCCACTTATTTATATTTTATTATTTTTATTTGTTTGTTCGATGTGAATTCAACTTCATTTATCTATCTGATTTTATTTGGTTACTATGAATGTTCCTTTTCTCGGTTTCCACTTTTACATTGTTCTTCGAATTTATGTGATTGCTTCGATATGTATAATATTGCAGGATATATTAATGTAACATTGTTTTCGATCATATACTATATTTGTTTCTATACAATATCATGAATTTTTATTTTTGAGCTAGGTGATAGGTTGATAGGTCATTTTTAAGTGTTTAAAAACCTCCTTTTTAACCTCTTAGCTTAATGATGTTTCAGAGACGTGATGAGTCTACCAGGCCAAACATGAACAAGACGTCTCAGAGAAATGATAAGTCTACCGGGCCAAACCTTGCTGACGCTTTTGGCACAGTTGGAAATTAAATCGTAAGGCAAAGGGGTAAAACAACTGGTTGTATATGTGCTTTCTTTGGCAAGTGTAGTTAGTACCTTTTGCTTAAAATTATAATCTTCTTGCACACCGCGATTTTTAAGATGACAAATGTCATAGTAGATTCATTTTTAATTTGACACTAATTTTAAAATGAATATATAATGAGTACATATACATATATGAATAGTTCACTTTCTCTCGTCCGTTCGTTCTCTGGTTCTCGCTTTCCGAGATTATGTCTCGACCGAAAGGACCGGAGAGTTTTGCTCGATCACCTCTGTTTGATAGAATGAAACATGTGACACCTGTGTAGTAGGTGTGATAGCTCTTACCGCTTCAACCCCGGTGCAGCTTGGTTCAGCTTAAGTGGGGCCTCACCGAGCGCATATATTCTCCTCTTTATACGGAAAAGAGAATGACCTCCGGTGAGAGTTCTTGACCCATATCCGTTCTCGAGTACTAAGCGGGTCCTGTTGTGACCGTGTGTCCTCCAGGGCCCGGCGGTTGTACGTAGAGAGGTCCGATAGACGTGGGTCAGGGGCGCGACTTGCTTTTCTGATAATCAAGGCCGGGGGGGATCAATCTGATACCCACACTCACTGCACGCTATGAGCACGCGTCGCGTCGCGTTTTATTTAAGCGTGCGATGTTTTTACACGCCGCAATTTTTAATATGACAAATATCGTAATATCGATCGAAAGTAGAGTCATGATTTTAATATCTTTTATAATACTTATAATTATATTAATTTTAGACTGAGTGTCAAATTAGTAGCTTCCGATTGTTCTTTACATTCTTCAATAATAAAATTCACTTTCATAATTGAGTCGACGACTTTGGGTATCTTCGATATCGAGGATACCCAAAGTCTTTCTTTACTTATTAAAAGTATATCATTAGATTGACGTGCAAGAAGATATTTCGCGACGAATACATTTTAGAGTCAAAGTAACCTCGTATATTATGTACTATTTTTACTTTCTCACTGCACTTGCCTGTAGTTGTAGTATTTGTAGTTTTACTTGTTTTGTTTTGTTTGTTCTCTTACTAATCTATTAAACACGTTTCTGTTACAGAGCATATTCCTATGGAAGTTTTAGGTTTATAAAGGTAACAATTAAGAATTGCTACAATTTTGTTTAATATTGCTTTGGTTGTGTTTCAGGAAATCATCGTGGGATAAATAGAAGATAGAAGAAAGAAGAATGTATTTCATGTATTTTGTTTCAGATTGCTTAGTTTATGTTTTAATAATTTAGATTTATAGTTAGGTAGAATGTAACAGTATGTTTCAGGAAATCTTCGTCAAAGGATCAACAAGGAAGAATATATTTTCTATGTATTTTGTTAGATGATTAGATAGGTAGGATGTAAACGAATTTAGATTTATAGTTAGGTAGGAATTTGATTCTCTATATTAATCATTATATCAGGCAGGCAATATCTTTGGTCCATTTCTCTGTTTTGTTGATGAGAATTTAGAGGCAAATTCTTTCTCAAAAAACTCTTTCGTTGGTTGTTTCTTTCGTTGGTTGCACTTTCGTTTATTGCTTCTTCGACCAACGATTGTTGGTCACAGGTCTTTATTAATGGAGGGTGGTTGGGAATCGGTTAGGGCGGGTCTCCATTCGCAGCAACCTCCACGTGGTGAGACCTGGGTAATATTATTTAGCGTTTAATTAATAATCGTATCACTTTTAGCTGGGTAATGCAATTATTAATTAAAAACTAAATAATATTAGCAAATTGGCTGCGATCCGCTTTGCATAGGTCATCATAAATATAGAGCTTCTTCGCTAGGTTAGTTTTGATTCTCATTGATTCGTCAAAGATTCTAGAGTATTGTCAGAGAAGACGAGGTATACGAGTAGAACTTTCACCCAATGGATTTTTTCGGCCCATTTTTATGAGGTCTCGAAACCCCATTACCATTTTCGTGTCATTCGTAACGTTACCAACAGATTCAGAAATGAATTTTATGAACAGTTTCTCAACTGACCGTCATCCATGTGAAGAGGACGCTAAAATCACCTACGAATTTTCAGGTCGGTATGGCAGTCAGATTGGGCCACGAAAGTCCATAGCACAGATGAGGTATACGAGTAGATCTCGTCTTTGGTGACACGAAAATGCATTGGATGGTAAATCTATTCTTTACCAGTCTATGGTTATATATCACTGGGTCGGTATACCTACTTTATCCTGCATTTCAACAGAGACATTATCACAGGCCAGGTATGCCATCGTATACCTCGTCTATGACATTATTGTTAATAGTAGAAAGTAAAATAAAATAAATGTTTAGGCGTCACATTTTATCTCGCTTCAAAGATAAAAACAATAGTTAGCTTTTATCTCTTCTATTATTTTTACTATTCATTTTTCTTATTTTTAAAATACTAGGAATACAAATGTTTTGGCGCACGTCTGACTTTGGGTTTAAATTTCGCTCTTTTAATGATGGAAATAAGGTATTATCATAAATGGTCCGAATTAGGTCGTGTTTGAGTTCATTTTTATCAGGGAAACCTCATTGATCCGTTATAAACGTTCTTGAAGTATAATAATAAAATATTATTTACGTTTTCGAAATGAAAGTATAGTCAATTTATTTATCACATTCACATTTAGAATACATTTTTATTCACTTACCTTTTCCAGCAATACTCGATTGTTATTCGTGCGAAGTTTTCAATCGAGAAAACTTTATTCAAAAATTAATTCGAGTCGCGTATTTACTTTCAATTCCGAATTTTATTCCACCGTTTTAATTTTAAATTATTCAAGTAAAATCCGACTCCATCGGCCCGAAAGAAGATCGTGTCCTTCACCCTCGGGTGTCGTTCGTAAAAAAAATTATTAATAGAAGTTAATAATAAGTGACCCAAACGATTCCATTTAGTAACGCCATTCGTTCAAAGCTGTAGCAACGTTCCAGTATTGATATTCGATGTTATGTACCGCTTTCTATTTATAGAGCGTGAATCGAAATTTGGTACACGGGTGCTGTCGACCAAGGATACCACCCTTGGACGTCAAGCCTGAAAAAACTTTCTATCATTGTAGGAATTTTCGCGGTCATTCGGAACTAGCTACATAGAAATTACTAAAACATCAGCTCCATATATTACTAATTACACGCGCTACAGGTGCTTTCTGATCAATTTCAAGCTTGCTTTCAACGAGGTTCGAAAGTACACATATATGTCACCACCCTCTCTAAAGTAAATCTTCCGGTTCCCCTGGTGGGGTCAGTAGTGAATACAATGAAGAAGGATGATCGATAAAAAAAATCTATTATCTCACTTTTTTATTCCCTGACAAATCTTGAACGATCGAAACATCAAATCTCTATTTCTCTTTATAATTCCCAGGGTTGGGATTTTTC